TATATTTCTGTTTCTCAATTTTTCAACTTTTCCATATTTTAATTTTTCTAATTTTAAATTCTATATTTTTCTATTTCTCGAAGTTTAAAATTTTTTGATCTCTCGATTTATCGAGATTTGGCTGTTTTGATTGTTCAATCTCTCGATTTATAAATTTTTCCATTTTTAACTTTTCGATTTTGGCCTATTTATATTTCGAAACGGTCGAAAAACTGAAAAATAAAATTGAAGAATCGAAAAACTGAAAAATTACAAAAACGAAACATCCAAAAATTGGGAAATTAAAACATTGAAAAAAAAATAGATTAATCGAGAAATTGGAAAACTGAAAATTCAAAAACGTCAAAATTCGAACAACTAAAAAATATTGAAGAACTGAAAATCGAAAAATCGAAACTCGAAAATTTCACAATCCTCTGATTTCTCGATATTCAGTTTTTTAATTTTTCGATGTTTCGATTTTTGGATTTCTCGGTTTTTCGATTTTCCAATTTATCGATGTTTCTATTTTTCAATTACCCAATTTTTCGATTTTTCAATTTTCTAATTCCGGAGTTTCGATTTTTCAGTTTTTCGGTTTTGAAATTTTAAATTTCCGAATTTTTATTTTTTGATGTTTGGATTTCTCGATTTCTAAATTTTGCGATTTTTAATTGTTCAATCTTTTAAATTTTAGATTTTTCGATTTCTCGATTTTTTGAGTTTTCAGTTCTTCAGTATTTCTAGTTTTCAATTTTTCAAATTTTAACGTTGCCAAATTTTCAGTTTTTCGATTTCTCAGTTAATCTATATATTTTTGATTTTCCCATTTTCTTCAACATTTCCATTTTTCAGTCCTTGACTTCTTCGATTTTTCGCCTTCGCTTTTTTGGTTTTACGCTTTTTCAATTTTCCTTTTTTTTAATTTCTCAATTTTTGGATATTTCTTTCAGTTTTGGGATTTTTCAATATTTCGATTTTTAGACCCCTGGACTTTTGATTTCTCGATTTTTTATCTTTGGATGTTCAATTTTTTCGTTAAACTTTAGATCTTTCAATTTTTTGACTGTTTTATGTACATAATTCGGTTCCTCAATTTTTCAACTGTTCGATATTTTAACTTTTCAATTTTTAAAATATTGGGTTTTTCGATCTCTTGAGTTTTCAGTTCTTCTATATTTCAATTTTTCAATTTTCCGAATTACTAAATTTTCGATTTTACAATTTTTTGTAATTTTTCCATTTTTCAATTTTTTGATTTCTCGATTTGTCGATTTTTAAGTCATAAATTTTCGAATTTTTATTTTTTGATTTGTTCAGTTCTTGAATATTTCTATTTTTCAATTAATCTATTTTTGATTTTCTCATTTCTCGACTTCCCGAACTTTCGATTTTGCAGGTCTTCAATCTTCGATTTTTCGACTTTTCTTTTTTGGTTTTTCAATTTCTCAATTTTCAAGTTTTTTGATTCCTCAATTTTTTGTTATTTCTTTCAGTTTTCGGATTTTTCAAAATTTCGATTCTTCGACTTTTCGACTTCTGGTTTTTCGATTTTTTATTTTTTGGATTTTCAGTTTTCGGTTTTATAAACTTTCGATTTTTCAATTTTTCGATTGTTTTATATTTCTGTTTCTCAATTTTTCAACTTTTCCATACTTTAATTTTTCAATTTTTAAATTCTAGATTTTCCGTTTCTCGAATTTTTAAATTTTCGATTTTTCAATTTTTTGATTTCTCGATTTATCGAGATTTGGCTGCTTCGATATTTTGATTGTTCAACCTCTCGATTTATAAATTTTTCCATTTTTAACTTTTCGATTCCAAAGTTTAAAAAACGAAAAACTCAAAATTTAAAAAATCGAAAAATCCAGAACTCAAAAAATCGAAAAGTCGAAATACTAAAAAATCCCAAAACTGAAATATCGAAAAATTGAAAAATAGAAGAAAAATTGAAGAATCGAAAAACTGAAAAATCCAAAAACGGAACATCCAAAAATTGGGAAATTAAAACATTAAAAAAAATAGATTAATCGAGAAATACGAAAACTGAAAATTCAAAAACGTCAAAATTTGAAAAACTAAAAAATATTGAAGAACTGAAAAATCGAAAAATCGAAACCCGAAAATTTTTGGATTTCTCGGTTTTTCGATTTTTTACTTTCAGGCTTTTCAATTTTCTAATTTCCGAGTTTCGATTTTTCAGCTTTTCGGTTTTGAAATTTTAAATTTTCGAATTTTTATTTTTTGATTTTAGAGTTTTCAGTTCTTCAGTATTTCTAGTTTTCAATTTTTCAAATTTTAACGTTGCCAAATTTTCAGTTTTCCGATTTCTTAATTAATCTATATATTTTTGATTTTCCCATTTTCCTCAAAATTTCTATTTTTTAGTCTTCGGTTTTTTGGTTTTACGATTTTTCAATTTTCCTTTTTTTTAATTTCTCAATTTTTGGATATTTCTTTCAATTTTGGAATTTTCCAATATTTCAATTCTTCGACTTTTCGATTTTTCGACTTCTGGAATTTTCGATTTTTTATTTTTTGGATGTTTGGATGTTTTGATTGTTCAATCTCGCGATTTATAAATTTTATCCATTTTAACTTTTCAATTTTTCGATTTTAGCCTATTGATATTTCGAAACAGTCAAAAAATTGAAAAATCTCAAGTTTAAAAAACGAAAAACTGAAAATCCAAAAAATTAAAAAATCGAAAAATCCAGAACTCAAAAAATCGAAAAGTCGAAATATCGAAACATTGAAAAATAGATGAATCGAAAAACCGAAAAATCACAAAAACGAAACATCCAAAAATTGGAAAATTATAACATTGAAAAAAAAATAGACTGAGAAATCGGAAAACTGAAAATTCAGAAACGTCAAAATTTGAAAAACTAAAAAATATGGAAGAACTGAAAAATCGAAAATTTAAAACATTGAAAAATTAATACATATATCGTAAAACTAAGGAATTGGGAAATCCAAACATCAAAAAGTCAAAAAAATTAAAATTCGAAAATCTAAAATCGATTTTTCGATTTCTGGATTTTTCGATTTTTTATTTTTTGGATTTTCAGTTTTTCGTATTTTAAACTTTAGATTTTTCAATTTTTCGACTGTCTTATATTCCTATTTCTCAATTTTTCAAAAAATTCAAAATATCGAAGAACTGAAAAGTCTAAAAATTGAAAAATATAAAATTTAATAAAACATTGAGAAATTAAAATATCGCAAAACTGAAAAGTGGAGAAATCCAAACAACAAAAATCAAAAAAATTAAAATTCGAAAATCTAACATTTAAAAATCGAAAACTGAAAACTCAACAAATCAAGAAATCAAAGCTCGAAAATTTCCTATTCCTCTGATATTTCGATATCTCAGTTTCTGAATTTTTCGATGTTTCAATTTTTCGATTTCTCGATTTGTCGATTTTTGAATTTTAGATTTTTCGATTTCTAGATTTTTTGATTTTTCAATTCTTCGATTTTTCAACTTTGCTTTTTGGTTTTTCGATTCCTCAATTTTTTAATTTCTCAATATTTGGATATTTTTTTAGTTTTGGAATGTTTCAATATATATTTCGATTCTTCCACTTTTCGACTTTTCGACTTCTGAATTTTTCGATTTTTCGATTTTTTATTTTTTGAATTTTCAGTTTTTCGTTTTTTAAATTTTAGATTTTTCAATTTTTCAACTATTTTATGTCTCTATTTCTCAATTTTTCAACTTTTCGATATTTTAATTTTTCAATTTTGAAAATTCTAGATTTTTCTATTTCTCGAATTTTCAGTTCTTCTATTTTAATTTTTTCATTTTTCGATTTTTAAATTTTTTGAGACTTTGATTCATCGAGATTTAGATGCTTCGATGTTTTGATTGTTCAATCTCTCGATTTATCAATTTTTCCATTTTTAGCTTTTCGATTTTGGCCTATTTATTTCGAAACATCGAAAAATTGGAAAATGGAAAAATTAAAGTATAGAAGAACTGAAAACTCACGACATCAAAAGACTTCAAATTTTAAAAATTAAAATATCGAAAGTTGAAAATTTACGAAATCAAAGTATAATATTGAAAATTCAAAAAGTAAAAAGTGGAGAAATCGAAAAATCCAGAACTCAAAAAATCGAAAAGTCGAAATACTAAAAAATCCCAAAATAGAAATATCGAAAAATTGAAAAATACAAAAATCGAAAAACTGAAAAATTACAAAATTAACGAAACTTCCAAAAATTTGGAAATTAAAAAATTTAAAAATTGGAAACTGCAAACCCAAAATATCGAAAAATCAAAAAATCAAAATCCTGAAAAAAATACAAAAATTGAAAAACTGAAGAACTGAAAAATCGAAACTTTGGGAAGTCGAAAAATGAGGAAAAAAATTGATTAATTGAGAAATCGGAAAAGTGAAAATTCAGAAACCCCAAAATTGAAAAAATTAAAAAACATTGATGAACTGAAAAACCGAAAAATCTAATATTTTAAACACTGAAAAATTAAAATATCGTAAAACTGAAAAACGAAGAAAACTAAATATCAAAAAATAAAAAAAATACAAATTGGAAATGTAACATTTAAAAATCGAAAATCTGAAAAATCAACAAATCGAGAAAATGAAACTCGAAAATTTCCCGATCCTCTGATTTTTCGATTTCCCGATGTCTCAGTTTTTGAATTTTTCGATTTCTCGACTTCTCAAAGTTTCGATTTTTCAATTCCTCAATTCTTCGATTTTTCGATTTTGCCTTTTGGTTTTTCGACTTCCGGATTTTTCGATTTTTTAAATTGAAGTATAGAAAAGTTGAAAAATCTACAGTCAGAAAAGAAAAGTCGAAAAATCACAAACTTAAAATATCATAAAACTGAAAAATGTAGAAATCCAAACATCAAAAAATCTAAAATAAATAAATAAAACACTCTCAATATTTAAATCTGACTCCGAATGGGTGTATATTTGGTTGCATAACCCTCGTCCAGCGCCATCTTTTCAATCACTACAATCACAAAAATCGCTAGAAATCTGTCAAACTTAACCTTCAAAAATACCTCGGCATGTCTCCACTCCGTCGTTAAGAGCATGTCTCTAAGATAGCGTCACATGTCCGATTACGTATTCCGAATGTTCAACGATAATAACCAAACCAAAATCTGACAGGACGTCGTCCCTCCACATTCTCCTTACGACCTCAATCACCTTGACTAGAACCGAAAAATCCGGTAAGTCATAACAGAACCCAAACCCCTTTCACGAACTCACCCCTTCCAGGACCACACCACCGAAATGGCAAGCATCAAACCCTCCAGCCTGCTAAATCTAGCAAGCAGAACCCTCAACCGAAGACAATTCTCTTTCACTACCCCCGCAGCCGCTAAACAAATGACCGTCAGAGACGCCCTAAACTCAGCCCTCGACGAAGAAATGACTCGTGACGATCGCGTCTTCATCATCGGAGAAGAAGTGGCGCAGTACGACGGCGCCTACAAAGTAACAAGGGGGCTGTGGAAGAAGTACGGCGACAAGCGCGTGATTGACACTCCGATCACCGAAATGGGCTTCTCAGGGATCGCCGTGGGGGCCGCCATGGCGGGGCTGCGCCCCGTCTGCGAGTACATGACGTTCAACTTCGCCATGCAAGCCATAGACCAAATCATCAACTCAGCAGGAAAGACGTTCTACATGTCAGCTGGTAAAATTAACTGTCCTATTGTGTTCCGGGGGCCTAATGGGGCCGCAGCTGGGGTTGCCGCTCAACACTCGCAGTGCTACGGGGCGTGGTACGCCCACTGTCCTGGTTTGAAAGTAATCTCGCCTTATAACGCCGAAGACTGCAAGGGGCTGCTCAAAGCGGCTATACGGGACCCCGATCCCGTGGTTTTTCTCGAAAATGAGATCTTGTATGGGGTGCAGTACCCCATGTCGGATCAGGCGCTTGCAGAGGACTTTGTGTTACCGATTGGAAAGGCAAAGGTCGAACGACCTGGTAATTATTTGTTGTTGTGTTTGCTTGTTTAATTGGTTGTTCGTAGGGAAACATATAACAATAGTGGCGCACTCTAGGGCTGTGGAGACGTCGCTGCTGGCCGCTAACGAGTTGTCATCGAAAGGCATCGAAGCCGAAGTTATTAATTTGCGGTCACTGCGCCCCCTCGATTTTAACACGATCACGGCTTCAGTGGCCAAAACGCACCATTTGATAAGCGTGGAACAGGGGTGGCCTACAGCGGGAATCGGGGCTGAAATTTTGGCAAGAATTATGGAAACTGAAGCGTTCTTCCAGCTGGATCAACCAGCGATTAGATTAACGGGAGTCGACACCCCCATGCCTTACACAAAGAATTTAGAAAGTGCGGCGTTGCCAGTTCCCAAGGACGTAGTCGAAGCGGCGAAGAAATTGTTAAAAGTCAAGTAGAAAGTGCCTTGTGGCAACTGGACTATGTTGAAGACATAGTTAGTGGTAATTTATTTTATTTATTTACTTTGTTTGACGCCATCATCAAGGTCTAAGATTACTCTTTACATATGTACATACAATTGTAAAATAGAATAGTTGTCTGAGGTGTAATAAGTGCATTTTTCCAATTAGGTGCTGCCAGGTGGATTTTTATTCGTTTGTTTTACGTGCCAACTTTTTATTCCATCCACTTGTATGAAATTTTTGTAGACAATAAACTTATCAACTCAAACGAGTTCATTTTTTAAAGGGCCAATCGCGTAGCGATGCGTGATCACGTGGCCACTTTCGACCAACCACGAGCGACAATCAAACCGTGGTCACGTGGGCTACAAATGTCAATTTTTCTCCAAAAACGAAATTTATTTATTTAATCAAGAGTTTCACAATTCTGTGTATTAGATTTAGTCAAAGTGTAACGGTCGTTGATCTAAATACTCCTCTGCGTCTGATTTAGTCATCCGATGTTCATCCATAAAAATCAACAGACACAATTCTGGTAACAACACTTTGAAAATATACCCTAAAAATTTATCATCCGGATCCAACTCCGCTTCTATTAACCTCAACAAATGCTCCTTTTGTTCGTAGGAAAAAACTGCGCAACTAGTACTACACGTCAAGTCCTGACCAACGTCACCTGCGTCGCGCTTGAAAAAAGAATGATGTCTTTGTGAAAATTTATCCCCCTTCATGATGGTCCTCAAAGTCTTCAAGTGCTTCCAGAAACTCTTGCTTAATTCCTCACGCGACACGTGCTTGCAATCCAGAAGCTCCCCAGTGAATTCCTTCTCCTTCAAACAATCGCTCGCCAAAGACACATTCAACATCCCCTCATCGAAAACATCCAACCGCTTAACACTCTCCTTATGCTCTTCAAACTTCTTATGATCAGCCACGATCTTCTCGAACGACGGCAACACGATCCCGTACTTTTCAAACGACGATTCCCGCTTCAAACTTCGGTCCTTTTTCTTCGTAGTAATGTCCAGAGGCTTCGGTTTCGCTTTTTTTTTACTCGGATATGACACAACCTTCAGTTTGCCTTTGTCGCCCCTTTTGGTCCTCGGAGAGGTCCATTTTTTGGTTGTCGTGGGCTGCTCTTGCACGAGTTTGGATAACGAGTCTATTAATTTATTTGTAGCCTTTTGGTCACTGCGATCTTTGTTTAGGGTGGTTTTCGGTTTATTCATGTTGCGAAGAGAAAAGTGGCACCAAAATTGAGGTTATGTCGACGATAGGACTGCCGTAATACTAAATTCACATATTGTAGTTAGCAAAAACACTTTCTCTGTTTTTTATTATCACCTTGTTTAAAAAAATTTACACTGTTATTACTGTAATTTAAATGGAGGCACTGTCAATAAATTTAGACGTCACTTAATCAACGGTCTAGTGCTTTTATTTTTGTCCCTAGATTTTGCATATGTGTTTATACCAGTGGCGTAACAAATGGTTGCTTTCACACATTTAATTTCAACATCAACATATATAATAGACTAATATTTCGACGATGTAGCTTTATTTAAGCACAGCCACTAAAGAGTAGCTGCTCTTAATCATCTAAAAATCACCCATTTAGTAGATTCATCACCCCATTATGTCTATACCTTGGAAAAAGTCTCCAAAGTCAAATCAAAAAATTTTTCTGCAGTCACAATCATGGGTCGTTTCGAACGCTCCATCAAAGTAATTAAAACCCGTCTAACTTTAACGTCATATTCGTACCAGCGACTCACATAAACGGCCATTATTAAAGTATTGTTCTAAAAATGATTCAGAAATAAGTACACATTATTTCAAAAACTTACTTCTTCAAAAAGTAGAGTACCAAAATAACAATAAAAGAACACTTGCGAGATAACGACAAAAAAAAAGGTGATGTACATTACGGCCTCGATGCTTGCGAGAGGTACCTGAAGATTACTAATTAATAGTCAAAACGGATTGCTGTAACTGCGTTTTTACAGTAGTCACAGCTATGCAGCAGAAGCAAATTCCAAGAGTGGTTCCTGAAAATTGACTAAACATAGTCCAGGAGAAACACTTTTCGTATTCGTTTACAAAACTAGAACAAAAGTGGAAATGTGGATGCTGAATGAGCGACGACTCCGGAAAATCGTACCATAAAATGGCTTCGTGTTGTCGTACACACTTAACTAAGTCGCCATAAATGTTACCAGGACTGAGATTTTGAAGTTGAATTTTTAAGATTCGTAGCTGTGATGTTGAATGGTAGGCGAGACCTCCTATCAGAGGGTCAATGAGTGAAGTGGCCGAGCCTGCATATAAACACGCTACAATAACTAATATACTCTGTTTCAAAATGAGTTATAGCCACCTGCAAAAAAATACAAAATCGTTGAATAATACACCACTATTCCGCTTGTTGCGTCATAAGGCAGCCAAATCTTCATCGGTAGCTCGTAATTCTTTGACACCAGTGACGGCAAAACGAACATAACTTGGGCACTGAAGCACCCCACTAGATACAACTTGGATATTTTTTGACACATCTCCACACACGGTCTTATTACGTCTTCCTGTGTTTCGTCTTTTGGTGAAAAATCTGGCTGACCAAAGTAGTTTATGCAGTTCTTAATCCTGTGATTATTCTTCAAAAACGGTAAAATTTTAAAACTGAAACTAATCGTTTCTGCTACGAAAATAGTCTGCTTGTCGTCGTAATCTCCCTCGACGATTATATCAATCAAAGTTAACACAGTGGGTACAACCAACAACATAACGTAGAAAAAATATCTTCGAACCTGAAACAACGGCGACTTTTTTTCAGGCGGATACCAACACAGAAAAGTCATTATCTGTGTGTTAACTTTGAAGCTTTGCTCGATTATGTTGTCCATTGCGTTACTGAAGGGTGGAGTGATTGGTCTTTATATAGCTTTTCGGCTGAATTCGGCTCTCTTTAATTAAAATGAATTAATTTTACATCAAAGACGGAAAGTTGGACACGGAGGGTTTCTTTTAACGAAAAAAAGTATTTCAAACGAACTTGATAATTAGTGGTTTAGTTATAAAACTCAATGTTTAAAAATTCAAGCCTTCGGCGATTGAAGCGTTTTCTTTAGTTTGATCGCAGAAATTGAAACTTTGTCGTGTACTGTGACGATTTTCAGGCGAAAAAATGCACACGAGCGGCGAAGATGCAGGTAAAAGACAGATTTATTGTATAACAACGGGAAACGCGTTTTAAAGTACTTTAAAGTACTCTACTTTTACGTTTTCGACACCTTTCATGATCCCTAGAGTACGAAAAAATAAGTCGACTGTTTCCGTCTGTCTGTCTGCCGTCTCGATTTTTAATAGACAGATAATTTTATAAAATAACATAGTCCTACACATGTAGTTTATGACTCCGCGTTGAGTTTTTGCCCAAAACGTCCATATTTTTCCTAGTCTTTTGTAAGCAAGCAATAGCCCCTCCCACCCACCCTCTCTTTATTCTAGTGACCACTCTTCCTGTTGTCAATTAATAACAACGTTATTATTTTATTAAAATCTTACACAATTGTTAAACTGTTGGTGAGAAAATAGACTAATTGTTAAAAAAAGTATCCAGAAAGAATTAAGTTGGTGTTAAATAAGCATACCAGACGTGAGAATCATGTTTAAAAAGCAAAATTACCCATGCTCCTCCCACTTGCAAAAGCTCCACCTTGATAAATCGTTTCATTGGCTCGGAGAAGAGGGGCGGCGTTTAAATCGTACCTCATTGTGTCTGCCTTTCACAATTTATTTGTGTATTATTAAAGTGTAAACGCTGAAAGTCAAAGTAAAAGTAAAATTTTATAAAATAATGTAATCGTAGATTCCATATAAAAACAAAAATCTAACAAATAAACGAAATAATCGAACGTATGTCATTTGCGAGAGTTAGTCTTATTCTAGCAAGTATAAACCCCACCCACCCGCCCTTTATTTTTTTAGAGTTTGTCATTTACCAAATAAGTGTTATCTTATTATTACTAGCCCCGCCCACCCACCCGATTCCCAATCTAACGATTTTATTTCTGTTCAGTTAAAGATCGACCGTTCATTCGGACCAGGTAAAAGCAATCAGTGAAATGGAGACAGGGTGGGTGGGCGGGGTTAATTATATGTTCTTCTGTAGAGTGAGAATGGAAATTTAATATAGAACGTAGGCAGCAACAAAAAAAGAAAAAAAAATAGATAATCGTAATTTTTTTGTTACACTATTTGCTAAAGATTTATTTCTTATTTCACATTAAACAAATTAGAGAACGGGTGGGTGGGTGGGGCTAGGTTTAACTTTTCCCCGCCCACCCACCCCCTCTTCATTCTAGTGACCACTCCTCTTGTTGTTAATTAATATCAACGTTATTGTCTTATTAGAATCTTAGGCAAATCTGTTAAATCGTCGATGAGAAAATTGATAAATTGTTAACAAAGTATCTAGAAGATATTTGATTGGTGTTAAATAAGCATACCGACGTGAATCATTTTTAAAAACAAAATTACAGATGCTCCTCCCAGTTGTAAAAGCTCCACCTTAATAAATCGTTTCATTGGCCCGGAGAGGCCAATGAATTTATTTGTTCATTATTTGAGTGTAAGCACTGACGGTTAAGTGTTTTTCGAAAAAAAAAAAACTTTAGTGGAATGAAATTGTATATAAAAAAATATATAATCCGAGATTCTGTTATTTGGTCAGATAAAATTCAGCTTCTGTCTCAAAATCAATAAAATGAGTGATCAAAACGGATTAGGGGTGGGTGGGCGGGGCCACTTTTGACTTTAAGAATTATAATAATAACATTCAGAATATTTTGTTCAATTGAAGCTTATGAATAATTTTAGTCGTCTATTTTGAGGCCTAAATATAACGGAAAATAAAATCTAAAATTGGCCACTTCCGGTCGTTGCACTAATTTATCACTTGCAGGCAGGCAGCCACCTGCACAAACATTATTTACCCATAAACTCTCTAACAAAAATCTTTAACAAGCTGTTATATAACACTTGTTTTAAACATTGGTGTCACGTCTGCATTGTCTGTGTGATAACAGAAAAATAAATGAATGCTAAAATCAACACCTCACGTCACCTTCATCCCTCCTTTCTTCTTTTTGGATTGAAAAAAAAAAAAATTGTAACAAATACAGCTAAAACGCAACCCACATATGACTAATTAATTATATTTTCACGTTGTGCAACACCTTATTTTCCATGAGACCTTATTTGCACTTCATCAAAACATAAAGATAAGATAAAAAAAGGATTTACAACTCAACATTTTCGCAAGACAATCAAGTCATTTGACTTTCAACACTACACGCAAAGCAATGGAAGGTAAGTTTTCCTGTCACCAAATCGCATACACCGAGACTATCTTTCCAGATCACTACGGTTTTAAACCCGGTTATGCCCCTCCTCCCGCTTATAACTACCCCGCCCAGCCTCCCAATCCCGCCCAAATGCAGAACCCTGGTCACCCTTTCCCCGACCCCAACCAAATGCACCATGTCCCGAACCCCACCCCCACCGGTCAAGGTAAGCCAATCATTCGTTTTCACCAAACCCACTTACGCTTTTGTCGCAGCCTACCGCTGGGTTGACTCCTCCACCAGCTACGGGTCTGTCCCGCCCACCGCCGTGCAAGGGGGCGTGGACGCCGACGGCCACGCCATTTTCGTGGGCAGGGCTTACCACGAAGGCGACCTGATCCCGGCTAAAGTGATTCCAGGGAAAAACGCTGCTTACGTTCCACACAACGGGGAAGAGCATGAGATCGAGCACTATCAAGTAGGTAGTGGACATATTTTGATTATTTCACTGATTTGTGTAGATTTTGTGTAAACAAATCCTGGAGTGGGTGCCAAGTCACGCCGGACAAGTGCCACCAGGGGCGGTCCAAGGGGGACACACGAGTGGAGGGGAGGTGCTTTTTGTAGGAAGGGCGTTCCATGAGGGGTCTCAGACTATAGGAAAGGTGCATCCGAGTCACGGGGTTTGCTATATACCGTTCGACGGGGAGGAAATCGCTTGTCCTGAGTATGAAATTCTGGTGCTTCGCATATAATAACGATAATAAAACACGAAAAATATAAAGAATCTCATGTATTTAACTAAATAACAAAGAAATAAATTAATTTACGGTGACGTTCATCTCTTGGATGCTCAGTTCCCCGTCCCTTATCGTGCTATTGGTCATTTCTGCATCCTCATCCTCCTCTTCTTCCCCCTCCATTTCGTATAAGCGCACTTTGCGTCGGTTCTCCGCTAGGAGGATCCCCACTTTGCGACTGCCCGATACGGCGAACTCCGCCCCTGCCATCCCCTCCACGCTCTTGAACAACCTAGGCGCCAATACCGAGCCGTTGATATCGACGACGTTGCCAAACACAGCCCCGCCTGCTTCCCCCACTTCGCTGAACTTCTCGAGCGCTCGACTCAACGCCACCTGCGATAACATCGTCGCTTTGGCAACACTGTCTTGCAACAAAACCGACAACACTGTACTGGAATACAACTGAATATCCAGAACGTGGAAATCGTCGCTGGAATTGTCTTGAGTGAAGTGCATTCTAGCACACTTCACAAAACAACTCCCTTCCACAAGGTACAGCTGCGTCAAAAGAACCCTCTCTGGTGGCTGCAAGAAGGCAAACACAATCGCGTCTTTGCTCAGATTGACTTGAGTGACCTTGAACGCCCCGCCGCCATATTGGAAACAGTCGAAGGTGGCCTGGAGCGCGAACTGGCGACCAATCGCCTCCTTCGGCTTGACGAAAATCTCGCCAACGCCGTCATTCAAATGTTTGTACTGTTGAATCAGCGACATCTCTTCGAAGTGTCGCAAAATACTGTCGTTTTTGGTCAGGCATTGGTTCTGCTTGATGAAGGCGCTCCACTCGTTCCCGGTCATGTCGGGTTTGATCGTCAAGGGGGCGTCCAGCAAATATTGCCCCAATCGCTCCATTATGAACCCCTTCTGGTTGGAATTCTTGCCGATGTGGTCAAAATTTTGCAAAAATTCGGCAATATACGCCAGGTCTTGCTGGGTCATCTGGGGGATTTCGTTGGGTACTTGCTCTTCCAACACGTGGACTATAGCGGTGTACAGCCACCGGAAAAAGGCCTTGTAGTTGATGATGGAGTGGTTGATTATTTGCTGCATTTCGCCCCCCTTTATCAAGAAGGCGCCGTTGGACAAGATGGCCGACGTTATGGCGTCCTCGTCGAGGCCCAAAATCTGCGCCAACGCGAAAATCAAACGAGCACGTCAATTTTGCCCCTTTTATACGAAAAGCGCCAATAAATTAATAAAAAAAAAACCCACGCAGTTTTGCGGGAAGTGACATCAACTTACCTTGTAGCGGTGCTCCAACCGGGCCATCCCCCTCAGTTCCGCCAAATGATAGGTGATGTTTTGTCCGAACTTCATCACGTACTTCAGCATCAGCTTCTGGATGTTACTGTAACTCATCTCTATGGTCTGGCCGAACTTTTCCAGCCCCTTTTTCGTTAAATCGTGTATCAAAAACGCCTTCATTTCGTCCGAGCAGATTCCGAACATCAACAAGTCGAGAAAATCCGCGGTGACTCCGCCCTCGGGGACCTTACTGGCGTAATTTGACAGTTTGTTGTCCATTTCTAACAAGATGCTTTCCCACGATTCCGTAATAGTCGTCATCGTGTTGTAGAGATAATTTAACAAGGAAGTTAATTTTATATGTTTGAGGGCAACGGCGTACAGTTCGTTGGTGTGCGTCGAAAAAATGCTTGAATTAAAACAGAGGAGTTTGACGGTGTTGTTTGAATCTCGAACGGAGATTACCATCTGGTCTAAACCATCAGTTAAGTGTATGCTATCAACGGAACAAGATGTGTTTAAATGTGTGTTTAGGTTAAGAGTGGCACAGAGAAAACACCCGAAAATATGAATATAAACAGTGCCTTCGCTCGTCCCTATTAACAACAAATTGAGATCATTTTGTTCCTGTAGTATGTTAGTTTTTTGGTTTTCGTCGGAGTTGGAAGTATCAAATTGTTGTAAAAATGGTTCCGGAATGAAACTAGAGGATAAATCTATATACTTCATGTACTGATTTTGCTTACTTTCCTCGTTTGTTAAAGAACTCTTTCCCTTTAAACTAATCCTGTCTTGCATCCAACTGAGACATGAAATGTCGCCTTTTATCTCAATTGAATAAAGAATGTTCTTATTTTCGACTTTAACAAGGATAACTTGTCCTTAAATGAAAATGTAAGTGGTTGTTTAGGGTTGTAGTTGATTAATACCTGAACTATATGCAATTGCTATTATTTTGCCATCAGGCCTCCACACAATCCCCTTGACAGTTAAACCGTCTTTCGGGGGGGCAAGACTCCACGCTTTTGTCCACGTAAGACGGTGTAGAGCGACCTCTCCTACAAACAACAGTAGAGACAATATGGGGGCTCCTTGTACTAACCTTTAACGTTGGCCAAAGCCACAAGGTCCATGCGATCACTCCATACCATTAGAGTTATCTCGCTAGCCACATTTCGTTCTTCCAGTTGCTTAATGGCTTGAATCGTCGACATGGTTTTTGAATTTTGAAAATTTGAGGTTAGATAATCACTTGCAACAAAACCGGCAAAACAGACGCGTTTAGTGTAAACACACGTGGTAAAGGGGCGTCAAGCCCGATTCTACATATTTCAGAGTTTCATGCGCTTCCACTTTCACAAAAATTCAAGTGAAAATTTAAAGAATTTGAATGTGAAGAGTGTTGTGTGTGAAGATAGGCGGCAGGCCCACCAACCTTTACGTTTGCATTCTTTGCCAGGTTTAATGGCATTTGTTGACCGTTTTTATTTATAACGAGGTTACGTAGACTTATAATTGTAACTTATACCTATATTATTTCATTATTTTGTTTATTTACGACTGATTGTTGTATTCTGTTGGTATTTCGATTTCATTGTTGACATCTGTCATTTGTCATTTGTAACAACAGGGTGTCTTGATTATTTCTCGTAATTCGACTTTACAAAATAAATAATAATCACCATGGATAACTTAGAAGCCAATATTATGGATAAATCCATGCGCTCTGTCTTCGGTAATAACCCCCAAAACCCCTCTTCAACTCATTAATATTGTGTTTTTAGTGGGCAACATCCCCTATGAAGCCACTGAAGAAAAGCTTAAAGACATCTTTGGCGAAGTGGGCCAAGTTCTCTCTTTCAAGTACTTTCCAGCCCCCTCAATTCTAGCACTTACTGTTCGCTTTTTCAGGCTCGTGTTTGACCGCGAAACCGGCAAACCCAAGGGTTATGGTTTCTGTGAGTACCGCGACCAAGAGACCGCCCTCAGCGCTATGCGTAATCTCAACGGCTACGAAATCGGGGGGCGCAACCTCCGTGTGGATAACGCCTGTACGGAAAAGTCGCGAATGGAAATGCAAAACTTGCTAAACCAGCCGCCAGTCGAGAACCCTTACGGTGAACCAATTCAAGCGGAAAAGGCCCCTGAAGCGATAAGTAAAGCCGTGGCTTCGTTGCCCCCAGAACAAATGTTTGAATTGATGAAGCAGATGAAACTGTGCATTCAGAATAACCCGACTGAGGCCAGACAAATGCTGCTGCAAAATCCGCAGCTGTCTTACGCATTGTTGCAGGCGCAGGTTGTCATGAGGATTATTGATCCACATACAGCGAGTGTAAGTTGGGGGTGATGGTTAAAAGGGGGCTAATTTGGGGGTTGTAGACGCTGCTGCATCCTCAGAATCAGGTTCCTGGCACTCTGGCACCGAAGGAGAAGTCGTCGGCGGGGCCGATACCAATTAACAATAATTTTGCGACAAATCCGGCACCCGTGCAACCCCCGAGGGAGTTCCAGCCAGTCCCGGCGCCTGTCATGCATGGAAGCAGCCAAAACTCGGTGTTCTCAGGTGATTTGACAACATATTAGCTCGAAATTCAATAATTTTGTTTTTTAATTATTTAAAACTGTGTTAATTCGTTTTTAAGTAGGTCAAGATGTCGATTTACGCTCGATGGATCCACGCGGCGGCACAGACCCAAGGTTAAGCCGCATGGGCGACCAAGATATGCGGACCCTCCCTGGACAACTCCCCAACCCCTTGCCGCCGCCCCTCGTCGAAAAGTAAGTATTTCACAACATTTAGAGCAAAGATTTATTATTTAAAAAACGCAGCTTTCCAAAACTGGATCAAAAACTTGACAGGTAAAATTACTAACTACCAACCTTAAAAAACCAACTACCCTTTCGCTTACTAATTTACGCTTAATTTAGCTTTAGCAGGGACCCCCGCGGGGGGCCTGCGAACTTCCCTACGGACCCGAGACAGCAGCAGAGAGTCGACCCGAGACAAAAGAATTTACGTGAGTATGAGTTGTTCGACAAGGCGGGGCATCAAAATGTGGTTTTAGCGCCGCAGCAGAATTCGATGCCCCCGCAACCGGTCAGGCCGCCGCCGCAGATGTCAGGCGGGTCTCAGGGGGGACCGCAAGGGCCTCGGCCTGCCGCGAGTTCCACTCCGAACATAGGGCCTGCGGGGGCGTCAGATCAAGAGAAAGCGGCTTTGATTATGCAAGTTTTGCAACTGTCAGATGAACAGATCGCAATGCTGCCACCCGAACAGAGAAATAGTATTTTGGTTCTGAAGGAGCAGATTGCGAAGAGTACTCATCGTTAGGGTTACTTAAGTTTAATAATTGTAGATTGTTTATTCATTACGGGAGAAATTACAGAATTTAGCAAACAATGGGGCATTTTTATGTTGTTGATAATGATGTTCATTGTTACCAACTGTGGTGTAATGAGTAAGGCGAGTTGAATAAAACGAGTCGTTTTCCCCAAATATATTTATTACTTCTTTACTGTATACATAAGAATTAAAAAATCTTTAAAATTAATAACATATTATTAACACATTTCTATGTACAATTTATGTATATAATAAAAAAGTCAACAACATAACGTGACGATTTGTAAACTCTCCTACCACAAACCTAAACTAAACATACAAAATAAATAGGAAGAAATGAGCGAAGACCTGCACACGTTAATTTTTTGATTTTTTTTGTTTTTCAATTTTTCTCGTTTTGTGGACAAACCATTACTGAGCGCCTGTGTTGAACTACTAAAATTATTGCAAACAATATCTGAATTTATTCCGTCATAAACGTTTAATACAGTAATATCTAATAAAAGCTAAATCTTTAAAAGGGTTAGAAAAAAATTCAACTAGGTCGGCACGTTGGTACTTCTTGAATGGACGATCCGTCTAGAGCGCCACCTTCGATATGGTAACCCATACTGGCGAGCATCGACTCGAACGGGTCCATGCACATCCTGTGCTGATTCGTCTCCACCACCGTGGGGATGCTCTTTACGATGCGGCTGTTCAATTTCCCGTCCTTGAGACAACAAAATTCGCTTAGCAACTTGTGTCTTAACTAATTACTTAACTAAGCCGTCTCACCTCCGGACTCGGCGACCAAATCTTCACAGCTGTATCTATGCCACTAGAAGCTACAACACAGGCACTGGGGTGTGGTTGAATGCAATTAACTATCGAGTTGTCTCCAAAGAGAGCCCTAACTATTTCCATAGTCCTCTTATCCCAAATGAAGATGATCCCTTCGTCTGAGCCTGCGCAAATATAGCTATCGTCGTCTCCTGTAACACCAAACTAAAATGACCCTGTCTCCTCCCCCAGCAACAAACCTAGAAAATTCGCCTCCTTGATATCCGTCGTCGTGTTGCAATGCCCCAGATACCTCTTCTCGAAATCGTACGAATCCAACCTAATCTTCTTCTCGTCTTCATCCACCTTCTTCGGCCACACCTCCTCCATCTTCACCCCCATCACCTTCACCCCTTGCAACTCCTCCACTAACAGCTTCACCTGCGCCGTGTTCTCCACCTCTGGGTACACCTTGACGAAGTACTTCAGCCACGTCCCCGCTTCCTCCTTCCACTTCAGCGCTATCAAACACTTGATTAACCCAATATAGGCTTGCTTGTGGTCCGGCCAGTACTGTATAACATGGAGGTAGTCCCGTGCGGCCCCATACAGGTCGCTCATCCACTTCCTCTGGTACGACTTAAGCGCCCTCTTCATATAGAAGCATGCGCAGTCGTCGCTGCGCTCGAACAAGTCACCACTGATACCGTTAGCATCGCAAAGACCGTTAGGTTGGCAGCAGCTCTTGTACGACAACTGGGGCCGCTTCGGCAGGTACTGTGGGATCATCAGTTCGTTGATGTGGCGGTTGTTGTTGACGTCGAACAGGTAAATCTGCTCGCCGCCGACGTTCACGAGCATCTCGGAGCCGGCGGAGTTGAAGGCCACGTACGTCACGGACAGTTTGATGCTCATCACACCCGCGTTCTCGCGGGCGAGGTGACCGGCGGCGTAGTACTGGACGCAGTCGCTGTTCTGGGGCTGCGGGGGCGAACGCTTCGACGGGTTGAACGACAAGTTCGCCTGGAAGTAGGACGGGATCTAAAGGCTTGCCAACAGAAACAAGACGCTGATTTACCATTGAAACTTTGATCATGCGTCGATCGTACAGACGCACAAAGCAGTCGTTGGCTCCTATAGCAATGTAGTGGGGCTTCGTGGGGTTCACAGCGATGCATTTGATCTCCGATTTGAAACTTAAGTCGATTAGGACTTTGCTTTGAGTGGGACATTCGTGGGGCTCGCGCATGTCGTATTGTCTACACACAAATAGCGGCAATTATCAAAAAATAGTTATGAAAGAAAAATATCGTGCCGTCAAGTTGGTAAGAAAAAACGCTGCTTTGGTGGGCCAAAAAATTTAAACCATGACACTTATTAATTGCAAAAAATTGGTCCAAAGAGTTTAGACAATACTTCCCTCGCTGTCGGAAGATAACCAAATATATTTTGACTAAAAATTTATTGTGCTCTTTATAACCTTAAAACATCTGCAAGATTTCGAAACATTCGGTTCTGTAGTTCCTGATTAAATCAATAAAATACATTTACCCATTCATTATTTTTTTGGGTCACCTGTATATGCAAGTCCAAAATGATAGATCACAAGTACAGACTCATCATATTTTGTACATTTTAAATAGGATTTATTCGGCAAACTTTTGAGCTGACGTCATCAAGTTTTTGGAGGGGATAACCAAATATATTTTGACTAAAGATTTATGATGCTCTTCATAGTCTTAAAACATTTGCAACATTTCAAAGCATTCGCAATTGCAAAATGTTGTTTTATAATTTTGATTGTTTTTCCAAAAATTTGGACGTTTCGGGTAAAAACTCAATTCGGAGTCAAAATGAGGTTGGTATTACTTGGGAATTTTTAGTAACTTGTAATTTTGAGTTGGTGTGACCGCTTAGCTGATGCCTTTAATCTGTACGATCTGTACCGCTAATTCTGACGTTTGGTGTTAGTACTGCGACTCGTGTAACCCTATTTTGCCTTAAATTAAATTTATTTGTGTTTAAGCTAAAATGAAATGTTTTGATATATTACTAAAAAGGAAAAAGTAAACCAGTAAATGCAGATTTTCAGATTTTTTTGCATAAAAAAAATCAGTTAATAGTGTCGCATTTGTTATTTTCAAGTTGTACTAGCAGCAAAACATTTTTCTTGAGGTTTATTAAATTGTTCTTTACACAGGATTGAAATTTGCAAAGTAGAAGCGGTCACTTGATTAAAAGTTTCCGTTTTTAGTGCGTTACTCGAGTATTTAAAACGGGCAATTTTCGCGCCATTTGAGAGCCCCTTGTGACGTATCAATATGGCATCCCAATGTGGCAACCTTATCTATTAAATGACTTTGTGTAGGACTACGTTATTTTATACAATTTAAAACCCATTTACTATGTACAATTTTGAAATGACGTCATCGCATTAGTGGTGGGGATGATTAGACAAATTTTAGTTAGCGTTTTACCATCTACATGATATTCCTAATATAAATACAAAATTTGACAACAATCGGCCCAGTATTTTCAGAGATTATCTGTTTAATAACGGCAGACAGACGGGAACGGGAGACCTATTTCTTCGTCCTGTAGGGGTAATGAAACGTCGAGAAAACGTACAAAAAGAAAACCAAATGGCGTTAATTTAGTGTTACCAAGTTGGCACAACAGCGTAACTTAATCACGGTGAAATAAAGTGGGCCATGACCAACTGTCTTTCTTGTCAAATGTCAATTTCAACCTACACAACAAGCCCATCTTCTCCAGCAGACCAGAACAACGTGGGCTGATCTGGGGCCGTCGCGAGCCTCTTCACCCGTCCTATATGGCAGGCACAGTCCAGCAAGGGGGCGCTTTTATCCAGAGCCCCCACCACACTTTGCACAACCACTCGACAATCCCCCGCTGCTGTCGCAATAACATGTTCATCGGCTAAAAACTACCCCCAAATAACTGATCATTTCCTTCCACCTACTCACTTTCACTGAAAATATATTGCCAATGTGGGGCGTCGGGATGACATCGATCTGCTTATGCCTAAAAGGGTCCCACAGGATGACATTAGTGTCATCTGATCCGGACGCCAAGTGGCTGCAACGACACGATAAAGAAACCGTTTGGGGGTTTTACGCGCTCTTACAGTCCATTGGGGCTCCACTCCAGGCAATTGACGCAGCCTTGGTGGCCCTCGAGCTCAGCCTCAAGTCCTAACCTTTTGATGAACGTGTCAGAGAACTGCGAGCGCTGTTTGAGGACTTTGGCTGCTTCTGAATTGAGTTCTCTACATTGCATCAACTTCAAAACGTTACGGTTGCTTCGCCATCCTTTTAGTTTGCTTTCCATCTGATAAATAAACACTGTGTAATGGGGATGAGTACAAGGTCAAAGCTCACCTTTGTTCCAACACGTTGTACATCATAAATGTAAAGAAATGATAAATCGCATGATAAACGAGGACTCGCTGTTTATAAAGAACGATTAAGTTGTTTGAAAGGTGTCAAAAGACTACTTCGTTTGTTTTTGTTTATGGCATGGTGGGCTTCTGGGTCGATTAGTAAAGTTGGCAGCAGCGGCTGTCACCCGTCAAGTGTTTTGGGGGATTTTTCTAACACAATAAAGACAAAACCGAGGAAAAACAACACAAAAATTAAAAAGCCACGCACGAGGATTATCGCTTTAGCGTTTGAAACGGACCAAAGGACACGAAGTTCCAAGAATCGATAATTTCTAGATTAATAATAGTGACTTTTGTGACTATTGGCGACACTGACTGTCACTCATAAATTCATAATACAAACTTCAAAAATTTTCCGAACAATTTTTTACTCGTTTGAACACCAAATGGGGTACGTGAGTACAAAAACGTCCCTTTGTACATCTCATATAATCTCATACAAAACAACTATACATAACAATATGATAAATAATAAAATTCAAGAACCTTAACCAATACTGTTAGTACGCCCCATAACTAGCAAATAACATGCACTGGAATCAACAAATTCCTGGAAGCCATTTTCGCCAATAACCTCTCCCCCAGCTCCTTCGAAATCTCGTGCCACACGCACTTCCCTATGATCGGTACTTCCTCTAAAGGGGGCCGGAATGCCACCAACATGGTCAAACAAGCGCCATCTTTGCGCTCGCGGGGGTCGAACTCCACAGAGAGCAGTCCGTGCGGTCTGTGCGCCCCCACTTCAGCCCCAAACAGATCCACCATGAATTTTCGCAACGTAGAATGCAAACTTTTGGCCGGGTTGATCTCGCACGTGGGGAGGTGCCACGAAGTGCGTTCACTCAAAAGAACGTGGACTCGGTTCGTGGCTTTCTTTTTAATCACGACTACGAGACGCAAGAGAAGCTTGGAATGGGGGCGAAGGCACGGTAATTGGTCCGAGTGCCAGGTTTTGTCTTGAATTTGGCGCGCTTCTTTGAACGCTCTAAACAAAAAACGTTAATGTTAAAAAAAAATACGGCAAAAAAGTTTTTCGTTTTGTGGCAAAATGAGCGACTTGATGACTTCAAATTCGGCATTTTATGTGAGTTTTGAGTTACGGGTTTGTGGGTTTTGGTTTAAAGGTGAGCTAAAGCAAATTTTTTCTTAGGAGGCAATAAAATTCAGTCATGACCGGTGCAATGGATTTTTTAATACAATTTCTACTAATGCACCCTTTTGAAAATTTAAAATTGATCCATAAATAGCGAAAACCAGATAATCTCATATCACACAATTTTAACGCGTTGTAGTTTTTTTTAACAAAATTTAAAAAACGGAAAAGCAGTCTGGGTAGAGTTTTTTACGCTCATTTCAACGGTGTGAAGTTTATTACAATCGGACGTATACTTTTGGCAAAAACTTGGGCAGAAGTTTACATGTATTTCCCTATGCTGAAATTATGCTTTAGCTCACCCTTAATTTGTTTGGTTTAGGTACCGAGTAATTGTGAGGGTTGTGATGAATATGAAGAAGATTTTAAACAAGTTATCAAGGAGCAGGAGAAGAAAAGGATTTTCTTTCAGCATAGATCACCTCAGGTACGATTAATGGGATTTAGTTTGGTAGAAATATGGTTCTAATTCTGCTCTTAACAGATTTCTTTTCGAAAACATCTTGTTCAGCACTTGAAAAACATATGCGGGGAAAAATCTCTAAGTAGGTGTTGTCTTCATTTAAGCGTGTACCTTTTGGATATTTTTATGGACAATCATAAAATAGCTGCTGAGAAGCTTCTGCTCGTAGGAAACGTTTGCCTCCTATTGGCTGGTTTGTTTTTCCCAAAGAAATCTGTTTCCTGTATTTTTTTTAAATCGTTTCTAGCTAAATTCGAGGAGCATTCAGCGGGAGTGCCTAAAATTTCCGAATTAAACGCCTTTGTTGACAATAAATACGAAGTCTCTGATTACAATGACGTGGAAATCCTAGTACTCAAGTTCTACCAGTTCTTTCTTAAATTTCCATGCGCTGCTCACCATGTTTTCTATTATATCAACGAAATGATTTCTCTAGATGATGTAAATGGTGAAACGACTTTTAGAACTCTTTTTTTCGATGTTTTTGAAAATATTAAGATGTATTTAAATTGGATTCTTGATGACATACATTATGTACAGTATTACCAACCGTCAAAATTGGCCGCCGCTATTATAGCCGCCAGTAGGATTCAAAATGGATTAGTACCATGGACCAAACAACTTGAAGACTCAACTACTTATACAGAGGGGCAATTTGAGGAGATTCTGCAAAACTTGCTGAAGTATGAACTTTTTTTTTTTAATATTGGATTACTACTGTTTAATTTTTAGGAAAAACGTGCTTTATTGTGCAAAATGTGACCTGCCAAATTTAACTAACACCAATATAGAAATCTAGTTACGCTTTATTTATTTAATTTAACCTTTAATTTTAATTAAAAAAAAAAGATTGAAAATTTGAAAGCATTCACAATTCTGGTAAGTATCAATAATCAAAAGTAAACGTTGCACCCACCTGGCCCTACTAATCAGTTCCAAAATATCATTAGCCCTCAGCGTCAACTCCCCCATGTTCTCGACCCACTTGGCCTGCAGACTCTCCTTATCCGCCTCGGAGGGTGTCTTCAGGTTCCCCCCAGTCACTTCCCCTGTTAACACGTACCGTATCCACGACCCCCTCGCACATTCCACCATTAAAAGCGTCGAACACTGCACGTGCAAGCCTGTCTCCTCCAGCACCTCCCTCTTCCCGGCATCCACAATGCTCTCCCCCTTCTCGATCCGTCCAGCTGGCAGGTACCTACAAACCTCTTACTCTCAGTACCCCGAAAGCCATTCAGCCCCCTTACCATTTCCCAGCACACGACTCCTTGGCCTCCTGCATCATCAGCACCTCATTGTCATCATTGATCAACACCACAGCCACCACATATGTGACGGTCTCACCCACAACTGGCTTGAAATTGGGGCTCACCGTGGGCTGCACCCCCTGGCTCTCCAACGCGGCGTTCTGCTCCTCCAGAGAAAAGTCGCAGATCTCGGACTCCTCCCCCTCGAGGGGGAGGGTGTGCAAGACTCGGTCTAAGCTCAGTTCCACCGTATCGGGCATTTTTTTGTAAGGTTAGGTCGGTCTAGGCATGGAATTTTGACGCGAAAATATTTGGAAATGGCATGGAATTGACATGACTAATAAACACTACATTTTCATAGAGCACAGTGACGTGCGCGGCGGCGCGGGGGGCGGCGTTGCCGGGTCTTCAAAACAACGGGGATTTTATGGGGAGGTTAGGTTTCGCTGTCATTTAGCATTGACGTTTGTGCTAGTTCAAAATACAATAGATTCATCTTGCTAATGATTGATTGTTAATAACATTTGTTTACAACTGAAAAAATACAAATTAGGCGAGAATCCTATTATTATTATTGTTATTATTACGTATTATAGTAACTAGTGGATATGAATTGTTTGAACTAGTTTGACAATTAATCGCAGCCCGCTATGCTGATTAAAATCACTCCAAAATTGTTAACTTTGGGGTCAGTGGCGTAACGTAGGTCACAAAGTAGGGAAATTCAGAGCGCTTTGGCAACACAGCAAGAAAGAAACGCGTTTATGGTTCTGCAAAAGGCGTAACGGAACCGTTTCGCTCGCAGGTGAATAAATTCCTTTACCCAAAACCTGTTTCCTTACCTGAGGCGCGCCTCTGAATACTAAATAGTTGTGTACACATAACTTTTTTATTACTGTAACCCAGACTAGACCTACATAATCGTGACTTTTTACAAAATAGTGGCGAAAGATTCACACACGTCGCATAAAAAACAAGTTTCGGACGGCTTGACTGAGTACGAAAAAAAAAAAAATTAGTTAATACTTTTCTAACAGAATTCTTAAAATTAATTTATCGCAGTAGAACAAATTATCAAGTCGTGCATACATTAATAGCATCATAATTAGTAAATTTTGGGATTTTTACAATACATCTTCAGCGACGTATGTAACCAATAATACACCGACTCACACCTGTTGCTCGACCGCCGCCTCCCACCTGCCCTAAAAATGCTTTGTAGTTTGTTTTGTTTGTAACTCGTAGTCATCTGTGTAAATAAGTCGCCAGAAGCTCACAAGACATCTGCATTTCCCCGCAAATCCGCCCAAGGTGAGTCTAATAAGTCTTAAGCTTAGTAGATTAGCTCCGCCCATCCAACCCAGCAATTGTGCTTAAATTAAGTCAGATTTGCACGTGAGTGCCTTATTTGGAAATTACGTGACGACTTGAGGCGGGTTTTCCCATTTATGGGTGCCCTGATGGTAAAATTGAGGTGAATTACAGCTGCAGACGTAGTGTGGTAGTGATTTCGATGCTTTCTAGCGGGTTTCATGGTTGAAGGTAATTTTAATGGGTGATGAGAGGAGGAGTTGGGTATCGATCGTGGGTGGTTATTTTAGGATTTGTCATTTTTAACTTATATTGCGTGATGAATGTTCAGTGTGAAATCGATAAAACGTGGAAGTGAGTAAGGGAAAGTGAATGATGTTTGTGTCTTTTGGGGGAAAGAATTTTTTTTTGGTAAAATTGGATAAGTAAATTGACACCTAATGTAACAACCTATTAAAAGTGACCTTGGTTTAAAGTAATTATTTATTTATAATTAGGATTGTTATGGAATGTAGGGTCCTTGGGCATGCATTTATTTGATGTATTGTTGCATATGTCTTGTTTATTTTCTTTTATTTGAATATTTACTCACTCTTTTCAGATGCTCCCCCTGCTCGCCCTCCTCCCTCTCCTGCACCTCGCCGCCGCCAACGTCTACCAATGCCACTCCAAGCTGCTCAAAGGCTGCATCTGCGGCAAGGTCTACGTCAACCAAGAGACCTTATTTACCGTAAACTGCACCAACTTGATGTTCCGCAACACGAACATGCTCGAACAGCTACCCGAAGAAACACAGATGCTCATCTTCACCGGCAATCACATCCCGGTGCTCGAGATGAACGTCTTCGGTGACGAAATCGACCTGAGTGGCTTGAAAGTCATCGACATGAGCAACAACGGGATCAGGGAGATCAAAGGAAAGGCCTTCCACCACGTGCCGAGCGTCGAGAGACTGATCCTCAACCACAACAACATCTCGATTTCCAACGAAGACGACGGGAATTTCCACCATCCGAGGGTTTTTTCCAATTTCTACAACCTGCAGGAGCTTCATCTGACGAACGCGTTTGCGGATAATACAGACGCGGCGCTGGCGAACGATTTACATGATATTTTCGTCAACAGTAATTTGAATAAGTTGTACAAGTTGCATCTGGAGCAGAACGAGATTAAGTTTTTTAAAGACGAGAACGTGTTCTGCGATTTGCCGGATTTGCACGATATATACCTGGGGGATAATAATATTCCGAGTTTGAACTTCAACGTGCGGTGTTTGAAGAAGTTGAGGTACTTGGATTTGGAGAATAATAATATTGATAAGTTCAGGCAGGACGATTTGGAGGCGTTTGATAGTTTGGTCACGCAGAATAATAAGTTCACGTTGGAGCTTAGGGGAAATCCCTTTAGGTGTGACCAGGCGATTAGGGACTTGTACAACTGGCTTCTACAGACTAAAGTGGAGGTGCGCGAAAAAGACCACTTAGAGTGCCATCAAGCCAAATACGGGAACAAGTATATTCTCAACTTGAAGAATCTAGCTGTAGCTAAACGTGCCAAAGTTTCGCAAGCCGTCACCATTTTGGTGATTGTTTTGAGTCTTATTCTTGTCACTTTGTTGGCGGCTTATGCGTACGTGAAGAAAGATAAAGTGAAAAGTCGCTTTGGGCCAGTGTTTGATGCGCTAACTCGGAAAGTTCATTATACAACGATTGAATCTCAAGATGTTTAACTTGGAAGTGTTCATGATGTGTTCCTAACAATGGGAGAAACCACAAGGACTGACGTTTGTTGCGGGATTTCCCACGTGTACTAAATTAATCTAAGTGCTTTTTTAAATTTTGTATGTTTGGTGCTTATTTATACTAGTTGTATAATAGTGTAGTTTTGTATAAAATCTAATGTGCAATTTTTCCGGCTCTGTAAATATTTTACACGATTGTACATAACTTTGAATAATAAAACTTGTTTCGATTCAATGGTCGTTTTTAAATTTACCGCTGGTTGTTCGACAGATGTCAGCACAAGCACTCGTTAATCTATTTTTTGTACGACCATCGCTTTTTCGATCATTTACCGTACAGGTTTCCATAGCAGTAAGTTCAGTTTACGGGTTGCTACGACTAACAACTAATAGGGTGGGTTTTTCCAAAATGTAGTTAACCTCTGGTTTCGTAACTTTTAGTTAACTTTAACTCCAAGTTAACTAGCAGTTAATTTTGAATGCGTTTTTCCAACAAATTTGTAAATTTGGTTAGAAAACTAACAGTTAACTATTTGGTATCTATGGCAACGTTTCACAAATCTGTTGTTTATTGTGATAAATGTCATTCAAATTCTTCTGGTGTTATTATTTTGTACAAAAATGAGTAACACAGAGAAAACAAAGCGGTGTTCTAACTTTACGAAAGAAGGGGAAAGGATTTTGACCCAATTGGTTCATAAAAATAGAAATAGGTAACAGTTTAGAAGCGGGGCAAACACTAAAAATACATGAAACAGCTGAACGCTAAGTAATCATGGATTCAAGATTTTTTTTTTTGGAATTCCATGCGTGTTCGACTTCGATATTTTCGCTTTCAAAATCAATCATGATTGGTATTTTAAGTAAACAAATCACTCACTATAATAGTCGCGGAAAGAAAATTAACTCGAAATCAAGCCAGATCAAAACTAAATCGACAGCGGTGTCAAAATGGAAACTGATTTTTAAAATTCTTGTTTATATTAATCGAAACCATTGTAACAAATTTTAAATTAAAAAAAAGACCTTGTTGATGTTTGATATAAATTCTTTCAATTTATGAATTTGATAAAAAGACGCAAATCTTTTGATGGTCGTACAAAAAATAGTATAAGCATCACGAACGTTAAGGGGGTTTACTGGTCTCAGACAAATTGGAGACGTCGCTTCGCTCCGTCTCCAAACTTTTGCCTTCGACCAGTAAACACCCCTTACCGTTCTTAATACTTAATATGTATACTATTACGGTACCTAATTAATATTTATACAGTATTCAAAGAAAATGACACATTGTATTAAACAATCTTAACTATTTATGTACATTTAAAATTGCATCGCATTTCCGCACCAATAATTACACTGATGTATAACGGGTTGCATAAGCGATTTTTTTCAAATTTATGTATTTCACTCAAATTAATCTTAAAAATGATATTACTCAGTTATCTACAGAATGTATTTGGAAACTACGATAAATTTAAATGCTGCATAACCTCAAAATGCCAGTGCTTGAATTTAATTTACATTTTTTATCACTCCAACATTAAGATATGTTTTCATTTACCTAATTTTACAGAACCAAGATGTATTCGTCAAAACTTATTAAACTGACAATCGTAAGTTTTAATCGTGCAATAAATACAAAACCTTGCCTATTTTTTTAGTTATTACGAAGCCCTCAGGTTTACCCCAAATGTCAGAATGTAAACCATCTACGACTTTTGTCAGCATTTAACCGTAAACCCGTGAAACCACGAACAAAACAAGACGAAATCTTTAAAAATATATTAAAAAGACCAATAAATATATCCCCAAAAATTAATTTCAGTTTATTGAAGATATCACTGTTTGATGTGGTTGTAAATCACTTTGTATATTCCTGTACGTATTAATTTTGGGAGTTTCAGCGCTCTGCTGTCGCTGGTTTTCTTTTGTACAAGTCAGTTGTGTCCAAAATCAACTATGAGTATTTTCTTGATGAGTTACAATTATCAGATTCCATATTCGTCCGTATTGTTATTATAGAGTTGTGTTTGTGGATGTTCGCTGCTAAAGCTAATAAGGAGGGTCACAATGGAAATGCTTTAAGGGAGTCGATGCTTAGCTTGTTAAGTAATCACATGAACACGAAATTGAAAAACGCCGAGGTACTTCTTTGCTTTTCTTTGCTTTTTTTTTTCATTATAATTCATTGTAGAAGGATAACCCTGAATTAGCAGACCTCTTGTCACATGCATCTGATTTTCTTCAAAGCAGTAGAACACGATTTTGTGAGTATGACGAGGCTTTAAATGGGGGCGACTTCACCTTCGCTACCCTCCTGTGGAAACATTTTGATCACGAAGATGAAGTTCACTCAATCTATCTTCACATTTTACTGAAAATGGTGAAGAACATTCGAAGATACATCGAAGATTTTGACTCACCAACAGTATCTTTAATTTTTAGCCCAAATATGATGATTTCTTTTTTGAAGTGGTTGTGTTTATTCATATTTTTCTAAAACACCTTAGTCTGTTTTGTTTTAATTTGAGAAACGATTTCTGTTATTTAATTTCTCCATTGTTAGTCTCACGTGCACCCCTAGTGATTTATTGAACTAATTCCAAATCAAATAATAAAGGCTGCGATCACGTATCAGTGTAATCAAGCAAGCTGTGACTCACTCGTCCACCAATCAAATTTCCATAAATCCCAGTGGGACCAATGGCGACACTTAAGTGTGAACAAAGTCCCCTTCCACCAATCACAATCCATCGGGAAACACCCGCTGTCTTTGACATCCTCCGACCTTCCATGACCTCTAGCTGTCATTTACAATCATCTGAGTCGGCTGTTCCAGCTTTACTGTCGTTTTGAAACTTCTGACGAGCACGGTAAGTCCTAATTTATAGTTTTTGTGAAAATACAAAAAAATTCCACTCATTTACATTACACGACGTTATCAAGGTATTGTTTTTGTTTCGTTGTAAATCATCGGTTTGTTTTTCGCGTCATATCCAAACACACAACGTTTCACTTGATTTTAAAAAATGTCACATTTATGGAATTTTTCGAGAAAAAAAATGGACGAAGAGGCGATCAGTTGCTAGGCAACGACCGTGTCAACAGACTTGACCGATTGTCACATTTGAGTGACCTGACTATTTCCTAAAAAGTGTTTTAATGTTCAAAGAGCAGTTTTTGGATTGTTGTCAGCCGGGGTATTCCAGGCAGAAGGCAAAGCAGGTAATCAACAATATATACAGGGTGTGCCGGCAGCGGAAATCGAAGAACGGATTTGCACGAACATAACCTCACTGATGAAGGTTTTCGATTGTTAATTATTACCGGTTTATTAACCAAGCGTTACCTAATTATTTTCGCCCATTTTTCTATTTTTATGCACAGCTTCGCCGTCTCCTATTAATAAGTATCGCAGAAAATCGTTGCACTTGTTACGCAATTAACACAGAAAATCACTTATGGCTTCGTCACGTTCTCCCCGTGTGAAAACACCACCAAAACTTTTTTTTTCGTCAAAATCTATAAATACTCACTCTCAAATAAATGCTAGCGCCAGGTTTGCTCCTTGGTGGTGGGAGAAGTGTGTGCAAGGGCAATTCAAGTGCGTTCGTTGTATTGATTGGGAGCTGTGCTGTAAGAATTTGCGGTAGAAAAATGGTTTGGACCACTATTTACGACAAAATGGAAAGTGAGGTTGTTTTATTGTTGTTGTCGCGGCGGTTTTATTTTTTATTTACGAAAATCCGACCTTGTAGATGACTTCAAAAGGTGTTCTACCCTCACAAATGGAGGCGGCTGCGGCCACCACCAATCTGGACCATGTGTGCGCCCTTAACATCCAGTCGAGCGGGGCCCCGGTGCGCCAGACGGGGATCATCTGTACCATTGGTATGTCCAGCACTAGCCACAATTAAAATAAAAAAATACATTTTTTGTTGTTGTTGTTGTTGTGAAGGGCCGGCTTCGCGTGACCCAGCAGTATTAGAACAGATGATGGAAACCGGGATGAACGTGGCCCGTTTGAACTTCTCCCACGGGACGCATGAATATCACGCCGAAACCATCCAGAATATTCGCACCGCGGTGGCAAACTATAGCAAGAAAATCGGGATGCAATTCCCCTTGGCCATCGCTCTAGACACCAAAGGGCCGGAGATTCGAACCGGTTTGTTACAAGGGGTGAGTTAAATTTATGCAACCAGTTATACACACATGTATAATTGGTTGCCTATTATTATTTTCATCAGGGGGGTTCTGCCGAAGTCGAATTGAAACGAGGCGACAAAATCAGACTCACCACTGATCCGGCCTACGCCGAGAAAGGTAACACGGAAATCGTCTACGTGGACTACGCCAATATCGTCAATGTTATCAAACCCGGCAACAAGGTCTACGTCGACGACGGTTTGATGTCGCTGGTTTGCGATTCCGTAAAGGGCAACGAGTTGGTCTGTACCATTGAGAACGGAGGGATGTTGGGGAGCAAAAAGGGGGTGAATTTACCCGGAGTTCCCGTTGATTTGCCCGCCATTTCCGAAAAGGATAAGTCTGATTTGAAGTTTGGGGTTGAGCAAGGAGTGGACATGATTTTCGCCTCGTTTATTAGGAGCGGGAGCGCTCTTAGTGAAATTAGGAACATTTTGGGGAGCGCAGGTTGGTATTACTAATGTTTGCAACAAAATCGAGGTTTATTTATATACAAAGAATTGTCTAAAAAGTGAATTGTCATTCAAACATTGCATTTTCTGAAAACCTAGAAGTACGTGATAAGATAAGCGCGTGCGGTTTTCTTGTTAAGTAATTGTGTCAGCGATAAGTACACTTAAATTGACTTTCCGGGTGTTACGGGAATTTGAATTAATCCGTCACGTTGATTGGCGCCAAATGCAATAATTGTATAAGTTTTAGTCAAAAATCGTTTAATACACAGATTGATTAGATAACTATCTTAACTATTTCGAGTGTTTCAATTCGCACAATTCCTAAATGTCGGATCAATTTTTATCTAATCTAAGTCTGCAGCACGCGACACAACTTCATTATTCAGCGTCCTTGTCTGACCTCAAACCTGACGTCACATCGCTTTACAGGCTTGAGCATCCTCATCATCTCAAAGATCGAGAACCAGCAAGGCTGGGACAACCTCGACGAGATCATCAAGGCCTCCGACGGGATCATGGTAGCTCGCGGTGACCTCGGTATCGAAATTCCCACCGAAAAAGTATTCCTGGCCCAGAAGGCGATGATCGCCAGATGCAACAAGCTGGGCAAGCCCGTGGTCTGCGCGACCCAGATGCTCGAATCCATGGTTAAAAAACCGCGCCCCACTCGTGCCGAAAGCTCCGATGTTGCCAACGCGGTGTTGGACGGCGCTGATTGCGTCATGCTTTCAGGGGAGACGGCCAAGGGTGACTACCCCCTGGACTGTGTCCATGTCATGGCCAACATCTGCAAGGAAGCCGAAGCGGCGATTTGGCACCAGCAGTTGTTTATTGATTTGACGAGCAAGGTAATTGCTGCACGCTTTAGAAAGTCTAGAAATTGACGAGCTGTGTTTCAGGCAGTGCCGCCTGTGGATGCCGCCCACACGATCGCCATTGCTGCCACCGAAGCGTCGTCAAAATGTTTGGCGGCGGCTATTATCGTGGTGACGACGTCAGGGCGGTCGGCGTACTTGATCAGCAAGTATAGGCCGCGGTGTCCGGTGATCGCGGTGACGAGGAATGCGCAGACGGCGCGTCAGGCGCATCTATATAGGGCCGTTTTGCCCTTGATTTATGAAGGTTGGTAGCACTGTGGGGGGTGACTAGTGACTTTAATGTTTGTTTAGCCGACAGGATGAGCGACTGGTTGCAGGATGTTGACGCAAGGGTTAGTTTCGGGTTGAATTTTGGAAAGGCGAAAGGGTTCATCAAGAATGGAGATCCCGTTATTATTATCACGGGGTGGCAACAGGGCTCCGGTTTTACCAATACGATGAGGATTGTGTATGTATAAGCCGCCACGTGCTGCCTTGTCTGTCTATTTGTATTAGCATTTGTTGTGGTGTCTCGCTTTGTGTTACCATTTTATTTATATTCAGGTTTTACTATTTTTTGTTTTCTTACAGGAACGTCTAAGTGGAGTATTATTTAAATAATTTGAGCGGTAGCAGCGCTGCCATTTAATTGTAGTTGGATGTTGATATTATTTCTAAATTTAACTAATTTATTAGTTATTTGTAGATAAAGTATTTAATAAAGTGTCTCCATGTACTAGTTCTTGTTCAATTAAACCAAACAAAATACTTACACACTGAGGATAGATGTAGATTGCCAGGTATTCATACTACCAACTTTAGAAAATGAGATTTACTTTCAAAATATAAACCACGCCATATAAAATGAGAGTTTGCTTTTCATAACTCCTGCTTGCGATTTCTCGCTGCCAAAACAAACTTTTTCATTGCGTCCTTGTTGTTCTCGCCCTCGTAGTCCGCGACGTACTTTCCATTTATAAACAATTTAAACGTAGGAAAAACAGACACTCCATAATCGTGAGCGGTTTCACCATTAAGATCACAATCAATCATAGCCAACTGCAAATCAAAACCTTCTGCTTTCAAATCAGTGGCTATTCTCTGATAGTGCGGTTTCATTTCCATGCATGGCTTGCACCCTAATAAACAAAAAATCACCAACTAAACACAAAAACAACCATACTTACAAGGTGCGTAAAATAAAACTATGACAGCCGACTTCGACGAAATTTCTCGCTTGATGTTCGTCTCATTGAACTCCCAGACGTCCGAAGGTTTAATTTGAGTGGAGCCGGTAACGTCTAGTGCCTTTATGTAGTTTATGAAATCCATAGCCTACAACACGATAATGGAAAACGGAACACTCGGTATGTGCACGTACCGTACGACCGGCATTATACGATTTCACGTTCTTAATGAGGTAGTTGAAGTACTTGATCGTCGGATAACCGGTGACTTCATGGGCTGAACACAGAGATTGGTGTGACGTACAATCGACTGCCACGAATTCGATTTTCGGGTCATCTTTAAAGTTCTCCGCGGCTTTTGTAAACTCAGGTTTGGCCTTTTTGCAGTGTCCGCACCCTGTAAAAAAATTTCGAAAAGCGGGAATGAATTTGAAGGATCTAGTGACAGACGTCATGGTGGTGACTTGACATTTGACAGTTGGTACCACACACTGCGATTATTTAGTTTGAAAAGAAAACCGCGCACTTTAGTTACAGCTTGAATTAACGCACTACTAAATTAACAATAACGAAAAATAAACTAACTTTGTCGGTCAGGTTGGTACTATACGTCATTCTCGCCACAGCCTACTTACACGGGGCGTAAAAAATCACCAAAACGTGCCTCTTTTTCTTCAAGAAACTTTTGAAGTTTTCTTCTGATAAATGTACGACGTGACTCTCCTCCTCCGACCATGGTTTCTCTGGAGGCGGCGGCGGCGGCGGCTCTTTCGGGTTTCTCATAAACTCGACGATTTTCGACGATTCGCGCAAGTTTATGTCAAACTTGTGTTCCCCATAGGAAAAATATTTTATGGTGGGGTACCCCTTGACGGAAAACCGGTCTGCAATTGTGACTTCTTTGGTGGCATCTACAGCCGCCATCATCCCTGGAATCTACTCAACAATTAAGTCAATAAGTTGGTACCAGTGTGCTACATACCCCATCTGATTTTAATTTAGCGGCGGCTTTTTCATACTCAGGTTTAATTTTCTTGCAGTGGCCACACCAGGGGGCGTAAAACATCACTAACAAAGACGCTTCTTCTTTAACCACAGGATCGAAATTTGTGGTTGTTAAATGCACAACTTCACTGTCAACCTCTGACCATTCTTGTTCTTTGACTTTCACAGGTTTTGAGGGGTTTTTCATGAAGGTGACTAACGCTTGGCGCTTATTATCACCTTCATACTGATATTTCATAACCCCATTTCTGTAAAATCAAAAATGTGTAAAATTTGGCTGCAACTTCTACAAATTTAACTTACTTATAATATAACAAAGTGGGGAACCCTGTGATGTTGTACTGCGTCCGAATCACCGCATTTTCGGGTTTATTTACATCAATGGCAGCTAGAATTGAGTGTCCTTTCAGCTCCTTTGCAGCCGCTATATACTCCGGTTTCAAACTTTTACAAAAACCGCACCACGGTGCATAAAACATAACCATTAAAGGCTTACTTTCATGTTTTATAAGTTTACCCAAAGTCTAAAACTCCATTTGTACAAAAAACACCATAGTAGGGCTACAAACCTCTGCGTCTGGAATGTGTGTGATATCACTAGCAGTGGCGTCTTCCTCCCAAGGTAAGTCGCCCGTTGGATCTCTCATAAAATTGACCATAGAACTCACTGTAAACTTGCGGTCATAGTCCCGATTAAACTCCCCGTTTTTGTAGTGTTTAAGAATATAAGAATCCGGGCTAATTTTCAACTTCTTACAAATCTTCTTCGCATCGCTATAAACATTTTGTAATTTGTGGAAAGTGAGGTTATGTTCGTTTACCCAGCACAATCCATGAGTACCATGGTTCCTTGACCCTTCATAACATCGCCAGCCTCACGTAATACTTTAATAACCTGAGATGCTTGCTTAATCGAGTTCGTGTAACACACCAAAACGTTAGTTTTCGTACGAATGATTTTTTTGAAGTCTTTAATATCGTAAATGTTGTCGATGACGGAGTTTTTTGTGTCTTTGGTTAGATAAACGTTGAATTCGAGCATTAGAAACTGAAATCCACACATTAAAAAGCGCCGGGTATTTGGAGCGATACTTACGAGGAGATAAATCGAGAAGTATTTCATTTTTGAAATTTCTGTGTGGACGTTTGAAGAATTACATTAAGGACATTTCTAAAAGTGTAAGTACTTGTTTGGAGAGAAGAATTTTGCCCACGACGTACCCACGCAAATTTTGTTTTTCGTCCTGTTTCGTGTAAATAATAATTTTGAGATAATTGACAGGTGGTAATTGACGTTTGACGGCGCCGCCTACAGAGACCTGTATTATCAACATTGATTTTTTTTGCAATTTATTTAAATTTTTAATTTAATTTTTTAGTACGTGGTTAAAGTCGTCACGAACTATACTATTTCCAGCGATAGATTGGAAAATTTTGAATTCACAATCGCCAATCGGAGAATCCAAAATATACTAACATTATACGGTTAAAGTTGTTAAAGAGTTGTAGTTTAAGTTGGCAACCAACGTTTCTTTTCCCGCGCAACGAATTTCCTACGCCTCTATGCCTGCGCCAGTCGGCCGGTTTCGTTTAACCTGTGTTTTGAACGATCAACTGATTGACGTTAATTTAAAATTTTGGTTCAAAAAGTTAAAAAGTGTGTTTTTTGCGTTTAGTGTTTGTGTTTTTGTACTTGCTTTGATTTGTTAGGTATGATATTATAGACCTTTGTGCTATTTTTTGTATAGTGGCTGAAGTTTGGACATTTTAGGTTAAGTTGTTTGTGTCAAAAAACGTTTCATATGGACCCCATGGAAGACATTACGAATAAAATTCATAATTACGCAAGAGTGTGTTGTTACATTTTGTAGCCCTCTTCAACCCGGTGCAATATGACTGTTGTTGACAACATCCTGGCACAGAAAATGATTGCCAATGCGTATTCATTTTTCAAGAAGGAAAATTTTAATTTAAGATGCCCTACAGCGGTTGTTAATTCAATATAAAGTACGTAATGTTATTCGAAATGTATATTCCAGTGTTGATAATATTGTCTGTTGGAAATAAATTGTGTTATTATTAAAAGTAATTTTACGTAGTTCAACATTATTTTCGAATCTACTTATATTTCAAATAAAGCGCCTTTGGCACTACTTTTTATAGCGGTCTATTTGGTGACTTTTCTGTCAGCTAATCTATCGGTGGAAATACTATAGTTAGTTATTAACAAGAATCCTGTATTGTTGGTTGCCTATGACTACTTCTGACAGAAAGAGTGACACTTTTTAATTTGTTTATATAGATGGCGCTACAGTCGATTTACAAACTATACAATTACATTAATTAAAATTCTAATTAATACTTAGGATGGTGGTCAGAAGTCATTAAATAGTTTAGTAGCTGAGAACGAGGGATAATTTAACCAAAACTATCAAAATTAGTCCACTAACTAAGTAACTGATTAAACAGTAGCAATAAAGTACACCGTTGGTACGAAATGGTACCTTCGCTTAGTCATAAATCGAATTGAAATCCCCCCTTAATCACTAAATTTTAATTAAAAACTTTGAGTCTGCAATAACCGCCCCATTCCAGCCCATAATCAATCCGCCCACATCCCACATGGTCCCAGCGCAAGTCAACCCCACCATCCATCCACCGACCCAATCAATGGAACATCAGTTCGATTCGCGCTGGGTCTCCCATCACGTGCAAATGCCGCGTCCGGGGTGAACGATGCCGCATTTCTGGGACTACTTCGGCCGAAGCCCCCCTAAACAGCGCAACCTTCAGGATGGCCTGTTCCAGATAGCTTCCCAAACCTGCAACCTTCTCGTCCAAGTCAACAATACCAACAACATCAGCTACGGCAACGGCAGTACCAACATCCATCTGAACGACATCTGCGTGCCCATCAGCCGCCCAGAAGCACCCATTCTACAGAGCGAAACCGACAGGGAGCAGCTGCTGGTGCTCATCCCGTCCAGGAACAAAGTCTCCAAGTTCAAGCCGACGGGATTGGGGAAGCGATTATCGGTGATTAATTTTAATTCGTTTTAATTTTAATTAGTTGGGCAAAAACGGGGCTCGCATGTCGAGATAAGGTAATTGCGTGACCTTGGTGGTAATTGCGAGTGGCTGGCAAGTGGCGGCGCAAATAGTCCAAGGTCGGGGGTGTTTACCGTCGTTAAAAATTAATGGGCCAAGTACGTGTCTTTCGGGGGTAATTAATATCGTTTGATTGTCTCTTCTGGGAGGGGGTTGTGTTGGGTTTGGGTTTAATCAATAAATATGTATTGGGGGTCTTTGTTTGTCGATATTGGGGGTTGGATAAACATGTTGTTGATGATAAATAACAACGATAAAAAAATTAATTCGGTTGAGTTATTGTCAACCCGGCGCATCCACCATTTTGTCATCATAACGAGACATTAAGAATACAATTTTTGTTATGAATATGCAATGAATGTGAGTTAATATTTCATGTCGGAAGGAGTTTTTTTTAGAACACAAATGAATATCTGGGAAGTTATGTCCAATGAAAAAAATTAAAAAAGCTGAATTAGCTTTATTGTTATATAATAAAATAAATGATAAAACGAGAAAGATCTAGATTTTTATAATGGTGACCTTTTTAACTAGTCCGCTCCTGGAGCACGCTAACAAACCCCTCGACACTTTACCACATTTACGTGCATATGCAAACAAGAAAAAAAAGGGTCAGATATCAGATCAGTTCATTATTTATTACACATCCATACATGTAGAGACTTTACTGCATTGAAACACGACTTTAGTCGCAAAAAGACGTTCCAATGTACGACTTGGCAAATGTTCCATTCTAAATGTAACATACCGTACATTAAAATGAAGGTAAGTTGGGACATTCTGTATATTTTATTTTTAATACAAAAATGCATTGTGCATATGCAACCAGTAATACACTCATTATTTATATTTTTTAACAATAATTTAAAACGTGGATGTCGTAGTGGTAAATGAAAGTCTTCACTTTTAACAATACCGAAGATCGTGGTGATGATACAATCATTTAATAATTCGTGGTTTTGCAACAAAATTAAAAGTGATGTCATTGACATGTGGACATGACGACATTTTTTTCGCCGAAACCTTAAGTACCCATAATATTGTTGTATTTGACGCTCTTTTCGCTTTATCGGTCGTTTCGTTATCACTTTTAATTCATCGATGTGATAAAAACTCATTACCATAATTGATAATCGAAAAACAAAGACGCGATGAAAGTGAGGTTAGGATTTCCACCTTCCACCAAACCAGTTAAAGTAAGACAAAATCAACCCCCAATTAATCAGCCAACTGTATTTAATTCCGTAGACATGGTGTTGGCGTTTTCTTTATTATAGTAGCCACCCCCGAAATAATTTCTTTTGTCTCGACAGACTGTTCTAGAAGACCACGCTGCCAACCACGATGAAGACAATCACTTATGGGGCCACGGTTACACTCAGTCGGAATGTGACGGCAGCCCCATTCGAAAGTAACTATGTCAATTCGCACAAACGCTTAACTAACTTTGACGTTTTAGTAGGTGGGGGCAGAAGAACAAGTGGTGTAGACCTTCCTGTATCCCCATCTCTCTAATCTGTATTCTGATCTTCCTTGTAGTACTTTTGCCTTTGTTAGATCACGCCACCGAGCGCGCTTTAGAGGAGCTAAACAGGGCGGTGCCAGCGTCGTGCATCAACACGTGCAGGTAGGAAGGCGGGGTTAGTAGGCGGGGCTTGTTAACATCCGCTTTGTGTAGCTTGTCGTTGGTCGAGAGCATCCCCGAAGGCGTGACTTTCAACTCAAGCGTAAAGCACCCCTCTACTTTCGAGACATGGTTCAATTTAATCCTATCCGCCGAAAGCACAATAGAAATAGCGTCTTTTTATTGGACGTTGCGACAGTCCGAAGTGTATCCAGATCCGTCGTCTGTCAAAGTATGACTTTGTTTTTTTTTGCAAAAAGTGATGTTTTTTTCCAGGGCGAGATTATTTTTCAGTCCTTGCTGAAGGCAGGCACTGATCGTAAAATTTCCATAAAGATAGCACAAAACGCGCCGACACAGAATAATCCAAACGTGGATACGGAGGTGTTGGTTAAGAGGAAAGCGGCTCAAGTTAGAAGTTTGAATTTTGCTAAGTTGATGGGTGGGGGGGTTTTACACACAAAATTTTGGATTATAGATAGGAAACATGTGTATGTTGGAAGTGCCAATATGGATTGGAGGTCACTTACTCAAGTAAGTAAAAGTATGGGGTCTGAAGGGTGTATTTATGGGGGAGGAGTTGAACTGTAATGAGTAGGGTGGAAATGTCAAGGTTCGACACTCGTTAGAAACGAAAGAAACTAATTTGTGTAATTGTCACGATTTTTTTTTTTTTCAGGTGAAGGAATTAGGTTTAGTCATCAACAACTGCACTTGTTTGGCTGAAGATTTGGGGAAAGTTTTTGACGTAAGTGTAAGCCATTATAGTATTATGTTCATAATTTATCACGTCACGTATTGATTAAACGCCAGAATTTTCGCCGAATTTATTCGATCGTTGGGGGAATTCCGTTTATTTACTAGAAAATGTTTGAGGGTGGAATCAGGGGAGCAATTAGGGTATAATTAAGGTTATATTTGTACAATGATTCGATTTTATGCTTTGACAAAATAATATGACAAGTTCGTTAGGTTTACTGGAAGTTGGGTGAAGATGGCGCTCGCATCCCCGACCAATGGCCGGCCAACTTATCCACACACATCAACAAGGACACCCCGATGAACCTCACCCTCAATAACGAAACTTTCCAAACTTATTTATCGGTAAAACTCGCACTTTCCACCCCCATAAAAGCCACGTCTCGACTTTCCAGAGCTCACCGCCCCCTTTTAACCCTTCGGGTAGAACCAACGACATAGACGCCCTCCTTAACGTCATCCAACACGCCGAAACCTTCATTTACATAGCAGTTATGGACTACTTCCCTTTAACAATCTACACCCCGAAAATAAAATTCTGGCCTAAAATCGACGACGCGCTAAAAACTGCGGCCATAGAACATCACGTCAAGGTAAAAATGTTGATTAGTTGGTGGAACCACTCTCGACCGTCCGAAGACAACTTCTTAAAATCGATCGCTTCCATAAATCAGGCGTACCCGAGGGTGTCAATCGAAGTGGTAAGACTCAAACCGAGGAAAAAAAGTGAGGTTAAGGTTTGTTTGTAGCGGAGATTCATAGTGCCTTCTGATAAAGAACAAGAAAAGATTCCTTTCGCGAGAGTCAACCATAACAAGTACATGGTGACTGATAATACGGTTTACATTGGAACTTCTAATTGGTCAGGGGATTACTTTACCGACACCGCTGGAGTGTCTTTTGTTTTGCATGACCCCATGTTTGACCGAAATGTGACGCAAACGACCTTGAGGAGTGAGTTACAGGCGGTGTTTGAGAGGGATTGGAATTCCAATTTGTCGTACCCTCTGAAGATGTAATTTTTTATGTACGTTTGAAAAAAAAAAAAAAATCAAAGTACCAGTGCCTTTATTTTCACACGATATTTTTCTGTAGCAATACATACCAGATCACGGTTGGCAACTGTGGTCGGTTTTATGTAGTGCCTTGAGAGGTTGTCGCTCATTCTAAATTTTGTGTAGTTTAATGACCAGTGTAACATTGTCTTGTGAAATAACGTGTACACAAGTGTTTTATTTCCACGTTTGGGTTGTAAAATAAATAAATTTTTCAAATCTAGAGTGTTATTTGGGTTGTTGAAGGTCAGAGGTTAAGGGGGGCGGCCACTAGTTGATTACGAACGAGAAGTGCGTGTGGGAGAGAGACGAAGAGTGGGTATTGGATAATCGTCCCTAAAGGTCAAGTAACAAAAATCGCTATGATTATAGTTCGTTGGTAAAAAGTGACGAAATTTGATTGTATCAGAGAACACGCAAGGATATTTATTTATTTATTCACTGTGCCGCTCGTCGTACAGTAAAACTTTTATTTACAAATTTTCACACTACAATCTCATTTAACATTACTCACATCCTTTTCGCCCAAATGCCACGAAATATTATGCCTACTCAAATTCGCCTTATTTTTGGTTTTGTATGTACATTTCCCACACCCATACCACTTCACGTCATTTTCGTTCATATGTCGCGCGTTATTATGTTTGCTCAAACCCGACTTATGTTTAGTTTTATAGGGACACTTTTTGCATTCATACCACTGTATATCCCGCTCTTCCATATGGTGCGCCCGAATGTGATACTTCAAGGTACCTTTTTCTTTAGCCCGGTATGCACACATGTTGCACTCGTGCCATTTAATATCCTGTGCATCCAAATGGCGCGCATTTATGTGACTGATTAAAGACGGTCTATATTTGGCTTTATAATTACAATGTTTGCATTCATACCATTTAACATCCTTTTCGTCCAAGTGTCGCGCAATTATGTGCTGACTTAAATTCGACTTTTCTTTAGCTTTGTAATTGCATTTGGTGCAGTTGTACCATTTAATGTCGCGTTCGTCGGAATGGAGGGCGTAGATGTGGCGATTTAAGCAATGTTTGTACTTGGATTTGTAAGGGCACTGGTCGCATTCGTACCACTTGATGTCTTTTTCGTCCACGTGGTGTGCGACTATGTGTCTTTTTAAATGGACTTTTTGTTTAGCGACGTATGGGCATTTGGTGCATTTGTACCATATGATGTCTTCTTCACTGATATGGCACGTCTTTACATGTCTTCTTAAATTGTTACGCGATTTACCTTTATATGGGCACTTTTGACATTCGTACCATTCAATTTTTTGTTGGTTTAGACATTCGGTATTGTGTTGAAGGCCTTTAACCGCCGAGTCGGTTTGAAAGTCGCAATTTTGACAAACGTACTGCTGGATTGACACAACATTGCTTTCTTTTTTAATTCCATGAAAACTTTTAAGGTGGTGGTTAAAATCGAGGGTTAGGTCAGTGTGGAAGGCACAGTCTTTGCAGAAATATGTCTCAATATTGGTACTTTCGCAGTCAAAAGGTGTTAATGGTAGGAGGTGGCGTCGGGCGTGGTTTACCATCAGAAAAGTCCTAGTTGAGAAATAGGGACATTTATGGCACCGGTGTACGCTGCGAAAGGGGCCCCCAGCGTGACTTAAGTCCGAGTATTCCAAAAGTGCCATTTTGCGTTACCTACACATATCGATTTTTCTTGTATAAAAACCCACCGTGACTGATTTTTAGTTTCTCTCACCTGATAATAGATAATCTTCTATTTTAAATTCACAAACACAACATAACCTAAAAATGACTTGACGTTTGTTCACGAAACGTCACAAACGTCACTTTTTTTAGGTTATGTTGGGTTATGAACGCCCCCGAAACAAAAAAATAATCACAAATATCGACGATAAAACTCACAATGGACTTGTCACCGCCCGTTAAGCCCCCACGCGGGGTCAAACCCGTCAAAGAAACCGTAAGTCGAACCCACACCGGAAATCCGTTTTCACACTAGAAATTCCAGAGCGGGCTGCTAATGTCCGTCATTCGCACCCTTTCAGCCAGCGAAACCAACGAACAAAGAGACAAAGAAAAATCCAAGCTAGAAACCGAGTACAAGAACTGTGATAAAAAACTAGACGAACTGGTATCCAAACATGAGGAAGATCTATCCAAAGTGAGTAACTCGATCTTGAAATCACCCTCTAACTAACTAACACCTCTAGGTCATGCAACTCTTCGCAACTATTTCGCAAATCGTCAGCGACAACCGCCAGAAAATCGCCAAAGTCAAAGACAACCTCAACGACTGCAAAAAAAAGCTGCGTTGTCGAAGAGACGAGTTGAGGAACTTGTGGCTGGAGGGTCTAGAATACAAATACATGCTCCAACTACTTGAAGAAATGTTCGTATTGTGGAAAGTGTGACCCGACATAACCTCACTTTTTAGCGAGAAGATGAGCGAAGTCCCGGATCAGTTGTCCAATTATATGAGTCACAAACAATATTTGCACGCCACTGAGCTTCTCGTGGAGGCGGTCACTTTGGGTAAAAATACCTTGGAAGGGGTTGAGAGTTTGAAGGAGCTGAGTCGCGAGCTCGAGCAGAAGAAGGAGCAGCTGCATTTGCAGCTGTACTCGGAGTTGAAGGAGCACTTATTTATGCGACCGGCGCAGAGGGTTTTAGCGCTACGTCGACAGGAGTCCGGGAGGGACAATTTTTTGATAAATTCGCCCCTGCAGAGGAGTACTGAGTTGAGGTTATCGAGGAACCGGATGGCGGTGAGGCGGAATTTGCAAACCCCGCAGAAGTAATGTCGTGCTTAATTATTTTTGACATAATTATCGGTTTTTATTTAGATTGGAAAATTTCAATGTAGTTGAAGATCTTTCCACTGCTAACCCTGAAGACAATTCTTTTCATTTTATTGTTATTTTGATTAAGTGTTTGGCGCTTTTGGATAAACTGCCGTTTGCCGTTAATCACATTAAAGATGAAATGCAGGTGTTTCTCTTGGGGGTTATTCAAAGAACTACACAACATATTAAAGACTTTGCTGGCTTTCAAGCTGAGGGTGACTACAAACACGTGTTGAAAGAGTTAATCCAGACTTTATTTGATCAGTTTAAAGAGATAGGAGAAGCCAATTCGCTTTTTTTGAGAAACGTGGAGGAAGCGGCGAAAATCCACAACAGTCAAGTGAAAACCTACAACTTGCAGTTTTATTGGACACAAGTTCAGTGCGTTGTAAGTCGTACTCATTAGTTATCATTTCACAACCCTAATAATACCCATTTTAGCTTGAAGCCTTCCTAAATGAGTATCTCGATGTCCAAAACATCTCAATCGAGAGTCAAGCTATTAATACCAGTGATAACAACGACTTGTCGTCGTACTTTGGTCGCCGGAAGCAACAGACGTAATTTGTATCATTATTTTCGATTTTCACACTCAATTTGGCGATTTTTAGCAAAAAGAAGTCTTTGTTTAAGTTTGACAGTTCATCAAGTGCTTTAACTCTTCATAGTACTTTAAAATCGACTAAAAAGGACAAAATTGTGGTCTGTAAGCCCCATTCAAGCAACATCCTGGTTATGTTTATTCCATTCATGTGTTTTATTGAAGATATTGAACACTTGATGGGTGCTCAGAATGGGTGCGTACATAACCTCAAACTAGTCACAAATTTAAAAAACAATGTATATCATTCTAGATCGTGTCAGTTGCATCGATTTATCACCCAGTACGTCTCCGAAATCTATTTAAAACGTAAATCTGAAGAAATAATTGACCAGATAGAGGGCGCTGTTCGCGCTGCGGATGCTTGGAAGTCCACAGTACTTATGGACTACACGGCTGACTATAAACCACTTCTCATAGTAAGTCAGACATTGAGTACTGAGTACTGAGTAAAGTGTGGGTGTGTAATCAATATTGTAGAGTACAGTAACAGTAGAGCGGTGTATACGTGAATGGAAGGCAGTTCTTCAAGCCATACCTTCCTACAGTGAACGCATCGCCGTATATTCGTGTAAAGCGTTAAAGGAGTATAAAGATACGTGTTTTGCCGCTTATCAGGGAATAGTGCAGCCGCATTCGGAAGATAGGAGGATTTGCAGTGCCGCCTGGCTGAAAGATGAAGATATAAGCAGGTTTTTGAAGTAAGTAAGAATAGTTTTGCGTTAGGATGCAAAAAATGTTGTTGAAATGAGTTCATGGTCTTTACAAAGTTGATTTTTAGTGTTTTATTTGGGTTTTAGTAACAAATTTGAGGTTATGTTATCTAGGTGTTATGCAACCCAAAATACAATGAAACACATCGCAAAGCGTAACGATACAAAATAATTGCGTCTAGTTAATTTAAAGTAAATAGAGGGTGTTTATGAACAAAATTGTGATAATTATTCAGATTTAAGCAGGTTTTCGAAGTAAGTAATAATAGTTTTTTATAAAAAGTTGCAAATTTGAGGTTATGTTCCCCAGATGTTATGCAACCCAAAATACACTGTTTCGTTAAATTACAGATCCCTACCCAACTGGGTCAACCTCAAAGCCCAGCAAGAGTACCAAGCCCGCAGCGAGCGCATCCGGCGCGTTCTCCGCCGCGACCAGCCCTCAGAAGAGGAAAGCCCTGAAGATGTGCGCCAGCGAAACAGGCGCGAAGCCGAGATACTCGCGAGTAATTTGGGTGAAGGGGGCGTCAGTTCCTCCGAGATCCTTTCTGACATGGCGCTCCTCAAAGAGCTCGCTCAGTTACAAGAGAGCATGGAGTGGTTCTCGGTTAGAATGTTCCAGTATACGAGCGAATTCCGGCACGAACCGTCTGCTCTGTCACCGTCTAAACCCGACGTCGACAACGTCGACGTCGTGACGCCAGTGTCCGCCGCCGTCTTGCAGCAACTAACAAGCATAGCGCAAGAATTCGACGAACTGGCCAACACCTGTCTGTTATTATTGCATCTAGAGGTGAGAGTCCAGTGTTTCCACTACTTGTTGGCGCAAGGCCACTACAATAAAGAAACGCACGAACCCGACCCGAAGGTGCTCGAGTTGAGTCGAGTTTTGGCGAACGTGGACGAAGCGGTGACGTCAAGTTTGCATCCGAGGAAGTGCAAGGTAAACGCGGTTATAATCTTAACTGTTTCTAAAATTGTATATTTTAGTACATTTTTGAGGGTTTGGGTCACCTAATTGCTAAAATCCTCATCAGTTCGGCGCAGTATCTGCAAACCATTGACGAAGCGGGGATCCAAAGAATGTGCCGCAACATTTTTGCGTTACAACAAACTCTCACTAACATCACTATGACCCGAGAACTAGCTCTAGATCATGCACGCCACTACTTCGAGTTGTTCTTTTCAAGTCCAGAGGAGATTTTAAACGGAATTGTGGAAAAAGGGCCCGAGTTTTCCGAGTTGGAGTATATGAATGCCTTCCAACTTTTAAATAGGAGTAGGGCTGATCGTGAATTGGGTTCAGTTAGCGTGCATTTGGAGAGGTTATCAGATATTCTAGGCGAAGTAGGAATGACAGTATAAGATATTAATAATAAACACAATAAAGTTTACTAAATTTAATACTACGTTATTATTGCCAACCTGACAGCCACTTTAGTCGTGAATTCCTGCGTAAGGTATCCCCGTCTAACTTCTCCGGTTTCTTGATGAATTCTTCCGTCAAACGCAACTTTTCTTCATAAGGTTCTAACACTTTTGTCACTCTTAATTCGCCGTTTTCCCGTAAGTGTGTTCCTTTCGTGTCCGCGGGGAAGCCGTCAGGGAACGTAATCGGGTCGATTTTCACCAGATGTTTGATCTTCCATAATTTGTGGTTGTTTTCTGGGATGTTTTTAATGATGGCTACATCATTCAATTTACCGTCTAATTTAAAATCTGCTAGGAGTCTTTTTTCGTAAAAGGGGACACCTTTGAGTTCTTTGATCCGTTGGACTCGGAACAGCTTCGATGGGGTGTACGGGGGGTCTTTGAATTCTTCAGGGTGTCTGAAAAATCGAGCAAATACTACATGACATAACCTCAAACTTTGAAATTACCTCGGATAATATTTGAAGCCGAAGTACTGAATTCCTTCGTCTTTCCAGTTGTAGCGACGGTTGCTCTTGAATCTTTGCGCTATTGTTAAAAAATTGGATTTCTTTAAAAATTGAGACATGATTGAGGTTAAAGTCAGACAGCAAGCGGTATACAGGTTCCTGTAATTGACATGAATTACAGGAACGAAACATTTTGATTCAGAGTTAGCACTGGAGTAATTTTGAAAATAAAAATATTTTAAAACGACTTTATTAAAAGAACTCAAACTCGTCCAACACATTTGGGTTGGCAACATTACTGACAGATTTGATCATTTCGCGAAAATGGACATCAGGAATGGAGTAACCAACTCTAGGGCAACTCGGTCTACCAATTTCGTCTCCTTTCGAAACAATAAATACTTTTGAGGGGTGTTCCTTCTCATATGTGTTCAAAATCGCTTGAATCGTTCTTCTAGACTTTTCTGTGCAGCTGTATATTAAAAAATACAGAAATACCAACTGTGGATTCATTTTCAAAAATTGTTTTAAAAGAGTCGCACTAAACTTGTCCATTTCTTTACAAATAAGTACAAAACGTTCCAGTTTTTTCGATTTGATGAGACATAGGTTCTTTATTAACTTATCCAGCTGCATGCGATGATTCTCGTATCTAGGAACATATACAAAACAACTCAATTGCAACTTCCTAAACTTACCTAAAGTCTTTCAATGAATTAGCACTCGCAATCGCGTTATGTACATTGAAATTTAATTTTTCATTCTGAGTAACTGAAAATACTTTCAGTCTTTGTAAGTTTTGACACTTTTGCAAAACCTGAAACGGATAAAATCGGTAAAAAATAAAGTTGACACATATACATATACTTGGATTAAAAAACTACCATCTACGGATATAGGGACTTCAACAATCAAGGTTACTAGGTGTTCAAACAGCGAAATTAATGAATAACCATGGATAGCACTGTGGTGGACAATTCTTAAAAAAAAAAGTCATTTAAGAAATCAGAATCAACGTGAACTTACTTGTGACAGACATAAAGTTCCAAATGTTCTAAACGCAGAAAATTTTTGAAAATATTTTCAGCAGGATGTGTGGAGACGGGTTTTTCTATACATATTCTTTTTCTTGAAAAACTATCAGGATCTTCAATGTCAACGAACATGGATGCATTTTTATCTAAACGTACTTAGTCTTGACGGATTTATATTTTAACACTACTTACTGAATAGAAGACACATCATCACACACAACTTTTTCAAGCGTGTGCAACAAGGAGACTTAAGTATGTCTTCCACTGCTTCTCTACATCTAGTGTTGCAAAAAGGGGCACTTTGATAAAAATTCAGTTCTTCAAAAAATATAGTGTCTAGAGTATATTCGTTCAAAAATAAACGCTATAATAATAATTGAAAATTTTAAAAACGCACTTTGGTATACAACTTACACGTGCGTCTTTCGGACCATATGGTTTGGGCCCACAGAATTCATCTAGCACCTGCCAACTTCCCAACTTACTTTCAACTTGAAAACCACTTTCGGACAGTTGATTGTCACTAAATTTTTCTAAAACAGCATAAACAAGGTTTATTTCTTTACATAAAGTACCTACCACAACAAATCATATACGGCTGAAGAGGTCTCTTGATATTATAATATGTAGTCAGCCAGGAATGGTCAACACTAAAAAACGCAATTGGAGCATTTATTCGACAAACAAGTTTACTTTTGCTTTGATCGTGTACATGGTATTCGACAATTTCTCGCCCAGACAATTCTTCCACATCTACCTACAAAACTAAATCAGTACGTTATTACATTCGAAAGACCACCCACCCAAAGTTTTCTCAGTTGCGGAAAAATGAACATGAGACCAATAGGAGTAAACAGATTTGTCACTTTAATACTAATGTAAAGTGTTTCAACCGTTGGTAGTTTACGATAAATTATTCTGCCACTTGAGTTAAGCGATACTCCCAATTTTCTGATCTATAACAATAGTGAAATTGATGATTTATACTAACTTATTGTAAAACACATACTTTAATTTTACTATAAACCTCAGTATCTGCATCCACCAAACTCAAGTTTGTTTGGATGGCAGACAAAACTTCTAAATTCACCATACTTGTTATAATATTTCGTAATTTGGCGGCTTGAATCCAATATAAGCCGTTAATATTGAGCGTCCTGACGTATTCCAAGGCAATTTTATTCGATATCTGGGTTATATCTTCCAGTTGGTATTTTTTACACAAGTCGATTTTTCTACAACGTGGAATTATTAATGCGATGTTTTGATTGGTTGTAGTGTCCGACTGACAACCAATTACACGTACGATTCAATGAGCCGACCTTATTCTGTTACTATTAACTACAACGAGCACAACTCGTGCATTGATATACCTTGCCAACAAACTCCGCTCTTTTTTAAATATCCAACACTCACCTGATAACAGTTCTATCTTGTAAAAAGTAATCACACTGGTAAACATCACAAAAACTTAGCAAAGTAAACGTGTCGATGTTACTCAGTATTTTTATTAACATTTCATTGGGTAAATAATTAAAATACGACGTCTTAAATGATTCAGACATATTCCACGCAACAAAATAACTTAATAGATCGACAAAACCACAAGACAAAACACCAATGAATAATTGTCCGAGAACAAAACAAGGTGGCGCCACTTTGACCACACAACTTCTCTTTTTGTAAAAAATTTAATAACAAAAATATACAGTGTGTACAATTTATTTCATTTTCACCCCTCGCCTCCCACTCCGGTCGTGTTTAACCGCCACGTGCATCCACAACCCTTTCTTCGTCTTACATTTGTAAGGACACTGTTCGCACATAAACCATTTAATTTCCTCTTTCGATAAATGTTTCGACGCCACGTGACTCCGTATTTCGTAATTCCACATCGCCCTATGCCCACAATACTCGCACATGAATTTTTTGGCATCCAGTCCGTGCTTTTTCGCACTGTGTTCACTCAACCGTTTCTTTTCTTTAGTACGAAATGAACACTTTTCACACCCGTACCAAAGTATCTCACTTTCAGATGTGTGTCTCCTGAGGACGTGAACCTTCAGTTCGTCCTTCCGTTTACACCTATAGGGACAAAATTCGCATTGCCGGCACGTCGCATCTTTACTATCTTTATTATTTCCGTGTTTATTGTGTACATGTTGGCGTAAACATTTCTTTGATTTGAATTTAGAAGTACACTGGTCACAGTGAATCCACGCGATTTCGGTGATCGGGGTGTGTTTGGCAAGAATGTGAGGTTTAAGTTCGGCTTTCCAGCGAACTTTATACGAACAGAATTCACACTGTACTCGACGGATGTTATTATTTTGATATCGTTTCGAGTACGACAGATTTAAATGGTTGGCGAAAATGTGGAACGCTAGTAGGTTTATTTCGTTCGATTTGTAGCTGCACAGTTGGCATTCCTGTCTCGCGTTTTCCACTAAACAGTGCTTTATCAATAAATATCGGGAATATGACGTGAAGGCACACCGTGGGCATTTGTGGGCGGGATTTTTTAAAGTCCGATCGTTGTGATTGAATTTAGAGTGGTGTAACAAGTGGGTTAGAAAATCGGTGTGAAAATCGGGACATTTGAGACACTCATACGAAGGAATTTCTTCAGTGCAGGTGAATAAAGTGGCAGTGTTTTCGATTTTCATAACTTGACTGATTTGCGCACCTACAATTAAAAATTTAAATGAAATAAGCGCCATCTATGTGTTTCGAAACTAACCAAAAATGACATTTTGATTTTTGAAAAATACTCACAGGGCAAATTTTTTATTTGTAGTCCGTGCTTCAATGCGATATGTCTGTTCAAACTAGTTTTGTCTTTAGTCCTAAACAAACACTTATCACACTCATGCATAAGTACCCCATTTTCAGAAGTATGTCTTCTCAAAATGTGCCTTTTTAACTCAGTCTTCCTTTTGCATTTATAGGCACAATAGTCACAACGAGACCACGCAATTTCACGTAAGTGCATGTTAGACACGTGTTGTTGCAGACATTTCTGTAGTTTGAATTTAGATGAACACTGGTTGCAATAAATCCACTTGATTTCGTTGGCTGGGGTGTGTTTAGCCAGAATGTGATATTTTAACTCAGCTTTCCACCTTACTCTGTACGGACAGTGGTCACACTGCACTTGTCGCACTTTCTTACTTCGAGATTTTTTTTTTCGGTGGACTAATTTAACATGGTTGGTGAAAATATGCAAAGACAGGAGACTTTTATATTTGGACTTGTAGTCACAAAGTTGACACTTTTGCACTTCACTTTCGAGTAAACAGTGTCGTATTAAGAGATATCTGGAGTGTGAACTAAAGTCACACATTCGACATCTGTAAGGCAGTTTTTTAATTCTGATAATTCTATAGGCGTGATTGGATTTGAAGTGGCGTAGCAGGTGGGTGAGAAGCTCTGTCTGAAAACTGGGACAGCGGGGACACTCGAGTGAAGGAATTGTCTCAGTACAGGCGAACAAAGCGGAATTATTGTGACTTTGTACACCTAAAAAGTTAGGTTATGTTATTTTTCAAACATCCAGTCATCGCAAACCTGACGATAAAGACTGAATTTCCATTGCGAAATTGTACTTTTCCGTCTATTTTATAACCAAGAACGAATCTATTTCTATGAAAATTATTTTGAGGTTATATTCGTGTTGACATTTTGGAAATTGTGTCAGTGGGTATGCAACCACTATTACTCCGGAGCATCACAAATCACCTATGTAAACAAATTTCTACCACATTATTTTGTTGGGGTTGTATTATGGGTTACATACTACTTATTAATTTGACTCAACAAATGGTTTCAACATGACCATCTACGCCACCAAGCCTTAGACGAACGAATATATTTCTCAAACATTTAACAACATCATATAACACTCAAACTTATTTAATTTTCAGCATCCTTTTCTTTCTTTTTTGTTCGTGTTTGATTGCCACGTGCTCCCGCAGCCCCCTTTTCGTCTTACTCGCATACGAACACTGCTCACAAACAAACCACTCGATTTCCTCCCTCGACAGATGTTTGGCTGCCATGTGCCTCTTCATCTCGTAGCTCCACCTCGCCTTATAAGCGCAATAATCACACTGAAACTTCTTAACTCTCAGTTCATGCTTCAGCGCTACGTGTTCATTCAACCGTTTTTTCTCCTTAGTACGATACGAACACTGATCACATTCATGCCACAGTATCTCGCTCTCCGAAGTGTGCCTCCTCAAAACGTGCATCTTCAATTCGCTCCTCCGCTTACACTTATACGAGCAATATTCGCACTGCGACCACGTAATTTCCTTGTTTCTTAAATGCCGATCGCTTACATGCTGACGCAGGTGTTTTTTGAGTTTGAATTTAGAGGGGCACAGCTCACAGTACAGCCACTTGATGTCTTCCTCTGGGGTGTGTTTAGCCAAAACGTGCGATTTTAATTCACAGCTCCATCGTACTTTATACGAACAGTACTCACATTGCACTTGCCGGATGTTCTTATTTGGGAACTTTTTTTTTCGTTTGGGGGGTTTCAAGTGGTGGCTGAAAATGTGCAACGAGAGGAGACTGGTTTGTGTGGATTTGTAGTCGCAGAGTTGGCAGTCGTAGCGTTTATTCTCTAGGAGACAGTGACGTATTAATAAATATGTAGAATGTGAAGAGAAGCCGCACTGGGGGCATCGATAGGGGCGCTTTTTGTGTTTTAAGGGTCGGTCGTGGTGGTTCGACTGAATGTGGAGGGTGAGACGGGTTAGAAAGTCTGTGCGGAAAGTAGGACACTCGAAACACTCGTATGTTGAAATTGGTTCACGACAAGTGAATAAGTTCGTTTCGTTTTTCACGAGATGAGACGCGGCACCTGAAAAGTTGGGTTATGTGGCTTTATACTTGTGTTCGGGGGCATACCTGGATACAGAAAGAGGGTTTCCATTTTTTTAAACAGTGGTTCTTTCATTTACGAAAATGTAGCACAGATCAACATTGAGGTTATGTTAAATTTGTTGACATAACATCGTTCTGAGGTAGGCAATCCACAACACACGTGTGTTAATGTAGTTGCATAATTACACGCGGCGAAAATGCGTGATCAAAAATAAAAGGAACACGAGTTAGCTGTGACACCCAATGATAAAATATTTATTTTAAACTTTTTCGAAACACAACATCTATTTTAGTTTTACTTGATGGTTTATGGTCCGCGATTTTGATGGTGGTGGTTTTAAAATCCGTGGTCTGCACCTTTTCCGAATGCCACTGTCACGTGGTTGAGCATAGTCTTTATTTTTGTTCATGATGGATACATCTGAAGGATCAATAACAATTACCTTTACAAAATTTACAGCTTGTGGATCATTCGAATTGAATTCTTCAATTTCATCATCAACATGCTGAATTAACACTTCTATGTTTTCAAACCAAGTTTCACTTCCTCTAGCGTGATCATTCAAAAGTGCTTTCAAGTGTTCTTGATCGCATGGATCATTTAAACTTCTTTCTCGTTGAACATGTGTTTTATTATTGTGACCACGGTGATAGTGAAGTTTCAATTCTTGTAGAAAGTTTGTTTGAAATCTGGGGCACTTCTTACACTTGTAAGGCTTCATATACTTTGCACACACATACCTTGAATCATTTAAAGAGTCTTGTATTTGTTTATCTTGATTTTTGTTGTATGATTCAGCGACAAGATTGGGTAAGATTTTATTTTGATTGATGGGACTTCCCAAACCGAATTGTTGATGATCATTGTGGTTTTCCTGGATATGGGTTTCACTATTTGTTGTTGTTTGAAGAAACATTTCTGTTTGTTGTGGATGATAAATCTATAAAAAAAAGTCAGCAATAAACAGAGAATTGATTGTAATAATAATACCGCTCAATATGTTATAATGATACATACATACACAGCTGGAATCGCCCAAACTGGAAAAGACACATCTTCTGGTTCCACCTTTTCCACTATTGAAGGAAACAAATCTCGCGCCACTTTATTCATTTTTTTATCAATACTGTTCCGTAATTCTAGTTTCTTTTTTTTCGCCGAGTCCGTAAGTTGTGACTGTGACGTGGCATTTGCAGCGGTTAAATTTCTATGAGGTACTACCACCCTTTTAAGTTTTAAATTGGTTCCAATTATCTTGAAGTACATCCAGTTTTCTGCATCAGTTGATAACTACCAAGAATACACACTTTAATCTCTGAAACTCAAATCAGCCTCTACTTACATCAAAATGATCTTCACAGCAGTAAAGACTGTGGCTGTTCAAAGGAAACTTGACCCCTATTTTTTCAAACCACTCCAGGCGCCGTTTTTTTTCCTTTGGTACCGACAAAAATATTTTCTTGGGGTGAGTTTTAGACACATTTGTGCACGAGGGCACTATGCACTTTTTTTCAAACATTTTTGCTAACCTGATTACTTTCATCATCAAAATTATTGAGGTTATGTTTTTAGTTACGGAAAACGCGTAGCCAATGGGGAAAGGTAGGCTCGTTACGTCACGATTAATTTTTAATTCTGATTTTCACCCACCAATGATGGTTTGTTTGAAATTTCTTATTAATACGATATTCTGTAGACATATTAATAGCGTTTATCCTATTATAAGTGTTCGAGTAATTTATAATTCCAAACTGATTTGACTCAAAGTTAGACAACCCACAATACACATGCATTAACACATCATAACTACCAACATAAACTGTTTTGGTGGTTTTAAGCAACAATCGCTTTCTCATCCACGTTGTCACTATTCACTCTTTCATTAAGAACTATATTTCTGTCAACCATCTGTCAAACAAACGCAATGACCTGCCTCAATAAAACCCCACAATCGGGTCTTTCCACACCGAATTACGACGAAAACGCCCCCCTACACCCTTTCGTGGCATAAAATACAGGTGCAACCCCTCACTGGAAATGTTTCAAAAACCTAACCCCACTTTTTCAGGACTCGAAGATGCTCAAATTCAGCTTCGTTTCTGGAGCCAAAAACGCCACAAACTACCCCGAGACACCCACAAAGCGAGAACTTTTCGATTGTTCAGTGAACGTCCCGCCATACCAGTGTTCAGCGTGCCCTTACAAAACTTATTTTTTAACACGCTTTAAAAGCCACACACGGCGAAACTTAGTTGAAAAAAACTACAAATGTGGCAAGTGCAGCTTTCACACATATTCACGGTACTTAGTTTTGCGGCACAACCTCTTCCAATGCAAGAACAGCGAAAATTTAAGACAGTTTGAAAAGGTTCAGTTCAAGTGTGAACACTGTCCCTTCATAGCAGAGCGTCACGCCCGTCTACGGACGCACGTTTTGTTCAAACATACTCCAAATGAAAATGTAGACTGGTTCGAGTGTGATAATTGTGAGAAGAAGTTTAAGACGAGAGGGGGCTTGCAGAGACACGTGGAAGTGGTCCACAATAAAAGTGAAAACATCCCGTTCTTGCAATGTACACAATGTAGCTTTAAAACCCGGAATAAGTTCTACTTGAAGACACATTCTTTGATAAAACACACATCAGAGACTGAAATTACCTGGATCAAGTGCGACTTTTGTCCAGCGAAATTTAAAACGAAAGGGTATTTACGGCACCACTTGAGTTACAAACATCTAGAGTCCCCAAAAATCTTCAAGTGTGAACACTGTGACTTCCAAACTAATATAAAAGGGAATTTAATGACGCATATTGGTAATAAGCACGCACCGAAGGACAGCATCGTTTGGACTTATTGTGAATTCTGTTCGGCGAAATTTAAAAACAAAGAGTACCTGCGAAACCACATAAACGTGCGACATACCGATCCTGAGAAGATTTTGTGGTTTAGATGCGAGTTTTGCAAGTATAAGACGCCGTGGAAGACAAGTTTGGGGCGTCACGTTGTGGCAAAACATTCAACTAACAAAGGTTCTTGGTTTAAATGCAAGTATTGTTTGTCGAAATTTAAGGTCAAAATTAATTTGAGGAATCACATGAGGAAAAAACATAACAAGCCGCCTTTGGTGGCTTGTGATCAATGTTCCTTTAAAACTGAGTTTAATTCAAAACTCAGAGATCATATTTTGATGAAACATACGCCAGTTGATCAGATTGAGTGGTTTGAGTGCGCGCTGTGTCCAAAGAAGTATAAAATAAAGAAGTTGTTGACTATGCATGTCAAAAAAAAACACCATGAGAGCGAGGAAGTGGAGGAAGGTGTGAAAGAGGAAAAAAAGAGGAGCAGAAGCAAAACAAGAAGAAATAACAAACGGTGATTATTTAAGTAATTTATAGCAAGCAATAGATTCGTTTTTTTTTTTCAATAAAGAATAAAATCAGTTTCATGGCATACCTGATGTCAAATTCAAATTTTGGGCATAGTAACTGCCATCTTCTCATTGGCTGTGACTGTGAACTGACGTGCTAATTCAGAATTGCCAACCCAAGAATTTGTTTGAGTCATAGATCTACAATTTACTGTATTTTGGATTGCCTTGATAACATATCTTAATCTCAAATTATTTTTGTGTCTAAAAAATAAAACATTTTACTGTTTTCGCATCCATAATCCTGAATTGCCCCTTGATTCTAACCTAATTTTTACTCTTTATCTCGATGTTTCATGACTCCTAGAGTACGAAAAAGTAGGTCCGTTTTGACTACAACTGAAACAAGTTTATTGAATTAAAAATATCAGTTAGAGGAAGGCGGCGGATTCGAATAATTGTTAAATACATTAATTGCAATTTTTTATGAATACAGGTGTAAAAGCTTCTTGGGTGTCGATTATTTCGTGCTTTATTAACGAAGTCGACGGTAAAGAGCTGATTTTTCCCGATAACTCAGTTTCAATTTGTAGCGGGTCCTGACTGTATGATTCGTCCCATTCTTCCTCAAGCTCCTCTTTAACTTCAACCAGATCATCATCAGCCATCACTGTCGCCGAACTTCTACGAAAACAGTGGCCGGTGTAGCGTTCTGGATTTGGAAGCTGAAGATACCGAGCTATTTTGGACGGGATTTTGCCAATAGTGTTAACCCCAACGGGCGACTTTATGCAATTTCCGTTGCGATACGTTAGGAAAAACCGCGGATGATTTGTTTTCCTAGCAGTGTTGTATTTTTTCAAAACATCAACCCACTGTGTATTAGAAACAACAAAAGTCCTAGGGGTGTTTGTTTGCGTCTTTGACAGTGTAACCACAACAGTTTCTGCTTTAAATTCAAGATCTGATGGTTTCATGTTGCACAGTTCGCCTCTTCCGCACATTCCAGAAACACCTAAAACTAAAGCCGCCTGAAATAAATTATTAAATAGTTGTTATAGTAATTTATTAGTGTCAATCTTACCTTCATCATTAAAAATTTCGAATCAGGTGCTTCTGTAATGAATTTGGTGATGTGGAGATCTTCTAAAACCGTCGATTTTTTTGGCTTGCAGTGTTGACTTTGTCGTTTTATATATAATCTCAGTTTTGAAAATTGTGATATGTCAATGTTTTGGTACAAAAGTAGACATGATTTGAGCATTGTGTAGATAGACCACAGTGACCTCTTGTGAGTTATTGTTCGAAAATACTCCAATAGAACGCTTTCGGTGCATTTTGTCGCTTTGTTTTTACGACTCCAGTCTATGAATTTTTGGTACGTACTCTCGTAGCGTCCTTTGCTCTCTTTCGACAATGAATTGTGTACCTCAGGCGACGTAGAGGAAAATTCGCTGGAATTGGTTTTTCATTTGTAACGTATTTATTTAAATTTTAAAGTAACTTGTCTAAATTACTATTTTCGAGCTCACAAATGTCAACAAACATTTGTTTTGAAATGACAGCCTCAAGCCGACTTGATAACTTGATTTCAATCAAAACAATTTAAATATATGTATTTTGGGTTGTCTAAATCAAACATATCCTAACCTCAATTTAAAAAAATATTTAATTGTATGCTAGTGTCACAAAGTTTGGGCTTTAGTTTTTGCGAAAATTACTCGTCCACGATACTGAATTGTACATACCTTGATTCTAACTTCACCTTTGCTGGGAGTGGTATTTTTTGCATTTTTTTTTAGGTTAGAATCTCGACTAGAGTTGCTAGATACAATATTATTTTTGTTCGATCTAGGTAAATCCACAGGTAAATCTGGAGACAAGTCGGACTTTAAAAAAAAACTGGCCAAATAGACAACTCACAACACATGTGCAATGTAAACACGATCTGGGGAAATTTAACTCTTTAAATGTCAGAATTTTGCAAGTGACGTAACTGGAAAGATGTAATAATCAGTATCGCCCCTATTTAAACTTTCATTAAGACCTATATTCGTTCACTACCTGTTGTCATTGTTGTCAACAATCTGTCAAACAAATCCAATGACCTGCCTCAACTAAACCACATAATCAACCCCGCTGCACCAAGTTTACACCCCCTACACCATTGTGTAACGTAAAACACACAGGTAGAGGTTCAACCACCACAATAGCGACATTTCAAAAACCTAACCCTACTTTTTCAGAACTCGAAGATGTTTAATTCTATCGCCCAGTTTAAAACCGAAAACACCACAATCTACCCCCAGGGATTCAGTGCAGACGTTTTTAATTGTTCAGGGGTTATCCCCTCGTACCAGTGTTCGGCGTGCTCTTATAGAACTTATTTGTTAACTCATTACAAAAACCACACACTGCAAGACCCCTTCGAACAAAACTACAAGTGTGACAAGTGCGACTTCTATACCTACTCGCGGTACTTACTCTTGCGCCATATTTTATTCCAATGTAGTACTAAAAACAGCGAAATTTTAAAACAGCACCAATGTGATGTTTGTGCCTACACCACTCAAAACAAAAGCGCCTTAATCGTGCACATAATGGAAACTCATGATAGTGTGACTAGCGTACAACAGGCGCAACGCGTCCATAGAATGGGTGCAGAGGTTCAATTGTGGTTCAAACATATTCCGGACGAAGAGGTTTGGCTTCAATGTGACTATTGCGGGAGCAAGTTTAAAACGAAAAAACTGTTGCGGCAGCACGTCGAACTAATGCACGACGGAAGTGAAAATATCCCGTGGTTTCGGTGCGAACAATGCAGCTATAAAACTCTGCACAAATTTAGCTTGAAGCTACACATTTTAGTAAAACATACATCGGAAGCGGAAATTGAGTGGATGAAGTGCGAGTTTTGTCCAGCGAAATTTAAAACGAAAAGATATTTAGAAAAGCACGTCGGTTTCAAACATGTAGATTGTCAAGAGATCTTCAAATGTATGCACTGTGAGTATAAAACTAAACAAAAACAAAACTTAGAACAACATATTGTTGTTAAACACGCACCTGATGATAGTATAGTTTGGCTTAATTGTGAGTACTGTTCGGCGAAATTCAAACATAAAATATACCTTCGCAACCACTTAAGAGCGCGACACACACCCGACGACAGTATAGACTGGGCTTTTTGTCAATATTGTTCAGCGCAACTGAAAAAGAAAAACCTTAGTAATCACATAAAAGTGTTGCATGGTGATCCTGAAAAAACTTTATGGTTCCTGTGTGATTTTTGCGAATATAAAACGCGTTGGAAGAGGAATTTGAACCAACACGTTAAGGTGAAACATTCAGCTGATGATAAAGTTTCCTGGTTTCAATGCAAATATTGCCCGTCAAAATTTAAATTTACCATTCATTTGCAGAAGCATTTGAGAAAACTGCATAACAAGCGGTGTGTGGTGGCTTGTAGTCAATGTTCTTTTAAAACAGACGATAATTCTAAACTCAGGGATCATGTTTTGATGAAACATACGCCAAATAACCAAATTAATTGGTTTAAGTGTGAGCAGTGCCCGAGGAAGTATAAGATAAAAAACGCGTTGAATAAGCATATGAGGGCGAAACACAACGTGGGTGTGGAAAAGGTGGTTGTGAAGGAAGAGATGGTAGTGAAGGAAGAAGTGGTGAATGAAGAGGTTGAGGTGAAAGAAGAGGTGGTGGAAGAGGTAAAAGTGTAGATAGATGAGGAGGAAAACCGCAAGACGCAGCAGGGTTGGGTGAAAGTCTTGACTATGTCTTTGATTACTGTAGTAATTTATTGGGTTGTATAAATTAATTCCACCATAACCTTAAATTTTGTTTTTTACATATTGTTTCTTATATTTAATTGTTTTCTAGTATTAGAAACTATCAACAGTAATGTTTGGTCAAAAAATTATTAATTCACAATTTTGAAAGGTAGCTTAATTCTAACCTCACTTTTATTGGTAGTGGTGTTTTTGTAACTTTTAAATACCCCCAGTGTTAGATTCTAGTTTACTTTTACAGTTGCTGTATTTCTATAGTAGAGTTTATGAGTTTACTGTCTTGTGGCTGGATTTGGAGTTATTTATGTTAATTTGGGAAAAAGTTAGGCAACTCACAATACACTAGAATTAAAGTTTATTTGGACCCCTCAATACTCAATCTAGGAAAATTTTGCTTCTCAAATGTCAAACTTTTGGTGCTTTTGTGGTTATTATAACTACCAACATAAACTTGAAGCATTTTATTATTTCAACAACATTGCCTCCATTCAATTTAGTACTTATGTATTGTCGAAAATGGTTCTCGACGTTTAAATCAACAAAATTTATTGCTTTTCGTCTTAAAAACGGATTAAGTATTATAACATTTATTATTTTAAACATGTTAAATTTTTGGAGGAAAGTATCGATTTTGCAATTAAGCCCCGCCTCTCGCTCTGAGAACGAATGAAAAATTCATCACAATTAACCCTGGGATGGACATGGGTGGAGCTTAATCTCACGATACTTAAAAACTTATTTTTTATTCCTTCTAGAGAAGTAAGGATTTTGCAATTAAGCTCCACCCTTTTGGCTCACGACCAATAAAAAAATCATCAGAATTGAGATAGGGCGGGTGGGCGGGGTCTATATTTTGCCTTTTTTTCTTAATGTGTGTAGTCATCTTTTCAAAAGAAACTTAAAACATGTTTAAAACGGTAAATTTGTATAGGGAATTATCGATTTTGCAATTACGCTCCGCCCCTCGGTCTGACAACGAATGAAAAATTCATCACGATTGAGATTGAGACAGATGGGGCTTCATATATTTCACATGGTAATTTCTCGTAGAAAAATAAGGATTTTACAATTAAGCTCCACCCCTCGGCTTACGACGAATAAACAAAATCATCAGAATTGCGGGAAGTAAGAATTTTGCAATTAAGCTCCACCCTCTTGGCTCACGACCAATAAAAAAAATCATCAGAATTGAGATAGGGTGGGTGGGCGGGGTTTATATTTTGCCTTTTTTTCTTAATATGTGTAGTCATATTTTCGCAAGAAACTCAAAACATATTTAAAACGGTAAATTTGTGTAGGAAATTATCGATTTTGCAATTATGCTCCGCCCCTCGGTCTGACAACGAATGAAAAATTCATCACGATTGAGATCGAGAGAGATGGGTGGAGCTTCATATATTTCACATGGTAATTTCTCGTAGAAAAATAAGGATTTTACAATTAAGCTCCACCCCTCGGCTTACGACGAATAAACAAAATCATCAGAATAGAGATAGGGTGGGTGGGCGCGGTTTATATTTTGCCTTTTTTTTCTTAACGTACATAGTACATAGCCATCTTTTCACAATAAGAAACTTAAAACATGGTTAAAATAGTAAATTTTTGGAAGGAAATATGGAATTTGCAATTATGGGGCGGAGTCTAATTGCAAAATCGACTTTTCCTTATACAAATTTTCCATTTTAAACATGTTTTAAGTTTCATGTTATGAAAAGATGACTACGTATATTAAGAAAAAAAAGGCAAAATATAAGCCCCGCCCACCCACCCTATCTCAATTGTGATGATTTCTTTTTTATTCGTTGTAAACCAAGGGGGCGGAGCTTAACTCCAAAATACGTATTTCTTTACAAGAAATTAAAAACATATTTTTGAGTCCCGTGTTTTACAAAGAATACTATGTATATTAAGAAAAAAAGGCAAAATATAAACCCCGCCCACCCACCCCGTCTCAAATGTGATGATTTTTTTATTCTTAGAAACTAAAAAAACATTTAAAATGGTAAATTTTGTAGTGAAATATGGATTTTGCAATTACGCTCCGCCCCTCGGTCCGACAACGAATGAAAAAAATCATCACGAATGAGATCGAGACGGATGGATGGGGCTTCTCTTTTGGTTTTCTTTTTTAATTAATACATTTAGTGTTGTTTGTATCACACGATACCTGGTAATTTCTTGTAGAAAAATAAGGATTTTACAATTAAGCTCCACCCCCTCGGCTTACGACGAATAAACAAAATCCTCAGAATTGATAGAAGTGAGGATTTTGCAATTAAGCTCCACCCTCTTGGCTTACGACGAATAAAAAAATCATCAGAATTGAGATAGGGCGGGTGGGCGGGGTTTATATTTTTTCCTTTTTTTTTCTTAATACGTGTAGTCATATTTTCGCAAGAAACTCAAAACATATTTAAAACGGTAACTTTGTGTAGGAAATTATCCATTTTGAAATTAGGCACCGCCCCTCGGTCTGACAACGAATGAAAAATTCATCACGATTGAGATCGAGACAGATGGGTGGGGATTCATATATTTCACATGGTAATTTCTCGTAGAAAAATAAAGATTTTACAATTAAGCTCCACCCCTCGGCTTACGACGAATAAACAAAATCATCAGAATAGAGATAGGGTGGGTGGGCGCTATTTATATTTTGCCTTTTTTTTTCTTAACGTACATAGTACATAGCCATCTTTTCACAATAAGAAACTTAAAACATGGTTAAAATAGTAAATTTTTAGAAGGAAATATGGAATTTGCAATTATGGGGCGGAGTCTAATTGCAAAATCGATTTTTCTTTATACAAATTTTCCATTTTAAACATGTTTTAAGTTTCATGTTATGAAAAGACGACTACGTATTATAAGAAAAAAAGGCAAAATATAAACCCCGCCCACCCACCCCACCTCAATTGTCATGATTTTTTTATTCTTAGAAACTAAAAACACATTTAAAATGGTAAATTTTTGTAGGGAAATATGGATTTTGCAATTACGCTCCGCCCCTCGGTCTGACAACAAATGAAAAAATTCATCACGAATGAGATCGAGACGGATGGGTGGAGCTTCTCTTTTGGTTTTCTTTTTTAATTAATATATTTAGTGTTGTTTGTATAACACGATTTTACAATTATTAAGGTTCATCCCGCGGCTTACGACGAATAAAAAAAATCATCAGAATTGAGATAGGGTGGGTGGGCGGGGCTTATATTTTGCCTTTTGTTTCTTAATATACATACATAGCCATCTTTTCACAACAAGAAACTTAAAACATGGTTAAAATGGAAAATTTGTATAAGGAAATATCGTTTTGCAATTAGGCTCCGCCCGTGACTGCCAAATACATATTTCCTTCCAAAAATGTACCATTTTAACCATGTTTTAAGTTTCTTGTGAAAAGATGGCTATGTATATTAAGAAAAAATAGCAAAATGTAAGCCCCACCCACCCGCCCTGTCTCAATTCTGATGATTTTTTTTTATTCGTCGTAAGCCGAGGGGCGGAGCTTAATTGTGAAATCCTTATTGTTCTACGAGAAATTACCATGTGAAATATGTTCTTGGTGGTTAAAATAGTACACACATATTAAAACAAAAGGGCAAAATCGTCTTGTTCAAAGGTTACCATGTGTATTAAGAAAAAAAAGGCAAAATATGTAAATATGTAAATTTAAAGTGGTTTCAATGTGCGCACAGTGTCCAAAAAAGTATAAGATGAAGAGGTCGTTGGCTGTGCATGTGAAAAATAAACACAATGAGAGCGACAAAGAAGAAAAAGAGGAGATGAGGAGGAGAAGAAGCAGACTTAGGGACAGGTCGTAATCTACGACGCTAAAGTCGATGTTAAGATTCTTTAAAGTGAAACGCTATGCAACCAGTAATGTATCTAGTAATTTTTTGTAATATTTTTGAATAAAGAAAAAAAAAACAGTAAAAGTTTCGTCTTCGTATTTTCTTTGCCTAGGTGTATTTTGAGTTGCCTAAATCAAGCAAATCCTAACCTCAAATTTTCTAAATTAATTTTTTCCAATGTAAATATTTTGTTGTGACTGCGCGAAATTTACACCACGACCCCCCACACTCTGTACCCCACTTTTTCAGAAGTCAAAGATGTTTAAATCTAGCCCTCAGACGCCCCTAAAGAAAGACTTCTTTGATTGTTCAGCGAACATCCCTTCATACCAGTGTTCGGTGTGCTCTTACGAAACTCATTTTTTAACTCACTACAAAAACCACACACTACAAAATGCAGTCGAACAAAACTACAAGTGTCCAAAGTGCAACTTCCGCACGCATTCACGGTACCTAGTGTTACGCCACAACTTCTTCCAATGCAAGAAAAATCATGGGAGGCGCTTGAGTAAAAAGGTTCAACTACAATGTGAATACTGTCCATACACAACCATCTGTCACTCCCGACTAAAAACGCACGTGTTATTCAAACATACGCCAGACGAAGAAGTACATTGGTTTCAGTGTGATCATTGCGACAGGAAGTTTAAGATGAAAGGGAGCTTACAGAAACACGTCGACGTTGTGCATAATAAGATCAGTGAAAACATCCCGTTCTTGCGGTGCAAACAATGCAACTTCGAAACTCAGAACAAGTTCTACTTGAAGACCCACGTTTTGGTGAAACATACATCAGAGACTAAAATTAAGTGGGTCAAGTGCCAGTTTTGTCCAGCCAAATTTAAAACGAAAAAATATTTAAAGGGTCACGTTCGCTACAAACATTTAGACACTCAAAAGACCTTCAAGTGTGAGCAGTGTGACTTTGAAGCTAAAACAAAGACGAACTTAAAGTCACACTTTGTGATTAAGCACACACCGGATGACAGTATAGTTTGGATTTATTGTGACTATTGTCCGGCGAAATTCAAATACAAAGCGCGGCTTCGCAACCACGTAAGGAGGCGACACACCGATCTTGAGATGACTTCATGGTTTGGATGCGACTTGTGCGAATACAAAACGCCTTGGAAAAATTGTTTGCAGCGTCACGTCGTGGTGGAACATTCGGTTGATGATAGAGCTTCTAATAATGTTACAATTCTACAGTGGTCAAGCATGTGTATACAATGATATGTGTATTTTGGGTTGCCTAAATTAAACATAACCTACGATCTGGTGAAATTTAACTTTTCAAATGTCAGATTTTTGCGAAGTGCCAACTTAGATTTCGAGCGACAATCAGCTCTATTAACTCTTTCATTAAGAGTTATTGTCGTTTGCCGTCCTCGTCAGTGTTGTCAACACTCTGTCAAACCAATGCAATGACCTGCATCCACCAACCCTTACAATCAACCCCGACTGCATGAAATCTAGCACCCCCAGCGCACCTATTTGTAACAAAAAGCACAGGTTCAACCCCCACAATAGCAACACGTCAAAAACCTAACCTCACTTTTCCAGAACTCGAAGATGCTCAAACCCAGCCCCCAGTCTCAACCGGAAAACGCTTCAAACTGTCTCCAGATACTCATAAAGGACGAACTTTTCGACTGTTCAAAGAACGTCCCTTTATACCAGTGTTTAGCGTGCTCCTACACGACTGATTTGTTCACCCACTACACAAAACACTGTGACAACCATACCCAAGATTTAAGTCAACAGAACTACAAATGTCGCAAATGCAACTTCCACACCCACTCGCAGTATTTATTACTGCGCCACAGTCTCTTCCAATGCAGTGACAAGAACATCAAAATCTTAAAATGGTACAAATGTGATCATTGTTTTTACACCACCCAGCGCCAAAACGACTTAATCATGCACATATTGGGGAGCCACGATAACGTAATTGAAATCATCGAGACTCACGCGAGTTTGTTCTGTTGCGAGTTCTGCTTGAAAAAATTCCGGTGTAAGAACAGCGTCCGAAGACACGTGAAGTTTTTTCATAAGACACCCAAAGAGATTCGGTGGTTGCAGTGTGAACAGTGTTCATTCAAAACTCGGTATCGTTTCCAATTAAAAACGCACGTTTTGTTTAAACATACGCCGGATGAAGAGGTGGATTGGTTCCAGTGTGATTATTGTTGGATGAAGTTTAAGACGAGAGGGGGTTTACAGAGACATGTGGACGTCGTTCATGATAAAACCGGGAAAATCCCGTGGGTGCGATGCGAACAATGTAACTACAAAACGCGGAAAAGCTATGAATTGAAAACACACATTTTACTGAAACATACATCAGAGGATGAAATCGAGTGGTTCGAATGCGAATTTTGTCCGGCGAAATTTAAAGCGAAGCGATATTTACGACAACACATGCGCTACCAACATATAAACCCTCAAGAGAACAAATTCTTCGAGTGTGAGCACTGTGAGTTCAAAACTAAGAAAAAATCGAACTTGGATGTACACATCGTTGTGAAACACTCAACAGATGAGAATATTTTTTGGTTTTATTGTGAATATTGTCCGGCTAAATTCAAAGATAAAGAATATCTGCGAAACCACTTGAGATCGCGACACACCGACCCTGAGGACATCCCGTGGTTCCGATGCGACTTCTGCAAGTACAAAACTCGTTGGAAGAGCGTTTTAAAATGTCACGTTATTTCCAAACACTCAGCTGATGATCAAGTTCCTTGGTTTCGGTGCGAATTTTGTCCGTCGAAATTTAAAGTCAAAACTTATTTACAACAACACACGAGAGTTCAACACCTCAATCCTAAACCACCTTCAGTGGCTTGTGATCAGTGCTCTTTTAAAACGAACTGTAATGCGAAGCTGAGGGATCATATTTTGGTGAAACATGCCTCGGATGACCAAATTCAATGGTTTGAGTGTGCGCAGTGTCCGAAGAAGTATAAGATAAAGAGGTCGCTGGATTCGCACGTGAAGAACAAACACATGGAGAAGACGGATGTACGGATTAGGTGCACGTTTTGCCCCACGAAGTTAAAGTCTGAGTTTCTTTTAAATGATCACATAATGACGTATCATAACGATGCGGGGGCGGGGGGTGGCAATAAAAATATAAGAGTGAAGGAGGAGCGCGGGGCGTAATTTTCGACTGCGGTTTAGAATTGATTCGACCAAATTAAAACTGCTTAATCAAAGTGTACATGTAATGTAGCGACTATAGAGTCAATTCGTTTGTAAAGTTTTTGAATATTAATAAATTTTAAAATTCCGACTAGTGTGTATTGTGGGTTGCCTAAATCGCCAAACGTCAACAAACCTAACCTCAAATTATGTTTCCATAAACTGTAATTTTTTCCAAAAATACACTAAGTATGCAACTGTATTCTAGTATCAGTACTTTTCGTAGCAGTATTTGGTGAGAGTTACAAATCGGCGTTAGTTTTGAACGCCACTCTAAGTTTAACCTCACTTTTGCAGAACCCCCAGTAAACCATGGAAAGCTTTCAGTGTACTGACAAACTACCCCCATATGAATGTACCTCATGTCCCAACTTTCGAACCTTTTGTCTGGCGCACCTCAAACACCACCTCAAGCAAGGCCACACACAAAGTCCCATTTCAGTGGACTACAAATGCCCCAACTGTGATTTCCACTCATACTCGCGCTATCTCCTCCTAAACCACGACTTATTCAACTGCAGCCGCCTCCAAGGAGACACCGAATGGCTCATCAATAAACAACTAATCACAAATATCAAATTACAAACCAGAGCAATCGTATGCACATACTGTTTCAAAATCTTCAAACACAAAAGCTATCTCCAAAACCACGTCTACTTCGTCCACAAACCCAAAATCAAACTAAACTCGTTCAAGTGTGACCAGTGCTCGTACCACACCACGAAAAACAGCGACTTGAAGCGCCACATTCTAGGAAAACACACAGCCGATGAGGAAATCACGTGGCTCGAGTGCACTCTATGTATGAAAAAATTCAAAAACAAAACCACGTTGCACAAACACAACAAATACCTCCACAGCACGTCGAAAGAGAAGTTTTGGCTTCAATGTGAACATTGTCCTTTCAAAGCTCGAGTGAACTACGAGCTGAAAAAACACGTCATTGCCAAGCACACGTCCGAGGATCAAATTCATTGGTTTTTGTGCGACAAGTGCCCCATGAAGTTTAAAACCAAGGGGTATTTGCATGCGCACATAAAGTCGGTGCATACGGCTCGGGAGGATATGCGTTTGAATTGCCAGTTTTGCTGGTATAAGACACAGTGGCAGTATAAATTGAACGAGCACGTGTTGGCGCGGCATTCAAACAGTGATGTTCGGTTTCAGTGTGATCTGTGCCCCTCGCACTTTAAAATGAAGGCGTATTTGAAAAGCCACGTTCGGACTCATCATTCTAGTGAAGATAGGCGCTTTCAGTGCGGACTGTGCGAGTACAAGAGTGTGCGGAAGTATCAGCTGAAGTTACACGTTCTGAGGAAGCATTGAGTGAAGTCGAAAAAGTGACCATAAACAGGGTACCAAAGGGCCATGTGTGTCTGAGGTCAGTTTGACGCTAATTTATTTTTGATTCGAGAAATTTTGCTACATTGCAGCGGTATCCTTATTTTGAAAGAATAAGTGACAAAATTATCGATTATCGATCGACGTGGAAGGATCTTGCAACCATAAAGAAACTTTTATTCTTGTTATTGTTATTTTCAATACAGTCATAATCGTTCAATATTTATGAAAACCATGTATCTCTTATCAATAAATAAAATATCATTTTTGTCCATAAATTACTGACTGTCGATGTGTATTGTGGGTTGCCTAATTCCAATAGTACACATAACCTCAAAATTTAAACACAGGTATATTTTCCATAAATGTGACCCGATAAAATGTAGTTTATATAAAAATGCAAAATTCAACCAATCAAATGATCAACTGCAACAACAAAAACGAATAAAATTGCTGAGGAATTATTTCGTCAAACTTGTATTGACACACGAATTTCTAATTTGTATTGTGGGTTGCATACGCGCAAACCTAACCTCAAAAACGCTTCACTTTTAAAAACCGAAATTTGAGCAGAAACTCAACAGAATGCAAACTAGTGTTCAACACTTTAATACTGAGTAGATTTCACATTTTTCTTGTTTCAAAATACACTCATCACCATTCACGAATCGTATTAAATACACAAAAACACCTCTAATGTCCTAATACTAATTTTTCTTTGGAAATTCTACGAATACATGTGCACATACTTCGTATGTTTCTGCAAATAATCTCTCGTTTTAAACATAGCCGTACATTCACCGCACGCGAACCAATCGATTTGATTTTCTGGCGTATGTTTAACCAGAACGTGTCGCCTCAAATCCGGTTTATTCCTCGATTTATAAGTGCACTGTTCACAGTAAAACCACTTCTCACCACCGTGTTGCACTTCCTTGTGACTTAGCAAATCTGCTTCGCTTTTAAAGCACTTGGAGCACGCTTCACACTGAAACAAGTCAACTGTCTGTTTTGTCTCTCCATGCCCCGATATAAAATGCTCCCTCAAAAGAGACTTATCTTTGGTTTTGATTTTGCAGTAGCCGCACTTAAATACGCAGTTTTTTGAAGACATGTGCATTCGTTTGACGTGTCTTTGCAAGCCTTTGTTGTCTTTGAATTTCGACGGGCAGAGGTCACAGCAGAACCAGTCGATTTTATCCTCTGCCGTGTGTTTAAAAATGACGTGTTGTTTCAGGAGGTATTTGCTGTTGGTTTTGTAGGTGCATTGGTCGCAGTGGAAGAGGTAGGTTTTGTCTGACTGGGGGCTATCGTTGTTCTGATTGACGAAACTAGACGGAGATAAATCACACTGATATCGGCAAACTTTCACAGACTTGCGATGGTGGGTTTTCATGTGGATTTTTAGCTCTAGATTTGTTTTAAATTTGATTTGACACTTTTCGCACTCGTCTGAGTGCTTCAATTTCATGTGAAAGCGCAGTTTGTAGTGGTACCTATACTTACTAGAGCACTGTTCACAATGAAACCATTGGATTTGATCTTCCGCTGTGTGTCTATTGCGGACATGTCTCGTCAAATATGACTGTTTTTTCGTTGTAAATGAACAATAACTACACACATAGTCGTGACAATGTGAAGAATTCGCTTTTCTGGTACGTGTTTTCGGATTTGTCGATGCACAAGCTTTTAGTAAACCATGTGTTATTAGCAGAAACTTGGAATACGTTTCAAAGGTGCATTTTCTACACTTGTATAAGAGTTCTTTTGGCTCCTCACTTCTGTGCTCTTTCGAGTGCCGTTTTAAACACACAAGGAAATGTGTTTGAAACTTTGAACACTCTTTACACTGGAAAAGTTCGATGCTTTTTGAACACTGAAACGCGTGGTTTTCTATTTTTATGAATTGGAACGTCTGAGGAAACATTTTGGTCAATTTTTTGAGATCTGCAAAAAGTGAGGTTAGGTTATCCAAAAATTTAATACAAAAAATTTGAGATAGAACAAACCCTGGGGAGCAATACACGATCATTATTTATCTTGCACTGACATGTTTGTCACGTCTGACTGGCTATACTTATTGAGAAAATTTATAAAACATCGGAAATGTATTTGTTGTGTGAGTGATGTTAGGCAACCCACAATACACATTTTGTTGTAGATGTGTTGGGCTCCCAAGTTTTATTTTTCTGTATTCAAATTATTCATATTAAGGTTTCAGTTTTATACGTGAAATGTTGTTAAACATGTACATATTTTGCAGAACAATTTTCTATCGAATTTTAAATAAATAATAATCGATATAAAAGTTAGGTTAGAATGACCTTTGTAAATATCACGCAACCCCCAATACACCTTGCCATGGTCAGTTTTTAAATGTAATACCGTATTACTGGCATTATTGTTATTATAATACGTTGTGTTTTAATAAAACAGTAAATGCGAGTCTACATTTCTGGAAAAATACGAAAACAAACTTTAATAATAATTAATCCATCATAATTTTCAAAATTAAGGGCGCCATTAAAAATCCTAGATGGCGCTCCCACGAAAATTCAATTCAATAAATTATTTATCATTTAAAGCGGTTTTATTAAATCATAAACCAGTTAGAGTCGTGTTATGCAACTAAAAAACACTCATACGCATGTGCACCCATTTAACAATAAACAATTAGTGTTATCGCATTTGTTTTTATCTTTAATGTTTACTATTGTCGTCGATTCTGAACTTTATACCATTACAAAGTAATTATTAGTTATACAATTATTACTTTAAAACACACAGATGACTTCACTGGTAAAAGGTACAACGACCCGAAACTAAAATAGCCCAAAATTTTCAAAACTAAATTAATTCTAGGTGTAGTGATCGTTGCGGCCAAACGCACTCCGTTTGGTCGATATGGAGGAAAATTCGTGAAAACTTCAGCAGCAGAACTGCAAATAGTCGCTGCAAAAGCTGCGCTCGCAGCAGGAAATGTTAAACCTGAACTAATAGATTCGGTGATCGTTGGAAACGTACGCCTTGTAAGTTCTGAAGCCCCGCCTTCACTGAGATTTTACGCCCCGCCTTTTTTCATTTCGAACATTTCCATTGGTTGCACTACTACATGTAGTTTTTTAGCAATCATCTCCTGAAGGAGGCTTAATTCCTAGACACGTGGCTCTGAAAAGTGGAATTCCGCAAGACCGAACCGCTGTTCTAATAAACAGACTCTGCGGCTCTGGTTTTCAGTCAATCGTGAACGCTGCTCAAGTAAGTCGGCTCTATGTCGTCGCACTCTAGACACTCACCCTTTCAGGAGATACAGACAGGCATGTCCCAAATTTGTCTCACCGGAGGAACCGAAAACATGTCCCAGTGTCCCTACATTGGACGAAACCTACGTTTCGGTGTTCCATTAGGGCAAAACGTGGTTCTAGAAGATTCCCTTTGGTTGGGTTTCACTGATACGTACGCCAAAATGCCGATGGCACTCACAGCCGAAAAATTAGGAGCTCAGTTTAAGCTGACGAAAGAGGAAGTCGATGCTTTTGCTCTTCGGTCGCAGCAAACTTGGAAAAATGGTACAGAAGATGGTTTAAGTTTGTTGTTTTTACGTTTTTTTTTTTTTTTTGTAGCGCATGATGGTGGACGGTTTAGTGAAGAATTGACACCGGTGACTATTGAGGGAAAAAAAGGGGCTGTGGTGGTAGATGTGGACGAGCATCCAAGACCTGAGACCACTCTAGACGGGCTTAAAAAACTGCCTACTTTGTTTAAAGAGAATGGGCTGGTGACAGCAGGATCTGCGTCTGTTGGTTTTGTTCTGTTCTATTTTAGCTTACTCTAGAGGGTTGGTTTTAGGGGATAAGTGACGGTGCGGCGGCTGTGGTTGTAGCAAACGAAGAAGCTGTTAGTAGACACGATCTTACCCCCTTGGCTCGAGTTGTCGCGTTTTCTGTGGTGGGTGTTGATCCTACTATTATGGGAATAGGACCAGTGCCTGCTATCAAAAATGTGTTAAAAGCAACCGGGAAAAGTCTCGACGATATTGATTTAGTTGAGGTGATTTTTGATACTTGACGAAACGAAATGATAGTTTTTAAGTTTGTTTAGATCAATGAAGCATTTGGTGCGCAAGCTCTTGCTTGTGTTAAAGGCTTGGATTTGGATATTAATAAATTAAACGTGGATGGTGGGGTGTAGCAAGGTTTTGCTTTATCCAGTGGAATTGATTGTTTGGAAATTATAGGTGAATAAAACTGAACGAAACGATTGAAATGTGTATTGCAACTTGGTGGTACATCAACTGAACTTACAGTGTCAAGTGCGCACATGCGCAAGCTTATGTCGGTAATACAGTTAGCAAAAGGGTAGTTTTCTATAATATCAACACTCCCACTAGAAAACTACAACTATCAACAACAAAAATTTTTAAATTTAAATAAAGTAAAATTAACGCTTCTTGAGTCCCATTTCCTTCAGGTGCTTTTCATGCAGTTCCAGAGGTAATGCTTTGGTCATCACATCAGCTGTCATTTCCTTCGAAGCAATGTGTTGAACTTGTATGGCCTTTTCTTGAATTTGCTCACGAAGGAAATGATGTCTCACATCTATGTGCTTTGTCCTTGCTCTGTATCCTCCCACTCGACTCAGATCCACTGCGCTTTTATTGTCACATTTCAGAATAGGTCCTTCGTCATCGACTTCAGGCATTAATTCATTTAGAAGGCCCTGTAACCAAATAGCTTCTTGCGCCGCTGCACTTAGAGCCATGTATTCTGCTTCAGTTGTGGATAAAGCAATGGTGGGTTGTTTCTTGCTATTCCATGATACAGGGGCCCCTTGGAATGTAAAGACATATCCTGTGGTTGACCGTCTCTCATCTTCATCACCTGCCCAGTCTGCGTCACAAAAACCTGCAAGTTTTCCATTCTCTGTCCTTGTAAAACAGAGTCTGAAGTCCTTTGTGCCCTGGATGTATCGAAGGACTCGTTTCACAGCTGACCAGTGAGCAGAGCCTGGATTATTGTTAAATCGGCTCAATAACGCTAGAGAATATGCCAGGTCCGGACGCGTACCCTGACATGCATACATCAATGACCCAACTGCCTCTTGATATGGTACATTCTCCATGTTTTGAACCTCGTTCGTTGATTTTGGGCACATTTCTTTTGTTAGCTTCTCGGATGGACTTAACGGAGTTTTAGTCGGATTGCAGTTTGCCATGTTGAATTTTGATAAAACCTCTTCTAAATATTTTGATTGGTCCAACCATAATTTGCCCTCTTTTCTGTCTCTTGTTACCCGAATTCCCAGGATATACTGTAATTCTCCCAAATCTTTCATTTTGAATCTGCTTTCCAATTCTTTCTTCAATTCATTTTTCATTTTTGAATCGTTGCCCAAAATGAGTAAATCATCTACATAGACTGCGACAATTACAATCTTATTATCCTTGCAAAGATAATATATGCACTCATCTCGTTTTGATTGATTTAGCCCAATTTCTATAAACGCTTGATGTAACTTCAAATTCCATTGTCTTCCAGCTTGCTTCAAACCATACATTGCCTTGTTTAATTTGCAAACTTTATTTTCTTGGCCTCTAACTTCAAATAATTCAGGCTGCTGAATAAAAATGTCATCGTTAAGATCTCCTTGCAAGAACGCAGTCACTGCGTCCATATGATCAATGTCAAAGTCATACTTGACTGCAAGGCCTAAGATCAATCTAATCGAATTGTATCGTACCACAGGTGAATAGGTTTCTTGATAATCTATCCCCTTACGTTGACAACAACCTTTCACTACAAGTCTGGCTTTAAATCGATCTATGTTCCCGTCTTGATCTAATTTTGTTTTAAATACCCATTTGCTGTCAATCACTTTAGCATTGGTTGGCAAATCTGTGAGAGTCCATGTTTTGTTTTCAATGAGTGCATCGTATTCAGCTTGCATTGCTTCAAGCCATCTTGTACACTCAGGACTCGAAACAGCTTCTTCAACATTTTTGGGCTCCCTCGTCAACGACTCAACATGGTAGCAAATATATTCAGAAAATTCCTTTGCTTTTCTTTCCCTACTTGATTTTCTTATAGCGGGTTCTTCTCTTTCGGTGTTTTCGACTTGCTCAACATCATCATTGGTTTCAATTTCATGGACATTACATTCAACCTGAATTTCTTCAATTTCTTGTTCATCAATTTCGTCTGCTTGAGTTTCTTCGATCTCACACTCTTCACTTTCTTCGGTATGATCATGGAGGTTCGTTTCATCGGTGATTGGGTAAAACAACCAATCATTGTTTTCACTTTGCGATGCATTTGGAAGTTCTTTTTCAAAAAATACAACATCTCTAGCCTCCACAATTTTCTGTTTTCTTATGTGATAGAGCCGGTAGCCTTTCGAACCATTTGCATAGCCCACATGAATGCATTCTTCTGACTTCGGGTCCAATTTTCTGCGTTGTTGTTTAGGCACGTGAACAAATGCCCTACAACCAAACACTTTTAAATAGGATAGATCAGGTTTCTTACCTGTGTAAGCTTCATTTGGTGTGACGTCTTTCAATGTTCTTGTCGGTGCTCTGTTGATCAAGTGGACAGCTGTATTTACGGCTTCTGCCCAAAACCTTTTCTTCAAATTGGCACCAATTAATAAGCAACGCGTTTTTTCTATGATGGTGCGGTTCATCCGCTCTGCAACTCCATTTTGTTCGGGCGTATGTGGAATCGTTGTTTGGTGACAAATACCAGACAATTTCAGCAGCTTGAGCAACCTGTTGTTGACATATTCAGTTCCATTGTCAGTCCTCAGAGTCTTGATTCTATTTCCCGTTTGATTTTCTACCATATTCTTGAATTCTTGGAAAACATCGTGTACTTCTGATTTGTTTCTTAGGAAGTAAACAAATACTTTGTGGGTGAAGTCGTCCACAAAAGTGAGAAAGTATTTTGATCCTCCCAATGAATTTTCCTCCATAGGACCACATAGGTCTGAATGGATTAGTTCCAAGGGTCGGCTTGAGTTCTTGACATGTGGCTTAAATGGTAGACGGTGTTGTTTGCCCTGCACACATACCTCGCAAGGTTCACTCAGCGAATTTTTGAAATTCGTTCCCGTAACGACCCCGTTTTTTATTCGGTTCATGCTGTCCGTTGACGGATGGCCTAGTCTACTATGCCATAGATGTATATTGTCAGCAACCGATACTGAGTTAGCACCGTGCACCTTATTTTTCGGTCGATCCAGTTTGTACATGCCATTCTTCAGTGTGGCACTGGCGATGAGGGCGTTGCTTTTGTCGTATATACTGCATTTACTGCTCTCAAAGTAGACCTTGTGCCCCTTATTGGTTATTTTGCTTACAGACAGCAAGTTTGTTGTCAAATCTGGCACAAACATAACCTCTTTTACGTTTATTTTGTCAGGTGTACCACCTGTACAAACGTCCAAATTTACCTCCCCCACTGCATCGACATTTAGACGATTTTTATTGGCTACTATAATTTCCTGCGTGGATGAAGGAGGTTTGCTTGCGGATGTCAGCCATGTTTTGTCGTTTGTTAGATGGACCGATGCGCCGGAGTCGATATACCATTCATTTTTTTCAACATGATCGTTTCCCGTTGACAAGACTGTTAAGAAGGATTTCGCTTCCTTCGTGTTGGAAGATTTGCCATTTTCTCTCTGCAGGCGAGCCTTTCGTTTAAAACAATTCTTCCCGAGATGACCAATTTTATTACATTCAAAACACCGTGGCCCATTTTTAGTATAGTTCTTCTTTTCGGCGTGGTTTCCGAAGAACGCTACTCCATTTTTGTTTGAACTGCTTGTATCGACCTTGACCTCTTGTAATAGTTTCACCTTGATCGAGTCACTGGTAATGGCGATACCGGAGCTTTCTAGTCCCATTATCATCGGGCGATAATGGTCTGGCAATCCAGCAAGTAATAACGTCCCGAGCCATTCATCACTTACAACAAAACCAATATTCGTCAATTTATGTCCTGTTGAAATAATCTTGTTAACGTATTCTTCTACGGAATCACAATTATCCAACTGAGTTGTGATTAAGGTACGTAACAGGCCAACTCTTCGCGTAAGTCCGTTATCGTCGAAGGCCTTGATTAAATTTTCCCATGCCTCTTTCGCTGTCTTCGCATTTTGCACGTGGACATAGTTTATGGGGTGTATCGACAGGATTATTTTGGCCTTAGCCTTTGCAACTTGTTTTGCCGTAGTGTTCGTACCCTCAACACATTCCCACAACTCTTCATGCTCCAAATATGTTTGCATTGCGAATTTCCATGAGTTGAAGTTTTCGCGCCCTAGTAGTTTTTCGATCGGTGGTAGCGTGGACGCTGCCATTTTGTTGCCGGAACACAAAAGTTTTTATCACTAAGATATATCGGATTCACCTTATTTTTACACGCGGCCAAACAATCAGCAGTACCCTGGGCCCATAACCTGTAGCAAGGTTTTGCTTTATCCAGTGGAATTGATTGTTTGGAAATTATAGGTGAATAAAACTGAACGAAACGATTGAAATGTGTATTGCAACTTGGTGGTACATCAACTGAACTTACAGTGTCAAGTGCGCACATGCGCAAGCTTATGTCGGTAATACAGTTAGCAAAAGGGTAGTTTTCTATAATATCAACATGGGGCTATCGCGATTGGGCACCCAGTGGGGGCTTCTGGGTCAAGAATTATGGGTCATTTGGTGCACGAGTTGAGGTATGTGATGGTTGGGTTATAGTGGTATGAGTATTAATTTGGTGTTTCCCAGACGGAGGAAAGCAAAACTGGGAATTGGGTCTGCGTGTATCGCTGGTGGGCAAGGTATTGCGCTGATGGTTGAAGCTCTGTGAAATTTTTATAATAGGACTGTACTGGAGTTAGCTCCGCCCACTAAAACCACCTAAGAAAGTGGCAAAAATTGATTGTAAACTTCTTTCAATTTAAATTACATCATTTTTAAACCAAAACTGCTACAGTGTGTTTTATTAGTCACAGCCAATCTAATCTTGACTCGCGGGATTTTCCAGATTAGTTAATTACAAACTTTCAGAAATTTTCTCCAATTCAGGAAAAATCTAATCACTTATCTTTGTCCAATCTCAAAATCAAAATAAATATATTACCAATTTTTGGTGCTTCCCACACGCAAAATTTCTATCTGAGTACTACTGGAGTACTTCCCAAAGGTGTGCCCTTTCACGCTATAAAACAACCTCATCTGCGAAAAACCAGGCAGTACCTAAATCACCATGTCTCAATCCAAGACGGTTTTCTTCGACAACCACCAACGCCAGTTAAAAATCCCTTTCATCATCTACGTGCACTTCGAGGCCCTTCAAATCCCTACGACCAAGCCTCGAATTAAAATCGTTCACAAACCTTGCGGCTTCAGTTACTCCATCAAGTGCTCCTACGACGACTCCCTCTCAAAATACGAACAATTCTTCGGCGAATTCAGCACCAAAGTTCTTTGGGAGAAGCTGGAGCTCGAATGCAAAACAATCACCAGAAGACTGATCTCGCGAGCCGAACCTCAAGACCGAAAACTGAACGAAGCGGAACTGAAGTCGTTCCGAAGCATCGTCAGCCAGATAATGAACTGTCACTGGTGTGGAGAACAACTTGAAGAAGACGACAAGGAAGTGGATTTTTTTAACCTGACGGGTCAGTTTCTGGGGGCTGCTCACAAGAAGTGTAAGTTTCAGCCGAAAGTACCGCATTTCGTACCAGTAGTCATGCACAACTTGTCTAAATATGGCGCCCATTTCCTTCTCAACCACCTCACGAATGACGAAATGAAGGAAATTTCTTTCGTTGGTAACGACAAGCTTGCGAAGCTCGGTTTCGTCAGGAAGTTCCCGAATTGTTTTCCTCTTCGTTTCATCGACTCGCGTCGCTTCATGGATGAGCAGATCGAAGATCTGGAGAATATTCTTGAAGATTCGAAGAAACACAAAATCAAGGAGGAGTTTCGCGGGAAGAAGGAGTTCGATTTGATGAAGAAGCGGACGTGTTTTCCGTTCTACTACATGGATAGTTTCAAGAAGTTTTCGGATGGGTGTTTGCCGTTTAGGAATGGGTTTTTCGACCAGATTCGAAGAGAAGATGTAGGTGACGAAGAGTACGAGAGGAGTTTGAAGATTTGGGAGACCTTCAAGTGTAGATCGATGGGGGATTATTTTAAAGTCTACTTGAAATCGAACGTGTTGCTGTTGGAAGACGTGTTTGAGTCGTTCAGGTCGTTGTGTTTGAAAAAGTACCATCTAGATCCGGGGTACTATTTTACGGCTGCCGGGTTCGCGTGGGACGCCATGTTGAAATTCACAAAAGTGAAGTTGGAGTTGTTGGAGGACGAAACGATGATCGATTTTTTGAAAAGTAATCTTCGTGGAGGGATCACACACTGTTCGAAAAGGTACGCAAAAGCGAATAACGTGTATTGTGAGTACGATAGACGAAAAGAGTCCAGTTTTATAGTGCATTTAGACGTCAACAATCTCGGAGGGTGGTCTATGTGTCAAAAACTCCCGTTTACGGGGTTTCGGTGGTTGAACCAAACCGAAATTCGACGAATCCAAAAAGAAATTAAGAACCTTGACGATAACGACTTTGGTTACGTGTTTGAAGTCGACTTGGACTATCCCAGAAGTCTACATAAGCTCCACAACGACTTACCGTTTTGTTTTCAACACCTAACAATCCCACCACCACCGATAGCCCCCCATCTAACATCCTACAAAGCAGTTCTAAACTTCTACAACAAAAAGAACTACGTTCTCGACTACCGCAATCTACAACAATGTCTCCAGCATGGTCTCATTCTCAAAAAAATCCATCGCGTGCTGAAATACAGACACTGCAAGTGGTTAGAACCCTACGTAAGCTACAACACCAAACTGCGAACTCAAACCACTTGTAATTTCGAAATCAAACTCTACAAGTTTCTAAACAACGCGGTCTATGGAAAAATGACGGAAAAATTCAGCAGCGACAGACCCATCTATGCAGGTTTCACCGTGCTGGAGTTGTCCAAGAACTTCGTCTACGATTTCCACTACCAGAAGATGCTCGCTAGATACAGAAACAAAATCAACCTTCTCTACATAGACACAGATGGTTTAATCTACGAAATCCAAACTTCTGACTTCTATCGCGACGTCAAGCAAGATCCAAATTTTTTGAGCTGGTTTGATACTTCGGGTGTCGATAAGAGATGGGGGCTCCCCGTGATTAATAAAAAAGTGTTGGGGAAAATGAAAGACGAGTTTGGGGGGAAGATAATTCGGGAGTTTGTTGGAGTCGGTGCTAAGGTGTATTGTGTGGACGTCGAGGGGGAGGTTGTGAAGAAAGTTAGCATGAAGAAGATAGTGTCGATTGAAGATTATAAAAATTGTGTGATTTATGATGAATACGTGAAGAAGAAATGTTGGACGACTGAGGTTGTGGGGCACGAGATTTATACCAGTGTGGGTGTAAAGGTGCTGTTATCACCCGGTGATAAGCAGCGGTTTGTACTGAGTGATAAGATTAATACTATTGCCTGGGGGTTTGGAAATTATTAAGCAAATTCTAAATTTACTACACTTCAAGGACATCGACCGACTGTTAAGAACTTGTTATATTTTCGTGATAAGCTAAATTATGTAAATTTTGTATTTAATTTTGTGCATGTACATGTGATAATATAAATACAATAGAATTTGTTCTTATTAATCAGTGGCGACAACGCAACGGTTGACCAAAAAGCGCAAATCCGACCCTGACTAAGCCAATCCACGTGACCTTGCTGACATTCAGCGATTTAGGGGAAAAGTGCCTAAAATGATCCCCTCAGGTCAAATGATCCCCATCAATTGTAAGAAAATTTGTGGCTCCATCTACCAAACATAACTGTCATTTGATTAAGCGCTCTGTAATTAGTACCTTCTGAAAGTTTCATGGCGTTCTGCGTATTCTGCACAGTTTTGTGCCAAAATATGTAAAATAAGCACCTCCGATCTAAGGTAAGATGTATTTTAAAAGTCCATTACTTCCATTTGAAAGGTCTTATAGCGATGGTAGTTGTTTTGACAGAATTAGATACATTTCAGTCGTAGGTTAGTTATGATCTTTTTATCGCATGTAAAAATTGAAGGTTAGTTTACAATTTTTGAATGCGAATATGCTACCTAAGGCGAAATGATCCCTTTTTCTCGAGGCAAAATGATCCCGGATCATTGGGCGGGGCTAGTACCTGCTAAGATAGGACTGATTTTTGCAAATCATATACCCTCTAAGAAAAGAGAGGGTGGGTGGGCGGGGCTAGTACCTGCTAAGATAAGACTGATTTTTGCAGATGACATATCCTCTAACCCCGCCCACCTACTCTTTATTTTCTTTGAGGGAATACCATTTGCCAATATCAGTTTTATCTTAGCAAGTACTAACCCCACCCACCCGCCCATTATTTTCTTACAAAGTATGTTATTTGCCAATATCAGCCTTATCTTGCCAAGCACTAGCTCGGCCCATCCGCCCTTTATCTTGTTACAGGGCTAGTACCTAATAAGATAAGACTGATTTTCGCAAATGACATATCCTCCAAGAAAAGAGAGGGTGGGTGGGCGGGGCTACTACCTGCTAAGATAAGACTGATTTTTGCAGATGACATATCCTCTAACCCCGCCCACCCACCCTTTAGTTTCTTCGAGGGAATACCATTTGCCAATACCAGTTTTATCTTAGCAGTTACTAGCCCCACCCACCTACTACCTGCTAAAATAAAACTGATTTTCGCAAATGAAATACCCTTCTAAGAGAGGAGAGGGAGGGTGGGTGGAGCTAGTACCTCTTAAGACGGGGAAATTTAAATAATTTAAAAGAATTTTAGGGATTTTCGTGTTCTATTTTTGGGAAATTCTCAGTCTTAAGAGGTACTAATCCCAGTCACCCGCCGTCACTTTTCTTAAAGGGTATCTCATTTGCCAAAACCAGTTTTATATTAGCAAGTATTAGCCCCACCCACCCACCTTCTCTTTTCTTAGAGGGTATATCATTTGCCAAATTCAGTTTTATCTTAGCAGTTAGTAGACCCGCCCACCCGCCCTCTCTTTTCTTAAAGGCTATATCATTTGCCAAATTCAGTCTTATCTTAGCACTTACTAACCCCACCCACCCACCTTCTTTTTTCTTAGAGTGTATGTCATTTGCCAAATTCAGTTTTATCTTAGCAGTTACTAGTCCCACCCGCCCACCCTCTCTTTGCTTAGAGGGTATATCATTTGCCAAATTCAGTATTATCCTAGCAGTTACTAGCCCCACCCACCCACCCTCTCTTTTCTTAGAGGGTATATCATTTGCCAAATTCAGTTTTATCTTAGCAGGTAGTAGGCCCGCCCACCCGCCCTCTCTTTTCTTGGAGGGTATCCCATTTGGCAAAATTAGTCTTATCTTAGCACGTACTGATGACGAAAGTATTGTCTCAAACTCTTCCAGAAATTATACACCCCGTATTTTCGGTGCTTTTCAAACTTTTTTTGTTTATTTTTTTTAAGAATTTATTTTTTTGTTAATTTTTGAAATAAAATATTTATCAGTTATGTCATGATTTGATTTTTCTTGTTGATGCTGTCCCCTTATGGTCAAAATTCAAAGGGATCATTATGCCCATGCCGACGGATCATTTTACCTATGGGGATGCCTAAAATGATCCTTTTGTAAGGTCCTGGAAAAAAGTTAATAACTTTTTTTATAATTATCGAATCACCAATTGGCTTATACTGTTACCTAGATAAATCAATGTTCTTACAAATAATGCTACAGTTTTACATTAATAATAATAATTTGTATTTTTTAAAGAATTTCTCCCTTAGGGGGATCATTTTAGGCACCTTTCCCCTACATATTCGATAATCAGCTGTTCAGAAAAACACGTCGAAATAAGTTATTCAAATTATTTACCTGGGAAGTACTGGCTTGTGGTGCCAAGTTTAATTGAGGTTATGTACAGCCACGTACAGTCCCGCAACCTACCAATTATGACATAACTTCATCCGCAGGTAACTAGATTTGATACATATATTTTAACACTAATAAGATTATGGACAAGAATGTACTTATTACAATAAAAGCGTATAAAATTTAGTAAAAAAATATTAGTTATTAGTGATCGATCAAAACAAGGTCAAATTTAATAAACAAAATTCTTCTGTTATGACAAAGGATATATTAAAACTAAACAATAATCTAGCGGATTCATGTGTGTATCGTGGAGTCAATTTTTCAGAACTACTTAAATGCATATCTATTATTCAGCGCTTCTTTCGCATTAAGTCAATATATTCCCCGTTTCCAGGAAAAAATGCCCTCCCGGTGTTCGCATTCCACTACACTCTGATAAGTGATAAAACACCTTGATTCGCTCAGTCTGAGTACACGATGGCTAAAAGTCACGTTTCTTTCAAAGATTACGAACGCCAAATAAAAGTTCCGTTCGTCATCTACGCCCATTTTGACTCCATCCAAATAAAAAAAAGCAAGACACAAATCATCCACCAACCGTGCGGATTCGGATATTCAGTCAAGTGCTCCTTCGACGACACTTTCACCAAATATGAAGAGTACGTCGGTGAAGACAGTCCGCGTGTGTTTTGGAAAAAACTCCAAGCTGAAGTGGAAGACATCTCGGAAAAACTGTCCCGAAAAATTGCCCGACGGGTGTTCAACGACGAGGAAAAACGCCTCTTCGGGATGATCTCCCACTGCCACTTCTGTGGAAAAGTGCTAGGTGAAGACAAATTTGAAGATTTTTATCCGCCGACGGGGGAGTTCGTAGGGGCTGTTCACGAGAAGTGTCTTCAGAAACCGAAAGTCCCGAACTTCGTACCCGTCATCATGTACAAGTTAGGCAAGTACGGTGGTCACTTTCTACTAAACGCGTTAAGCGAAGCGGAAATGAAAGAGGTGTTCGAAGTAGGGAACAACCAAGGTTTTCAGAGGAAACTTCGCACCATGATGGTGAAATTTGTCGACGTGATGCAGTTCGTGGGTAAGAAAATCTACTGGAGAGATATGGAGGCGTTCATAGACGATGCGAACAAACGCAGGCTGAGTGGAATGTTTCGCGACAAAAGTGCGTTCGATTTGGTGAAAACGAAGATCCGTTTTCCGTACTGCTACATAGATGGGTTTGACAAGTTCGAGCATTCGTTGCCCAACATAGTGGGGTTTTTCGACCAACTGCACGACGACGAGATTTCGGACGAAGAGTACCAAAGGTGCGTCGATATTTGGGAGCATTTTGGTTGCAACACCATGACGGATTATTTTCGTGTGTATCTAAAATCGAGTACTTGTCTTTTGGAGGATTTTTTTGAAAATTTTCGGTGTTTATTTTTGGATAAGTACCACTTGGATGTGGCTCACTATTACACAATAGCGAGTTTTTCCTGGGATTCGATGATGAAGTACAACGGGGTTGAAGCGGAGTTGTTACAAGACAAAGACATGATCAGTTTTATTAAAAACAATATTCGTGGTGGAGTTTCACAGTGTAGCAAAAGACATGCCAAAGCAAACAACAAATATTGCGATTACGACAAGACAAAACCGCCGTCTTTTATCGTGTATTTGGATGCTAATAATTTAGGGGGTTGGGCGATGTCCCAAAATCTTCCATTTTCCGATTTTACTTGGTTGAAGATGTCCGAAATTCAACTGATAGCGGATAATATTACAAACCTTGACGAGAACAACGAATATGGCTATATTTTTGAAGTGGACTTAGAGTATCCAAAGGAACTCCACGAGCCCCACAACGACTTTCCTTTTTGTTGTCAGCGCTTGTTCGTACCACCTCCGCCGACTTCGCCTGATCGCACCAAAGAAAACTCAGTACTTAGTTTTTACAAGAAACAAAAATACGTAATAGACTACAGAATGTTGAAGCAGTGTCTGCAAAACCGTCTAGTACTAACCAAAATCCATCGAGTTTTGAGATTCAGACAGTGCAAATGGCTGGAACCTTACATGACCTACAACACGACTCTACGAGCTGCAGCTGAAAACGATTTCGAAAAACAACTCTACAAACTCCTCAACAATTCCGTCTATGGAAAAACCATCCAGAAATCGAGCACCGACAAACCCATTCATGCAGGGTTCAGTATCGTCGAACTATCGAAGGCGTTCTTGTACGATTTTCACTACAACCACATGCTCCCTAGATACAAAAACAACATCGACCTCCTGTATACAGACACCGATAGTTTGGTATACGAAATCCGCACTTTTGACTTCTACGAAGATCTTAAATCCGACCCGGGTCTCTTGAGTCTGATGGACACTTCAAACCTACCCAGTCGGTGGAATATTCCATCCAAGAACAAAAAAGTAGCCGGTAAAATGAAGGACGAATACGACGGGAAAATCATTCGGGAGTTTTTTGGAGTCGGTTCCAAGGTGTACTTTCTGGACGTCGACGGAAAAGAAGTGAAGAAAGCGGGAGGAATGAAGGACTACGTCAAAGCAAAGTACATTCACAGAGAGGACTACGAAAAGTGTGTTCTATATGATAAGAAAATTAGTCGTGGTGTGTGGGACACATCCACCGAAAAACACGTAGTGCAAACAAAGAAAACCAGGAAGGTTATGTTATCACCAGGTGACAGGAAAAGGTGTGTGTTGCCGGATAAAGTAAACACGCGCGCTTGGGGCTACGATTGTTCCCAGACCTAATGCGCGCGCAGTAATTACTTTGTAATAAAGATTTTTTACAATTTGTATCATCAGTCTTATTTATTTCGTTCAGTCAAGGTAAAAATAATACCACACTTTAACAAAAATAATTTATTAAAATCACAGCAATCTCATAGAATAAAGTCGTCCCGCTGCAACAAAAATAACAGTCATAACTGGTCTCCTACTCAAAATTGCACCTACCATTCCATTGTACTCCAACACATGTTGCTTAATCTTGGAATTATCCACCCACGTAACAAAATCTTCCAAGGTCCTTGTAACCAGTAACGCTGGATCTTTTACCAACTCGGGTCCCACTCTCACGTGTCCCTGTTCAATTAATTTCGTCGCGCCTTTTATACTCTCAGCCATTTTATCTAAAAATTTGTAACATCACCCTGACTCGTCAAAAGCAACCAAATACTCACTTCGAACCATGACCACCGCCAACCGCCTCCTGCAAAAACACGACGCCGTCACCTTCTCAGCCAAACTCAAGTCCCACCGGGTGGGTATTAAACCCATCTGGTACAGTTTTTCCAACAACTGTGCACTTTTTTCAGTGCGGAACGGATTTTTCGCATCCACTTCTTTAATTTTTCGGGCTATTTCTCTAACATTACGTGCTAGTTTATTGTACCTAAAATTATCAATCAATTTTAACCGGGATTAAGCGACATAACCTCACTTTGTGTAGTCCTCGCGTTTCTGGATGTGGTATTTCTTCAACACTTTCACTTCATGCAAGTTATTATCAACCTCCCACGATATAAAGTCGACTTTTTTGAGCAGTTTCTGCTCGTGGTATTTCAATTTCCGCACCATTTCCGCGAATTGAGGGTTGTTATTTTTATTGACATTCAATACGCATCGATGACTTTGACAGACATTGGTGCCAACGACGTGTGTCAACTGTGGTTATGTTATTACTCGCGAATTGCCACATTTGTGTCTTAATTAACACGCAGAGGTACTTTCTGGAAATAAATTGTGTTTTTTTGTCGAAACGGACGTTCGTTTTGTTTTTTTCGTAATTAGTTTCGACGGTGTGGATGCGTCATTCGAGCCGTCAAGTTACCGTCCTGCGCAATAAATCCCATCCCTCCTACTTGCCGAAAAGAGGTTATTACCTTTTTAACCGTAAAAACAGTTACTTTAGCCTAAAATTCACTTTTTCTACAATGAGATTATAGTTTGATTGTTTTGTGTGCGAACCGTGTCTTAAAAACACCAGTGCTCCCGTTAAAACCTCGCGTTGGTTCGACTTTATTGTAGTTTCAGTGACAGCTGGCAAATAGGCGGTACCAGTTTGTAAGTTTTCTAGAAGAACGGACCCATTGATTAAACACCCACGATGTTGCGATGATTTCCACGAAATAAAACAAGGATCTAAGGTACACCATGTCGAAAAACAACATCAGTGGCTCCCGAAGTGTCTCTTCCACCAGCTGCAACAGCATAGTCTCTGACTACGAAATTATCGACAATGGGCTAGAAGATTTGAACTTGAGCAAAAGCCGGCCTTCGTCCACGTCGCGGACGCAGAAGGCGAAACGAATCAGGTTCTACCACAACGGGAATAAGTTTTTTAATGGGGTTGTCATCCCGGTGGCCCCCGAGAGGTACAGATCGTTTGATAGTTTAACGACGGAGTTGACGTCGATTCTGACGAAGAGTGTGACGTTGCCGAGCGGCGTGCGAAACATTTTCTCGATGGAGGGGAAAAAAGTATTTTTTTTTAATTGTGTTGAAAGTGTTCTATGGTGTTTTGTAGGTGTGCAGTTTGGATGACCTGGAAGACGGGAAAGAGTATGTTTGTAGTGGGAAAGGGGAGCTCTTCAAACGTATAGAGTACACGAAAACGGACACGCTGAAGACTAAAAGACTGCCCAATTCAAAGTTTTCTCATATCACTTCATACACTCCGAGAATTATACCTCCAGACTGTGTTCGCCCTCGGATAGTTACGTTAATTAGAAATGGCATCAAACCCAGAAAGGTAAGAATAAGTCAGAGTAATTAAGCCAAACAAATCAGTCGTAATTTAAATTAATTTAATTCGCCTAATTAATTAATTACATAACGGAAAACCGGGTGATGGTCATAGAAAAAATGATGAATGAATTTTTTTTCCTAACAGATCCAGCGTTTGCTCTTGAACAAGCGTAACTCATCGAGTATGGAACAAGTCCTAAGTGCATTAACCGAAGCTGCCCAGTTAGATTCCGGCGCTGTCCGCAAAGTATTTACGCTTTCCGGGCAACCCGCCACCGAATTGGCTCAGTTCTTCGCGTCCGAAGATGTTTTCTTTGTTTACGGCAACGAAAGATTCTCTCAAGACGATTTCGAGTTGGAGTTCGAAGAGAGTAAAGCAATACAGCAATACAAGAAAACTCCTGGCCTTAAAAATGGGTAGGTGTTAATTTTTTGCGTCGATTTTTTCTACGGCCGCAATCAAGAGTGAAGTTTTGTCGGTTTTTGTGGCGAAAATGCACTCGTGAAGCAGAGGTCGTAGAAAAAGTGTGCGTGTGGTTGTGGAGTAATGTAACTTTTTCAAAGTGCTGGACCTAAACCCAAAATGCCGAAGAAGGAGTTGAATCGGACGTACGAATCTTCGGAGAGTTTGCTGCGGAAGTTAAGCGAAGACAATAACATTATTTTGCCGCTTTCGTTGAGGCAGAAGTACGTGGTGGGGAGGATGATAGGAGATGGTAATTTCGCGGTGGTGAGGTTGTGCAAAAGTACGAATTCTGAGGAAGAGTTTGCGTTAAAAATTATAGATAAATCAAAGTGTAAAGGAAAGGTAATTTTTTGATTCAAAGACGAAACGACACACCGCCATTTTGTTTCCAGGAGGATATGATAGAGAATGAAGTCAAGATCTTGAGACAGGTCTGCCATCCTAATATTATGTCACTAATAGCTGAACAAGATACTAAAACAATGTTATATTTAGTGTGCGAATACGTTAAAGGTGGGTACTTCGTAGCGATTCCCCTCGTCTCAATTTTCGGTTTTAGGTGGCGATCTCTTCGACGCCATTACAGTTGCTCAAAAATTCTCCGAAGAACAAGCGGCGCTGATGATTAACCATTTAGTATCAGCTCTTGCATACTTACATAACCTTAATATCGTCCATCGTGACGTGAAACCAGAAAACCTACTGGTACTTTTTTAAAGTAGTACCATTTTATTTTGACTTGTTTGTGTGTCGTAGGTCGAATTTGAAGGAGAAAGGATCAGGTTGCTGAAATTGGGCGATTTTGGCCTAGCTTGCGAAGTAACAAGACCTTTGTTCACGGTTTGTGGTACTCCGACGTATGTGGCGCCTGAAATACTTGCCGAATCGGGATACGGCTTAAAGGTACTTGTTTAGCGATTCCCCTCTTCATGCTCGTAATGACTTGTCGCTATTATAGATTGATGTGTGGGCGGCCGGAGTGATCCTATACATCCTCCTGTGTGGCTATCCGCCTTTCGTTAGCCAGGATAACGACCAGGAAAAGCTCTTCGATTGTATCTTGTCCGGCCAGTACGACTTTCCGGACGAGTACTGGAAAGACGTTTCGGCTTTAGCTAAAGAGCTTATTCAAAACATGCTTCAGCTTGCGCCGGAGTTGCGTTTTTCGGCAGAAGACGTGCTCGATCACCCTTGGTTAAGTATAGCAATCGAGGATCAATAAAGTTGCGCTTATTCCTGAGAATTATGTACAAATTTATTTAAGTACCGGTTCTGACAAGTTGTGTACGAGTCCATCCTTTCACACGCCAATTTTTGACACGATTCGTTTTATTCGCACAGTTGCATTGAGGTGGTACCTATAGGATGTAAGCGAATGGGGTCGCTTAGCAGTGGTTGCTAAGTGACGTCATTCGCAGCGTATGTAGAAATTTTGCCGGAAAAGCTTTGGTTAATTAAAATGATATGCATCCAAAGTTTGATTAGATGGTCTGGAAAGTTAGAAAAGCGTTTGAACAGCTCCCCTTTTCCACTGCAAAAGTACTCTTTCCCGTCTTCTAGGGCATCCAAACTGCACACCTACAAAACCCCATAGAACACTTTCAACACAACATAACAAAAAGAAGCCTATGTTAGAAAGGATGTCAGATTTTATATCGCGCCAATTATGCATTTTAATTAACCAAAGCTTTGGTTAATTAAAATGCATATCATTTTAATTAACCAAAGCTTTTACGGAAAAATTTCGTTTTGTGATTATGAAAGCGTTTTTTAAAAAAAGCTTTTGAAAAAAAAAGGATTTATACCAAAGTGCATTTTGTAAGATTTTTTCATGGTTCTGGTGATGATTGGCTTGTAGTTTTGTGGCTTTCTACGACTTTAACGAGTTTATACAAAAAGTTTGATTAGATGGTCTGAAAAGTTAGAAAAGCGTAACTGATTTACATACCAGGGTACCAGAATCCGTTTTATTGTAACGCTATCATACTTTTTTTGTTATTGTTCCTAACCATTACGCATCTTAGGGAGTTAGAAGCCATTATTTATTTTTATTTCATCTCCTAAGTAGGTAACATAACAAAAAGAAGCCTAGTGAGTTTTTGTATATTTTAGAAAGTATGTCAGATTTTATATTGCGCCAATTATTTAACAGTCGCTAAAGTATTATTTATTGATAAATTTATTTTATAGTCCCGTTGTTTTAGGGTGCTGAGTAATAAAGTATTTAGTTTCAAAAGTGTCTACTTTTTTAGACTTTTTGTAGAAGATTATATTTTAGTGTAAATAAATTATTTCAGTAGTAAAAAGTGTTTTTTTACTTAATTCGTCTTAACACGAAACTGAGTTTTGAAAGTACTTTAAATAAGACGACGAAAAACCACCCGCTCTCAGTTTCACCCCATTTTCACCTCCAAGTTCGCTTCGTGTACCCACTTATCCCGTAACGTGACTTCGGGACTTCCGATTTTTCAGGAGCAAAAAACCGCGTTATCAGCGCAAGTCCTGCAAGGGCCAAAGGAAAACAGGCGTTCTTCGAGCAGTCTCGTGGCGTCAGTTACCTGATACGTGTGCGTCCATGCGTAGTCCAGGTGGCGGCGGTAACGTATCGGGGGTGTACGGAAAAAGGGTGGCTCGCATGAGTGGCGTGTTCGAGTGTTTGGTGTTGTGAGGTGCTTACTTGACGGGGCCACGTGCTGGGAGCTCATGCTGTTTGTAAACAAACTCGTATGTTATTATTTTTTACTTTTTCCAACGATAATAATTATTGTTGCGGGAATATTGCACGCATAATATCGTGACGAGGGTTTAAAAACGCACATACGTGTCGGGCGAAAATCACTTTTTGCCTGACGAAATTTTTAAATTTTAATTAACAAATTACATAATTTATTTTTGCGGTAAAATTCTTGGGCGAAGTTTAAAAAATTGAGGGTTATGCAACACACAATACGCACATTTTTCCGATGATTGTATGTAATACAATAATGAACATAGCAGGCTTTGTTTTAATGTCAACTGATGACACTTGATCTATGTGAATGTCAGTTGATTTTCGATTTTGTGCATACAGGGTGTTTAAATAGAAAAAAGTGGTAATAACTGTGTTTTGTTATAATGTGCTGCTTGTGTCTCACTGAACACTATCGGAACGGTAATAAACAATTTTCGGCGGATGAAAAATACACAGTGTGTAAAACGAATAAACTCACGAATGACGAAATGAAGGAAATTTCTTTCGTTGGCAACAACTGGCGAAGCTCGGTTTCGTCATGAAGTTCCCGAATTGTTTTCCTCTTCGTTTCATTGACTCGCGTCGCTTCATGGATGTGCAGATCGAAGATCTGGAGAATATTCTTGAGGATTCGAAGAAACACAAGATCAAGGAGGAGTTTCGCGGGAAGAAGGAGTTCGATTTGATGAAGAAGCGGACGTGTTTTCCGTTTTACTACAAGGATAGTTTCAAGAAGTTTTCGGATGTAAATGTAAATTTGTAAAAATATGACGGACTCATGAATCACAAGTACAGGAGTATGTTATTTTATAAAATTTAAATAGTATTTACTATGGAATATTTTGAGGTCAGGTCATCAAATTGTTGATGGGGACAATTTGACAAATTTAGGTTACCATTTTACCATCTAATATCAACACAGGTGACAGACTATAGACGATAGAGAGGCAAACGAAAACGGGAGACCCACCGTTTCATACTGTATGAGCATGAAAGGTCGAGAAAACATGAAAGTAGCCATTCAGCGGTGGCCCCTATTACCATTCTTCCTTATGTTCTACGCTCGGGAAGCAAAAATCGCCGCAAAAGAGAAGGGGTGGGTGGGTGGGGCCAACTTTTACTTTACTTTATTTGATTCTAATATGATGGCCACTTCTTATTTTTGAACTAAAGAAAATCAGTTATTAAAAAGGAGGGAAATGGGACAACAAAAATGTCAGAGCATGGGATTTTGCAGCTTCAAAGTTCAATTGTAAAATCACGACGGATTCATGAGTTACAAGTACAGGAGAATTTTGAGGTGACGTTTTTAAATTGTTGGTGGGGTCGTTTAAACAAATTTTGGTTAGCGTTATATCTTCTTCACGATATTCCTAAAATACGTGTAAAATTTGACAACAATCAGTTTCGTAGTTTCGGAGGTCCTCTGTTTAATAAAAATCGACACAGACGACACACAGTAGACGATAGACAAACGAAAACGGGAGACCTAGTGTTTCATACTCTAGGGGCATGAAAGGTCGAGAAAATATGAAAGTAGCCATTCACCGAGTGGCCCCTATTACAATCTATCCTTACCTTTTATGCTCGGGAAGTAAAAATCGCCACAAGATTGGGGCCAATTTTCCCTTTATTTTATTGACTGATTTGTTTTTATTATTTTAAGTTGCTCGACAAAAATTTTCTCGTGCTTATTTAATAATCGATTTTACAAAGACAAATTTTTTTCTAAATTTGTTGTTCAAGAACTTCATCTACGATTTCCACTACAAGAAGATGTTCTCTAGATACAGAAACACAATCAACCTTCGAACGGACGAATGACCACTTTTATATTTTCTCGACGTTTAATGACCCCTACAGTACAAAAAAAGTAGTCTCTTGTTTTCGTCTGTCTGTCTGTCTGGTGTCCGTATCCATTTTTATTAGCCACTTAATCTCCGAAACTGCTGGACCAATTGTTGTCAAACTTTGTATGTATATTAAAAATATCATTTATAGATGGTTAAATGCTGACTAAAATGTTCGCAGTTAATTTTAGCTTTTGAGCTTTCAGTGTTTTATTTTTTACAAATTTGAAAAAGTCTTGAGTGCCCCAGTGTTTGGGTACCCATGGTGTATTATTTTTGGGGGCCCATGGAGATTTTTTTTGTAAATTATTTATCACAATTTTGGGGGACTTTGGTGTTCTAGTTTTGGAAAATTCTGAGCTGACCGGTTTTTGAGTCAATTTTAGGACCCCGGTTTTTTTTTGAAAAAATTAAAACAATCTTGAGGTTCTAGGTATTCCTATTTGGAAAGAATTCGAAAGTGCTTTGGAGCCTCTAGTGTCTTCTTATATTAATTTAATTCCATTTGCTAGAGGATATATCATTTGCCAAAGTCACTCTTACCTTAACAGATACTAGCCCCGCCCACCCACCCTCTCTTTTCTTAGAGGATATGTCATTTGCCAAAATCAGTCTTATCTTAGCAGATACTAGCCCCGCCCACCCACCCACTCTTTTTTTAAAGGATATGTCATTTGCCAAAATCAGTTTTATCTTGGCTAGTACTGGCTACACCAGAAATCCAAGGTTCCCCCCAAAAAAAGGTATTGGGACTCGCAAAAATCTTTTAAATCTTTTAAAAAAGGCACTAGGTACGCCAAGGTTTATTTAATTCTTCAAAAAAGACAATAGGAACTCCAAGATGCTTTCAAATTCTTAAAAAAAACTGATAAATGTTTAGTCTAAAAATCTTTTTTAATCTCTTTCAAAAATAAAACACAAGAGACATTCTTTTAAATCCTTGAAAAAGGACACTAGGAACCCCCAAAGCTCTTTTAAACTTTACATTAAGAAAAATTGTAATTCCAAGATTCTTTTAATTAAACAAAAAAACACCACAGGCTCCTAAATTTTTTATTTTTTATTTTTTTTTTAAAGTAATAGGGTCCCTAAGATTCTCTATTTTTTTTTTCAAAAACAATCTACTAAGGACCCCCAAATTTTCTTTAAACTTTTTGTAAAAAACCACCATGGCCCCTCTAAGATGTTTTCACTTAAAAAAAAGATAGTTGAGACCCTAAAATCCTTCCAATTCTTTTCCAAATGAATACACCAAGGGTCTCCAAGTTTATTTTAATTTTTTTCAAAGTCAGTACATCAAGAGCTCCCAAGATTATTTTAAATTCTTAAAAAAACAATTTAAATCTTTTTCAGAAAAAATCACACCAAGGACTCCCAAAATTCTCTTAAATTAAATTTTTTTCAAAGAAATATAGTAGGAATCCCAAGATTCTTTCAATTTTTTTCAAAAACAATCCAGCAAAGGCCCCATTTTTTTTTTAATCTTTTTCAAAGCAAAACATGGTAGAGATTCTAAGATTCTTTCAAATTTTTTCAAAAGGAATACACCATGGGGTCCAAATTTCTTTTAATTTTTTTTATAATGTGGTACACCATGGACTCCTAAGATTTTTTAAACCCTTTAAAAAAGGCATTAGATACTCCAAAGGTTTTTTAATTCTTCAAAAAAAGGCGCTAGCAAGTTCCAGGTCCTTTTAAATTCTTCAAAAAAGACTCAATGAGTCCAGGATGCTTTCAAACTCTTAAAAAAAAAAAACGAAAAATGTTTCCAAAAATTTTTTAATCTCTTTCAAAAACAAAACATCAGAGATTTTCACACATTTTTGCAACAAAAAGATAAGTTGGGACCCTAAAATTCTTCCAGATTTAAAGAAAAATAATACCTCAAGGGCCACCAACTTTCTTTTAATTTTTTTCAAAATCAATACCTCAAGGGCTTCTAAAACTGATTTAAATTCTTAAAAAAAAGTCACTAGGAACTCCCGGATCCTTTTAAACTTTTCAAAAAAAAAAACACTCGCTACCCCAAAAATCTTTCAAATTCTTAAAAAAACACAATAAAGGTTTCTAATTATATTTTAAGCTAGCCCCAATTTTTTTAAAAAACTTGAAATTTAATTACCTGCTAAGATAGACTAATTTTGGCAAATGACATACCCTATAAGCAAAGAGAGGGTGAGTAGGCGGGTCTAGTACCTGCTAAGATAAAACTGATTTTGGTAAATGAGATACCCTCTAAGGGAAAAGAGGGCGGGTGGGCGGGGCTAGTATCTGCTAAGATAAAACTGATTCAGCAATTGTGGGGCGGAGCCTAACTGGAAAATCGATATTTCCTTATACTTCCATGTTTTAAGTTTCATGTTATGAAAAAGTCTACACATATTAAAACAAAAAGGTCAAATGTAGCCCCGCCCACCCGCCCTATCTCATTTGTGATGATTTCTTTTTATTCGTCGTGAGCCAAGGGGGCGGAGCTTAACTGCAAAATACTTATTTCCTTACAAGAAAGTAAAAACATGTTTTTGAGAATCGTGTTTTTCAAAGAATCCTATGTATATTAAGAAAAAGAAGCAAAATATTAACCCCGCCCACCCACCCAATCTCAATTGTGGTGATTTTTCTATTCTTGGAAACTTAAAAGACGTTTAAAATGGTAAATTTTTGTAGGGAAATATGGATTTTGCAATTAGGCTCCGCCTCTATGTCTAGCAACGAATGAAAACTTCATTACTACATATTTAGATCAGGGCAGGTATGGGTGGAGTCTAATATTTGGCTCTAATTCTTTCTTAATATACATAACATTCTCTGAACAACACACTACTCAAAAACATCTTGTTAATTTCTCGTAGAGAAATAAGAATTTTGCAATTAAGCTCCGCCCCCTTGGCTCACGACGAATAAAGAGAAATCATCACAAGTGAGATAGGGCGGGTGGGTGGGGCTTATATTGTGCCTTTTTTTTCTTAATATACATAGCCATCTTTTCACAACAAGATACTTCAAACTTAATCAAAATGTTACTTTTTGCAAGCAAATATGGATTTTGCAATTATGGGTCGGAGCTTAATTGCAAAGTCGATATTTCTTTATACAAATTTTCCATTCTAAACATGTTTTGTTTTTTTTTGAAAATTTAAAACAATCTTGAGGTTCTAGGTATTCGTATTTGAAAAGAATTTAAAAGTGCTTTGAAGCCTCTAGTGTCTTTTTTTATAATATTTTTTTTTTATTTTTTGGTATACGTCATTTAAGTCATATCTCATTTTCCAAAATCAGTCTTATCTTGTTAGCAAATACTAGGCCCAACCACCCACCCTCTCTTTTATTAGAGGGTATGTCATTTGCCAAAATCAATTTTTCTTATCAAGTACCAGCCCCGCCCACCCCTCTCTCTTTTCTTAAAGGATATGTCATTTGTCAAAATCATTTTTATCTTGGCTAGTACTGGCTAAAATAAAACTGACTGCGGCAAATTACAAACCTTCTAAGACAATATAGGGCGGGGCTAGTACTTGTTAACGTAAGACTGATTTTGGTAAATGCCATATTCTTTAAAAAATAAAGGGTGGTGGCGCTAGTATTCGCTAAGACAAGACTGATTGTGCAAATGATATACCTTCTAAGAAAATAGAGGGTGGGTGGGCGGGCTGGTACTTGATAAGAAAAGACTGATTTTGGTAAGTGACATATCTTCCAAGAAAATAACGGGTGGGTGGGCGGGGCTAAAACTTGCTACGATAGAACTGAACAATATTAAGAGTAGTCACTGGAATGACGAAGGGGTGGGTGGGCGGGGCAACTGTTTGCTCATAAAACTAGAAAAAAGCTAAACTTCACTAACTTTTACAAAAAAATGATCAAAATTTGGATAATTCGGGAGTGTGTTGGAGCAAAAATAGTAATAATAAAACGCTAGAAGTGTGCTTTAAATTTTATGTTTGTAGTTAACTTAATACCAGTGCAAATTTTGATTTAGGTGGTGCAGTCGCATGGCCTTTTCGTTAGCATTGTCAGTAATAAATGGTTTTTTAATTCTCCTACGTCTTCAAATAGTTGGTTCCTCTGTAGTAGTAGTTGTTTCATCTCGTGCACGGACAGCTACAAGAAAGCTGGACATCCAGAAGGCAAGGGCAACGGAAATCTAAGAAACATATATAACTGGTGAGTGAAATACTCACTTTTTAAAACTAAAATGAGGCCAAGAAAATGAAAACGAATTGGAAAAACAGAGAAAAATAGTTCAGAATGAAAAAATAACTCACCTTTAGGTACTTGAACATGGTTGAAGAACTTTTCGTAACTAAAGAAAACAGTGAACAGTCGGGCTTTTATAGTCGACCACGACCAAGTGTCTCGTATTGCACAAAAATAATGGTTTTATTTTTTATGTAAATTTTTTGTAAACAGCCTTTATGTTTTATGCAGTTATTTTACATACTTTGAGTGATAAAAATCCGATTTCCACCATTACACGCTATATACCTGTCTGTTCGACTCTCACAATAGTTTCCCTTGCTCTGACAAAAAATCTCATTACCACCATACTACTGTTCCGGCTTATTAACAGTCGCGTGAGCGCATAGATATGATTAATTACAAAATATATAAATCTTGTTGGATTGTCGACCGTGCTACATCACTTTCCGTGAGAAAAAAGATAAGGGATCAGACATCAACTCGCAGGGAGTAAAAAAGATAATAACTCATTTAGCTGGAAACTTCTTCGAAGTTGTTTTTGTTCTGGAAACTCACAACCGCAATTAACTTCACTTGAACTCTCTTTTTTTCGCAGATTTTAATCAATACCGTGTCATCCACTCATTTAAATTAAACACAAATCAGTTCGGATGATAATTAAATCCAGCTAAAGTTTGGGAACTTTTAAAGAATGTCATAATCATTTTTTCGACAGTAAAACCTTAGCCCTGTACGTACAACGTATATCGATCTCTAATTACACCACCTGGACAAGCCAAACCGGAAGTACCTTTGACAGTACCACATGTGGCCCACGCACGTTCTCTTACCTCCTAATGCTATTTGTGTGGAGCGGCTGAAACTCGTAAGTGCTTAAAAGCGTTTTAGTTTTTATTTACGAGAGCGTCTTCTTACTCGTGTTCAATTTAATTTTAGTTGTTCGAACAGTGCGGTTTTAAAGGTAATTGCTTGTCGGGCTGAAAGTGACAAATGCCCACGGCAAGAGCGTTAATTAAAAAATATGTATGTGTGGAAGGCGGTATGGGTGGTTGTAGGGGTTCGGATTGCTTTCCTCGGGTGTTAATTTTGCATCGACCCAAGTCTTATTTTTTGTGCCGCTTTGTTTATATTGTGTTTTCGATTGATTGAACGTTGGCGTATGTCTGTCACGTTCATCTAACTCGTTTATAACCGCACCCTTCCAAATTCACATCAACCCTTAAGGGGACTCGCTAGACGAGGTATAATATTTTTTTGGTTTTTTGTATGAAAAAATGATATTAATATAGATGTATCATACATCAAACTGCAGCTTTTTTCATATTCTAGAGCGCAGAGACCAGTTCAATCAACTAAAAAAATATGGCTGAGAAATATCGTAAAAAAAGCACATTGTATGTTTTCTTTTCAAGTTTTTTGAGTCATAACCATCATAGAATCGCTTGAAAATTCGCACATGGATAAAACATCACTTTTTACAGGGCGCAGAGTCATTAAATGTTTGTTAGTGGTACAATTTGTTTAAATAATAATGTGTTTATTAAAATCAAAATATACCACAAATTAATGCAAAATACGTCGAATAATTTTAACAGGAATATCAGAGGAAAATTAATGATCTATTGGTTAGCAGAGTTTTTAACAAAAACTAACAATTATTGAAAAAAATGGGTATCAATTCGACAGAATTTGAGCAGTTAGTTCAGTGCTTTGCCGATAGGAGCGCCACTAAAATTTACGGAAGCGACTTTCCAGGTAAAACCCTTACCGCCTGCTCTACCATAAGCTGATTGTTAGAGTTCTCGGCTGATTTTTCTAATTTATGGCAAGGAACTCAGTTTTATAACAAGCCGCCAGGACCGGCCGTAGTAATCTATTGTTAAGGAAATGAACTTTTACACAATGAGGTACTATCATAAAACCGAATTAAAACTGGGGAACTATAATATTTTTACTCCACTCAGGATCCTGAATTCAATACACATGATTACTAAAAACTCATTGTAATATTATTATTAATATATATTTTGCTTTGTTAATTAATAAAACTAATAAACATATTTATCATAATAATAAAAATATATAAAATACAGCTTTTGTTTAACACGTATAAGTAGCTAAGTGTATCTACTACTTATCCCAGAAAGGAGGTGTTTTAAAAAGCTCTACGCCCAGCAACTTCTCCCTTCATTGTTTACTTGAAAAAAGTGCTCGTATATGTTTTCATTTGTCGACAGATCATTTTCAAAATATATTTATAATAAAAATATGCAAGTCTTGGTGATGAAAAATGTACTCCTAATAAATTATTAAAGTACATAAAAAAATAGAAACAAATTTTATTTATTTAAAAAAAATCTCTGGCAAAGGCTCTTCCTATTTCTTCCTAAATCAATTATTTTGGGCAATAATGCGCCAAAGTAAAATCTGCCAAGTTTATCTGACATCTTTTTACATATATTTCTTCATCTTTATAAATTTTTTCTATATTTATTCCTTTGGGTGTCCATACAACAAAATAAACTTGTGAAATACCCGTAACAAGCATTTATCCCTGGACTTGAAATGTACAAAATTTGATTATTTTTTTTTCTAACCACTTCTTCGGGAGACAAATCTTGCGATTTTGAAGGGCATTTAATTTCGACTAATGCACTTCTATCCTCTAGAACCCTGTCTGGACCAGCTGCCAAGTAAGGAAATTGTTTTAAAATAAAGACACACCGTTCAGTTTTTATATTTTTATTTATTTCAAAACACTTGACAGCTTTTTCCTTATTTTGTTGTCCATAGTATGTATGACTATTACTTTTAAATGTACTGTACAAGAGAGACTCCACAGTTTTAGCTGTTGTTGTGGTCGGTCTAAGTTTGTTCAAAACTTGAAGCCGTAACTCTAATTTCTCTTTCTTTTGCCCAAATGTGCCTGTTCCCTAGTGTCTATTTCAATTTGGTCTAAATTCAAAGATAATTTTCTCAAAAAAACCTCTTTGGCTGTCACAAATGTTTCTACATCCATGTCAGGATTATCTAAAAAATATTTAAACCATAATCGCAATCGGGACCAGCATACGTACATTTTTTACGAAATATTTTTTTTACGAATACTTTGTCTAAGACGAGCTTGTTTCATACGCGAACAATATTTTTTTGTTATTAAACCAGGACCGTTTTAATCACAATATATTTACTTATCCCCTCTAAAAAATTCATGACGTCACCTCAACATTTTGCTGAATAAATCCTATCTAAAATGTACAAAATATGAAGAGTCTCTTCTTGTAATTTATCATCCCATTCATATTTTTTGGATTCGGATATATAGGGTGACTCAAAAAATTTAATGAATCCGCAAATTCATTTTATTGATTTAATCAGGAACTACAAAACCGAATGTTTTGAAATATAATGTAAAAAAAAAAACATAATAGACAAGCAGTCGTCACGTTTCTGATAGCGAGGGAAGTACTGTCTAAACTCTTTAGAGCGATTTTTTTGATTTTCCCATTTCTCCATTTTTCAATGTTTCAGTTTGGGATTTTTTCACTGTTTCGATTCTTTAATTTTCCTTCCATTTTTAGGTTTTTCAATATTTCAGCTTTGGAATTTTGCAATATTTCGTTTCTTCAATTTTTCAAATTTTTGATATTGTTTTCTCGGTTTTTAAATTTTTCGATATTTTAATTTTTCGGTTTTTAAAGTTTTAGATTTTTAGATTTCTCACTATCTCGACTTTTCGATTTTTCAGTTCCATGATTTTTCAATTTGTCGAATTTTTAAATTTTAGATTTTTTGTTTTCTTTAACGTTTTGAGTGCTCGATCATTCGATTTTCAGGCTTAGACTTTTTTTGTTGTTCAATTCTTGGATTTTTAAAATTTTTGTTTTTTAAATTTTCCTATTTATCAACTTACTGGGATTTCAATGTTTTGATTTTTTTATTGTTCAATTTCTCGATTTTTTTAATTTTTAGTTTTTGATACGATTTTTTTTTTAAATTTTCAGTTTTTCAATTTATTAACGCTACGATACTTCAGTTTTGCTCGATTTCGATTTCTCAATTTTTCGACATATTACTGTTGGGATTTTTCAATTTATCGATTCTTCGATTTCTCGATTCTTCATATTTTCGGTTTCTCGAATGTCTTCATTTTTCGATTTCTCAATTTTCCGATGTTTCAGTTTTACGATTTTTAATTTTTTTTATTTTTCAGTTTTCAATTTTTGACGTTCCTAAATTTTTCGATTTCTCAATTTTTCGATTAACTGATTTTTTGATTTTCTCATTTCTCTATTTCTTGATTTTTCAATTCTTTCTTCAATTGTGATTTTTCAATTTTTCGATTTCTGAATTTTTCAATGTTTCAGTTTTGGATTTTTCCACTTTTCCGATTCTTCAATTTTCTTTCCATTTTTCAGTTTTTCAAGATTTCAGTTTTAAATTTTTTCACTTTCTCGATTTTTCAATTTTCCTTCCGTTTTTCAGTTTTTCAGTATTTCAGTTCTGGGATTTTGCAATGTTTCGGTTCTTCAATTTTTCCATTTTTTGATGTTTCGATTTCTCGGTTTTTCAATTTTTCGATAGGTATTTTAATTTCTCAATTTTTAAGTTCTAGATTTTCCGTTAATTTTTTAGTTTTCCTTGATATTTTGATTTGTCGATTATTCGATTTTTCAAGTTCTCGGTTTAGATTTTTTGGTTTTCCAATTCTTCGATTTTTAAATTGTTTAATTTTTAGATCGTTCAATTTTTCAATTGGTAATTGTTCAATTTTTCTTTTTTTTTTTGTTTTTTCAGGTTTTCGATTAATAATAATTTTTCGAGTTTTGAAGCTTAAATTTTTCAGCTTTTCAGATTTTTGAATGTTTCGATTTTTAATTTCTTTTTTGTTTCTTCAATTTTTATATTTTTCAATTTTTCGTTTCGATTTTTATTTTCTTTATTTTTACGTGTTTTCAATTTTTCGATTTTTTGCTTTTTCAGTTTTAATTTCTTCAATTTTTTGTTTCCTGAATTTCAATTACATTTTTCAATTTTTTGTTTCTTCAATTTTTGAATTTTTAATTTTTTTTTGTTTCTTCAGGTTTCCGATTAATAATTTTTCCAGTTTTCAAGCTTAAATTTTTCAACTTTTCAATTTTCCATACT